AGGACATAGTGGGGTGGGGGGTGGGGGGGAGATGTACAACTCATACGAGTCACACCTTTTCAACTTTAAAAATGTGGAATTATTTCTAAGTGGACACTTGCGCAACCCTTAACAACCAAGTACAATGAGTTTAAAACACTTCGGATTTAAATACAGGGCATACATAACAATGGATAGTAAGGGCAATATGATTGTTTTTATCGTTTACTCGACTTTTAAGGACAATAAAGGGAAAGTTATACTGCAGTGGTAATAAATTCAATCCAGACGTGTTATTGAACAGTGACTTAATCGTATAAACAGGTCTTGTTTGTACCTACAAATAAATTTGTCGTAATCTAACATCTAGGTTTGTATGCATGCTTGAATGCAACCGAGAGATGTGGGTAGTGAGAGCACTTGTATTAAGCAATTACAATTAAAGTAAATAAACTGTTCTCAGCATGTGAGCTCCACAGGCCACGGGCCTGTGTGGTACATTTTCTCCCGGAAACCTACGTATTGAAAACTAAATTAATGCCTTATTGTAAAAGATGAAAAAATCATGCTTATTGATTAAACATGAGAAATGATTTGTATGCCATAAGGGAGATTGAAAATTAATATTTGACCGATAATTACAGGCTTATTGAGCCTGAGTGATGATTTTATACCCATTTAAGATCATGGAAATAGGTTTTTCCTTTTCTGTTAGATTTTATATTCCTTTCAAGACCCTTACACTTAAAGAAGAATACCGGGTATTAAAATGAATCTATATTAGAATTTGCTTAACTTGACCGATGTTTAGGTTACCCTTAAATAGGGTGGTTCCTCGACAGCACGTATAAAGTCCCCAATCCCGGTGTACTCAGTCTCTTTTCTCATCCTCGACTATAAAGTTTACCTTGTAATATATAATCGTTTAATTAACTTCTTACCCTTCATCCTAAAAGTCGGTTACAGATATAGGTATTTGGTATGATTGCTACCACACTTAATTAGGCAGAGGCAGTTAATTGCAATAAGGATAATATGATCTGCTCATGTAGTGTTGGCTACCCTAAGTTCATTTTTCTCTTGATTAAACGTATACTATTGCAAGGCCATTGTTGCTATATATGGCGTTACAAGTATATGTTGAGCCTAAAACATTATAACACTGTTTGTAAATTTGACAAAAACTTAGACGATCTAATGAGGTACAAAGCTCTCTCAGATGATGATGGCTTATTAAAAATGTGAACCAGATATACAAGAATTAGATTATTTTTTTCCGTAGCCAAATAGCCAGGATGTTCGGTATTTATTTTAACATGTAAACGGGAATCAAGTCCTAATGAATCCGCCCCCGATGTCGGTAAATAGCTGTAGAATATCACGAGAACTCCCTTCAGTATCTTCAAATAACCCCATTAAAGTAAGCCCGAAATTCCATTCACATGTCTAGCTTTGTTAAACTATTGACAGGGTTTAAGATTTATTGCCAAGCATATTACAACAAGGCCTGGTTGATGCACCGCTACCCGGAATGGCCCTTTAAGGGGGGGGGGGTCTGATAAGATTTGCATTTTGTAGCTGTGGTTCGAATTTACATAGTGTGTCTACAACACTAATCTTGAGAGCCCCTGGGCTTTATCCATGTTAAGAGGTAAACCTATTTGAGCACACAGACAAGTGTCTGTCCATCCTGCAAAAATATTGATATGTAGTTTTAACTTGACTTGGTATTATATCGGAATATTTTTCATTTGAAAGAAAAAATTCTATAATGTTTACTTATTTTTACAAAAACTTACATATTTTGATAGAAATCTAGAATATATTGAATCTTACAGTATGTTTATACACTGTGTTATCTACATTTAGAAGAGTTAGAATTATATGATATTTAAATATGTGAGATACTAGAAAGGAAAGAATATTCATTTATACTATAAGCAAACATAGAAACCCACATATAATTCGTAAATGAAGTTGCAACAAAAGAATGTAAAAAAAAAGGTGTCTACCGCGTTGAAAGCTGAGCACTCAGCAGGAGAAATTGTGAACTGAATATTTTTCTTTTCATTTGTAAAATTTGCAATTATAACTAGTAAATAGACCAGCCCTGAAGATTATTACATATCTTTGATTCTTAGATCTACATGTATGAATAAAAGTTTTTTAAATTATACTTGACAAGTTCATCAGTTCCTATGCGGCGGGTTCAACACAATATATATAGGACAATTTTTGTCCCCCGCTTTCGCAAAAGCGAGGGGAGATTATATCTCATTCGTCTGTCCGTCTGTCATTCTGTCAGTGTGTCAGTCTAGCTGTCCATCCGTCACAACATATTTCACATGTGTATTTCTTGTGACAAGACCTTTCTTCAGGTACCACAAAATTTGACCTTCTGACATTGATCTTGGAGTTTGACCCACTTTTACAAAAAAATTCAAAACTGTTACTTTGGCCATACTTTTGAACGGTAGAAACTAGGGCTTTCATATTTCACTTGTATTTTTTGGCAAGACCTTTCATTAGATATCAACAACTTTGACCTTTTTACCATGACCTTGGCGATTTCCGTACTTATAAAAAAAACTTTAACTTTCGCCATAACTTTTGAACGGTAAAGGTTAGGGCTTTCATAATTCACATATGTAATCCATGTGATGAGACGTAGTAACAGGGGGCGCCCCCCACACTCCCTCCCCCCTCCACGAAGTAGGATTTTCGACTTTGGGAAATTTTCCTTTTTTATATATATATTTTTGCTTGTCAACCTTTTCAGGTAAGTAAAAGAATTGTTTTCTCTGACTGCCCCCCCCCCCCCACACACACACTTTCAAAAACGGTGCTATGTGGCTGTAATAACTTTTGAACAGGTGGTGCTAGGGCTTTCGTACTTCACAATCGTATTTCTTGTGAGATGGCCCTATTTTGGGTACCAATATAATTATTTTTAATTTGAATTTAAGAAAAGTTTAATCTTGAAGTTGCTATTTTGCCATACGGGGTCATCCGTGTTTCACTTCCTTATAACTTTTGATTGAGAAGAGATAGGGCTTTCATATGTGACATGTGCATTACCTGTGACAAGATTTAACACAAGTCATAAAAATGACATCCCACCCACAAAGACACCGAAAGCTGGTAAACAATTCTTTGAGTTTATTTGTTTTAATCTAAGATACAATTGACTTCATTTTAAGTATGACGTAATTGTACTCAATTGTGAAGACAGCCAAGATTACCCATACATAGATCAAGTAGATTGGGCCTTGTCAACGTCTCAGTGGGCATGATTTAAATGCAACTGTTGTGTATATTGCATTTTGATTTGTAAATGCAACAAGAGGCCCATGGGCCACATCGCTCACCTGAGCAATGTAGCTAGGAAAAAAGTAATTAAATCAGTTTATTTTTGAAAAGTTAAAACCATAAGTGGTCCCAAACAATCCTTAAAAGGGAGAGCTAGGGTATGACTTGAACAAACTTGAATCTACACTAACTCAGGATGCTTGCATATTTCTTTGACTACCTGTGGCTTTATTGCCCTTTACATTTGAACTCACATTGTGGCCCCTACCTACCCCCAGGGGTCATGACTTGAACAAAATTGAATCTACACTATGAATAGGACTAATCATGGCTTTGTTATTCCTGAAAAGAAGATTTTTAAAGATTTTTTCTACATGTTTCTATGTAAAATTTGGATTCTATGTTGTGGCTCCGCCCTACCCCCGGAGGTCATGATTTGAATAAACTTGAATGTCAACTATCTGAGGATGCTTCCATAAAAATATGATCATTCATGCCTTTGCCATTCCAGAGAAGAAGATTTTTAAAGAATTTTCCTATATATTTCTATATGAAACTTTGATCGGCCATTGTGGTCCCGCCCTACCCCTAGGGGTCATGATTTGAACAAACTTGAATCTACACTATCTGAGGATGCTTCCATAAAAATATTATCAATCATGCCTATGCTATTCCAGCAAGAAGATTTTTAAAGAATTTTCCTATATATTTCTATGTAAAACTTTGATGGGCAAATGTGGCCCCGCACTAGCCCCGGGGTCATGATTTGAACAAAACTTAATCTACACTACTCTTCCCTATGAGTTCCATCTCTCCTGGCACAGTGGTTCTAGAGAAGAAGATTTTTAAAGAATTTTCCTATATATTTCTATATAAAAATTTGATCAGCTAGTGTGGCCCCGCCCTACCCCCGGGGGTCATGATTTGAAAAAACTTGAATCTACACTACCTGAGTATGCTTCCCTATAAGTTTCATCTTTCCTGGCACAGTGGTTCTTGAGAAGAAGATTTTTAAAGAATTTTCCTACACATTTCTCTGTAAAACTTTGATCGGCCATTGTGGCCCCGCCCTTACCCCAGGGGTCATGATTCGAACAAATTTGAATCTATACTACCTGGGGATGCTTCCCTATAAGTTTCATCTTTCCTGGCACAGTGGTTCTTGAGAAGAAGATTTTTAAAACATAGCATTAAATTTTTACTATTTCTGAATTATCTCCCCTTGAATAAGGGCGTGGCCCTTCATTTGAACAAACTTGAATCCCCTTCACCTAAGGATACTTTGTGGCAAGTTTGGTTGAAATCGGCCCAGTGGTTCTTGAGGAGAAGATGAAAATGTGAAAAGTTTGCGACAACGACAACAACGACAACGACAACGACGACAGACGACGGACAAATTTTGATCAGAAAAGCTCACTTGAGCCTTCGGCTCAGGTGAGCTAATAATGTTTCAGACCGTTGTGAAGTATTTCATAGAGTTACTAGTAATTTCATCAAAGTAAGACTTAAACACAGCAAAAGTATTGCATAACTTGCATGAGAATGGGAATACCTATCCTCTCATATGTAAATAGGTTGCAGGTTTAGTTTTGTTTTAAGGACGATGCATACAAGTAGTCTCGCTCAACCAGACACTCTACTGTAGCCAGAGGTCTCTGCTGGTCGGAGTTTACGGAGACAGCCGAGCGTCTGGTTGAACGAGACTAGCATACAAGCGGAGCCAGTAAATTGGATGTTTGTGATTTTTGAAGCAGCATTAATACTGAAAGGGAAGAAAGGTGCTCCCTAACATACATGTCGTTGACCTTGTATTTATTTTGTTATCCGATTTGTTGAGGATCACGTCTTAAATGCACCCGAATTATTACAAAAGAACGACCTGGTTTCTTCACTTTAAATTGTGCACGAATAAGATAATAAAGGTAGGTGCTGTGGAATTATAAAATCATTGTAGATGTTTATCTAATAAGTAAACTCATTTTCCATTGCACATATCTTATTTTAGCTGGCATTAGACAAGACCTTTAGTATTTATAAAAAGATCTACCTCCATTGCATTCTTTTACCTCAGGTAGCTATCACTATATGAAATATTTCCATTGTGCAACAGAAAGTAGAAATGGAACTCCCTTTATTTATTTTATTGAACAAACCCTTACAAGAAAAAACTACAGTTTATTATGGTGAATTGCAGTTTTTTAGCTCTACTGGTCAGAGACCAGAAGAGCTTATGCGATAGTAATGCGTCCGTCGTCCGTCCGTCTGTCTGTCTGTCTGTCTGTAAACAATTTTTCAAAATGCTACTCCTCCTACAGTTTTGGTCTGATTTCAATATAACTTGGCACACAAGTAGACTACACAAAGATACATAATTCTGTGTATCGGTTTTTGATTTCGATGAACAGTGTTGCCGTGGTTACTAAAAATAGAAATTTCTGTGAAATTCTTTCAAAATGCTACTCCTCCTACAGTTTTGGTCTGATTTCAATATAACTTGGCACACAAGTAGACTACACTAAGATATATAATTCTGTATATCGGTTTTTGATTTCGATGAACGGTGTTACCGTGGTTACTAAAAATAGAATTTTATGTGAAATTCTTTCAAAATGCTACTCCTCCTACAGTTTTGGTCTGATTTCAATATAACTTGGCACACAAGTAGACTACACTAAGATACATAATTCTGTGTATCAGTTTTTGATTTCGATGAATGGTGTTACCGTGGTTACTAAAAATAGAAATTTCTGTGAAATTCTTTTAAAATGCTACTTCTCCTACAGTTTTGGTCTGATTTCAATATAACTTAGCACACAAGTAGACTACACTAAGATACATAATTCTGTGTATCGGTTTTTGATTTTGATGAGCGGTGTTGCTATTGTTACTAAAAATAGAAATTTCTATGAAATTCTTTCAAAATGCTACTCCTCCTACAGTTTTTGGTCTGATTTCAATATAACTTGGCACACAAGTAGACTACACTAAGATACATAATTCTGTGTATCAGTTTTTGATTTCAATGAAAAGTGTTGCCCTGGTTACTAAAAATAGAATTTTCTGTGAAATTCTTTCAAAATGCTTCTCCTCTTACAGTTTTAGTCTGATTTCAATATAACTTGGCACACAAGTAGACTACACTAAGATACATAATTCTGTATATCAGTTTTTGATTTCGATGAACGATGTTGCTGTGGTTACTAAAAATAGAAATTTCTGTGAAATCCATTCAAAATGCTACTCCTCTTACAGTTTTGGTCTGAATTTAATATAACGTGGCCCATAAGTAGACTACACTAAGATACATTATTCTGTGTATCAGTTTTTGATTTCGATGAACGGTGTTGCTGTGGTTACTAAAAATAGAAATTTCTGTGAAATTCTTTCAAAATGCTACTCCTCTTACAGTTTTGGTCTGATTTCAATATAACTTGGCACACAAGTAGACTACACTAAGATACAAAATTCTATGTACATGTATCAGTTTTTGACCTCGATGAACATTATTGCTTTGATTACTAAAAATAGAAATTTCTGTTAAATACTCTCAAAATGCTACTCCAAATATTTAAGTCTGAATATAATATAATGTGGCCTGCAAGTAGACTATACTAAGAACATAAAGAAACTTAATCAAGGATCATTATTCTTTTTTTATTGTTCTGGTAAAGTTTCAATTCCCAACTGCTTAAGAACTTTTCTCTTCCTTTGCTTTAAGTACAAACCAGTAGAGCTTCAGTCTCGACAGAGACTTCTGGTTCTCGTTAGCTACAGTGAACCCTGGTAAATCAAAGAATTTCACAATGAATTTCAGATAGATTTTTAAAAATTCCTACAAATAATTTTCTTATATAAAAACAATATTCAATGTAAATTTACTTTAACCAATTAAAGTCATCATTTCGTAAGTTCTATGGTCGATACAATGACCTTGCCAGCAAATACAATTTATAATGAGTCAAATGCTGACTGACGTTTTTCATACTAATTGTTAGTTCATTATTTAAACACTGAATTGACGACGGATTTTCCCGTTATTTCCCGATCATGACAAGGAGTACAGGCGGGTGTGATCGGTCAGCAGGAGATGCTCACTCCTCCTGGCACCTGATCCCACCTCTGATGTTTCGGAGTACCGTGTTTGCTCTGCTCCTATTTTGTATTGTTTTATGGACTTTGAGACTGAATACTGTTCGTTATCTCCATATCCTTCTTTTAACCAATTACTAGTACATCATTGGTATGCCATAAAATTAAGAAATATTTAGGTCTTAATGCTTCAAAAAAAGTTCTATAGTAAAGTTTTTTGTCAATCAAAATACAAAAGTATTTACAATAGTAAACTAATGAAAACTATTGTAAAGTATTCTTAGGGAACCCTTTTCCTGTTAAAACCTGTATTTAAGGTCAGTCGATAAAGTTTGATTTTTTTTTCATTTACACGTATGTTTTGCCGAAGAAGAAACATGTGCAGGTCAAGGTCTCCACTTTTTCCCATGGAGTTTAATATGGACAACTATGCTTCCTGTCAGTTTGTCTCTATATAATCAAAACCCAACTATTTGCATAGTGTTCTAAGGATTTATACAGAGTAAACATACTATGCCGAAATAGTACATGGCTTCTTTCTGTCAAGAAAATCTGACAGCGTCCACGCCTGTCCTCTCCCTGAAAATGTCCCTGGATCCGCGCATGCCAAGTATAAATTCAGGTGCATTCACTTTCTTATCTCATTTGCCAATGGTACCTGCTTAAATGTGCACTTGATTATACAACTGAACTGCAAATTTTACATTTATAACGTATCCAATGATAATTAAATAAAGGTAAGTTGACCTATTTACAACACTTGATTTTTGTCAATTTGGTATTACCTAATTTAACTCTAACCTAGGTTATTTATATTAATCAGACTTTCTCAAGAAAATGACCTCGTGTCTCTATTGCATAATAGTGTTAATGCAGGTAGAAAAAAAATACCGAAGGTTGATCTAAGCTAAAGAGGACAACAAACTTCATTGAACAAACTAGCTGTTCTGATACTTTGAGACTAAAAGCATCTAAGTCCTTTCAAGTTTTAAATAAGCATGTATTGTGTTAAAATGTCTATTATAATTGTAGTCAATTCTTGATCAGGATGATTAATAAATACCTAAATTCTTCAAAACTGCAATTTTATATAAGATATTTAAGGTAGGATTCTTCTCTGGTTTCTGGCTAGATGAAACATTTAAAGTATATTTGCTTATATGTCTTATATATTGAGGTGCAAGGATTTTAAAAGACCATATTTTTCTTTCCTCATCACAATTGTACAACTTTAAAAAGAAAAGGTAAACTGCGTTTGAAAACTAGCAGGGACTATATTTTTGGCGGAATGGTGGCGTATGAAAATATCTTCTTTTCTGCCTCTCAAAATTATAATAGAACAATGAATTTAATTATAATTTTTACACAATCGAAGACTTGGAGAAATTTTCAAATGTAAGTTAAATTAATATTAGGGGACTAAACTTTCAAAATATATCAAATAAATATGATTTTCCAAACAAACTAGAACTTTGTTAGCTTTTAAACACTTCCTATCAAAAGGAGTGCAGATTTGAGCCAAAAATCCATAAAAAGTATTTTTTTCTCTCTTAGTAAAAGATCAAAACTTTTTGTTTTTGTATCATTTTGTTCATTTATAAGACTACTTTATCATATGTGAAAATGAGAAAAATTTAAATAAAGGAAGAATATGAAAATAACTAATATATCCTAAAAAATTAGGAAAAACAGAGAAAATTCGGATTAGCCAATATCCACTTAAGTTAAATTATTTATGTAAATTTGGTAATATCATGCTATAGATCCGATATAGTAATATGTTTTTATGCAAAAAGGACGATCTTTAAACTTGCGAAATAGAAGTAGGTATCACATGATTGGCAACAGTATTTTTTTATTGTTAATGTCAAGGAAAAAGATAATGACCTTGACCTTGCCTCTAATATAAAACGGTCAACTTTAATTTCACTGATACTATCACTTACTGATAACGGAGGTGGGATCAGGTTCCATGGAAGAATGAACATTTCCTAACTGACCACTCACATCCAGCTTGTATGCTATGTTACTAGTGATCCGTGGAAATTTCAAAGATGAAATAATGGACCAATAATTTGTATGGAGTATGCCAGTCAACATTTGAGTTAATGAGAAACTATACATACAAGAATTTGTTAAGTATATACTTTGAACTAGTTTGTTGACATACGTGTATTCTTATTTTTCTCGTCATAAGTCTGGCTCTTATTAGATATTGTTTGTACAAAAGTATGTTCTTGCTTACTGTATCAGCTAGAAGATATGATCTGCATTTAAAAGTTATAATGGTGTATTGCAACGTAAGTTAGAGAAGTTGGCGACAGAAAAATAAAACATGAGTTGTCAGTTTGAAATCGACGTCTTTGTTTAAGTATATGAAAACGATGCCTTGACTATCTGGTGTCTTTATTTCGAGTTCAATTGGACACAGATGTAAATTGAATCACTGAGGATGGAAAATATTGTTTTACTTGATTAAACGTCGTTAATTTAACATAAAAGTCTAACTGTAGGTTTAAGAATTTCTACTTTAATGCAGAGACTTTTAAATAAATTCTGTTTCATAGGAATAAAAAACTGATCTGCTTATTGCAGGGTAGAATTAGTACCTGTAAATATCGTAACTTACATGTATCATATCTGAAAGCAATATTCAATGAAGCTCATTGACGTGGTAAAATATATAGAGAATATTACATACTAAAATCCATATCATATGTCATATCAGCCCGAGTGGCCCCATAATGGGGCCCGAGGGCTGATGTGACATATGATATGGATTTTAGTATGTAGTATTCTATTTATCATATATTTAAAATACTTCATATTCGAGTTCACATATGGTGGTTGAAGAATGTTTGTGCTTATTAGTGACAGTTTTCTTTAAAATTTAATAGAGCCAATTTTAGGTAATTGAAAAAAAAATTAAGACCACAAATGTTATTAAAGAATTAATTTATATGAATATTTAAATAAAATCAAGTAAATTAACTTTTTAACTTAATACAAACGTTACTTCCGGTTTGATATGGATTTTCGGCCCGACGGTCCGATACGTGATATGGCTTTTCGGACCGGTCCGTGATATGGGGTATTGTGACGTCACCCGTATCACACCGTGCAGAATCGGTGTATTTACTACTAAGTATATGATAATCCTTTTTATCATATACTTAGTAGTAAATATACCGATTCTGCACGGTGTGATACGGGTGACGTCACAATACCCCATATCACGGACCGGTCCGAAAAGCCATATCACGTATCGGACCGACGGGCCGAAAATCCATATCAAACCGGAAGTAACGTTTGTATTACCTTTAAAAGTTAATTTACTTGATTTTATTTAAATATTCATATAAAATAATTCTTTAATGACATTTGTGGTCTTATTTTTTTTTTTCAATTACCTAAAATTGGCTCTATTAGATTTTAAAGAAAACTCACTAACAAGCACAAACATTCTTCAACCACCATATGTGAACTCGTATATGAAGTATTTTAAATATATGATAAATAGAATACTACATACTAAAATCCATATCATATGTCACATCAGCCCTCGGGCCTTCGGCCCTTGGGCTGATATGGGGCCACTCAGGCTGATATGACATATGATATGGATTTTAGTATGTAATATTCTCTATGAATGGAACTTTTAAGCTATCTTTAGAACATTGATTGTCATATCACGGCACGCCCATTTCACTCGGACAAATGGTTCTATGGAATACCTGTAGAACAGGCATTCCATAAATATAATAGCCAATGAAATTGGCGGTCTATATAAACAACGAGCAAGCACGTGTTCGACCGATAGATGTGTAATGATAACTCCAATAAGCATGATAAATTCATAATAATGTACAAATTCGTTGCAATACGTATTTAACAGAAGCTGGGACTCTCTACGAGGGGGTATCAAAAAGTTCGTGGACTGGCGCCATAAAATTAAAACCGCTTTAGGTACATCGATGAATTTTAAAATATCTGGTAAGCATCATCTTTTCTATCTATAGAACAAACTACAAATCATAAATTTAATTTCTTAATAAATTAGTAATGTTTTTGTAAGATATGGTATGTCCAGGCGGCGCAACCTCGAAAAGGACGATTTTTCGAACGAAGTATAACTGAGAAAAACTCTTTTGATATGAATATTTTACATCCGAAAGTCCCGTTAATTCAGGTATATGTTGGAACACTACTGCTTCATAAAATATGAAAATTTCACCAAATTCTGAAAGTTCTACGAAAATTTATTGCGAATCTGACAAGGAGTGTCCAAACAAATAAGTCCTTGAAAATGACGTCAAAAGGGGGGAGAAGTTTCATTTTCCAACATTCTATAAAGTTTTGGCCCTAAAAAAAGTGGTATAGACCTAGGAAATGTTTATTATAATCTGGCTATGGAGAAATTAAATGCATCCAGAGTACTTTTTTTTAATGCCAAATAAAATTCAGAGAGAAAAAGGGTGTACGGTTAAAGTCGATTTGTAGTCAAGGTTTGAAAAATCAATCACGTCAAAAATGAGGTTGATAATATGTTGTAAATATTAAACTCCCAAAAGCAAAATATGCTGACACAATCGAGCGAGTATCTCTCCCAATGTATAAATAAATTTGCAACATTATATGCATTGAAAGCCGCTGTTCCTGACATTGTAAAGTCATATAAACAAGATGGGTTTAAGTCCTTACTCAACGCCAGGGAATCTCGTCAAGTTAAGTGAGTTAGAAGAAGCGGACATTGAAAAAACAATGACGTTGTCGGACGTCATGAAACTAAACGGCGACAGCGCCGAGTAATATCGTTTTTATTTTTATAATAATTTGGCAGATAGTAAACGTATCAAGATAAAATTTTTAACATTTTTCCTTATTTTTTGTTGTTTTATGTTCTATATAAATTTTGAAAGCACAGACTATATCGAACTAATTTATAGCCTCAGTCCATGAACTTTTTGATAACCCCTCGTAAATCCCTCTTTTATAACTTTGAAAATCTTCATTTCGGTGTAACTCATGTTGCTCTCGTGAAGAGGTGTGTCCTTAAAACCATTTGCAATGAAAAACTTAAAGAATCTTTTTACTCAAGCTCGGTGTAGCTGTGCGTAAAATCAGATTGTCTTATTAAAAAATAAGTCTGTATATGACCAGTGATTAGATGGGCAAATGTAAGAGTTCCATTTCACTGATAAAAAATTCCCCCTTATATCAAAGAGTTTGCTGGGTTTGTTTCAATCAGTAAGTATTTACATTGTTGAAAGCTAGTTCGTTTTAAAGCTATTGATTTTTGGAATATTTATCACACTGTAATAAGGATTTTATGAGTTTGTACAAGCCAGACCTCAATAAATTTTTCATTTCACATGCTGAATAACATTATTTAGTAAAAAAAAAAAAGTATTTCGAAAAGAAAAAAAGAAAATGAATCATCCTAGATATGATCCCGGGACCTCTCACATATGAAGCGAGAGACATACCACTACACCACGGAACCGCTTTAAATCGGTGAAAATTATATGCAAACATGAAGTCACATACATGTATATATTCACGTTCGATATTAAAATTTTATACAATCCATGGCGTATAATTTAACCTTTATTAATCAGTTCTAATAGATGTAATAAGAATATGAAGTCCGCCGAGAACCTGTTTTGTACGTAATCACTCTCCTCATGCCCCTGTGCTAAAATAGCGACATGTAATACAATAAATACAATAAAACAAACAGGCCGGGACACTTTGAGAGGGGTGAGAGAGGTCCTAGGAGTTTTGGTATAAAATTACATTGCAAAAGCTCAAAATCTTCTTGAAATATCGCCCGGAAACGATAGTGTTACACACAGACAGAATGTATAAATTTACAACCTTGATCTTTGATCTTTTGAACTCAAAATCAATAGGGGTCTTCCTTCGGCCACAGGGAGTTGTTGTTTAAAATTTCATAACAAAAGCTCAAATGGTTCTCGAGATATCGCACGGAAACGAAAGTGTTATAACAGACAGAATTTGCAAATTTATGATCTTGACCTTTGAGCTTTTGACCTCAAAATCAATAGAGCTCTTCTTTAGTCCATAGGGAGTTGCTATGCAAAATTTCATTGCAAAAGCTCAAAGGGTTTTTGAGATATCGTGTGGAAACGAAAGCGTTACAGACAGACAGAAAGACGACGGACGGACAGAAGGACGGACGGACAGACCTAAATTAATATCCCCCACTTTTCAAGCGGGGGATAACAAAATATTACATGTATGAAGTAGGGTAAGGAGATAACGAACAGTATTCAATCTCAAATTCTATAAAACAATACAAAATAGGAGCAGAGCAAACACGCACCTCCGAAACATCAGAGGTGGGATCAGGTGCCATGGAAGAGTGAGCATCCCCTGCAGACCGGTCCCACCCGCCTGTACTCCTTGTCATGATTGGGAAATAACGGAAAAATCCATCGTCAATTCCGTGTATAAATAATGGACTAACAATAAGTATGAAAAACATCAGTCAGCATTTGACTCAATGATAAATTGTATTTGCTGACAATGTCATTGTATCGACCATAGAACTTACGAAATGCTGACTTTAAACGAGACTGTTGATGTTCTTGTTTTATCAACTTGCTTGTCAATAATTTTAGATATTGTTCATACGTAGAGCATGCTGTTGCGTATCGAATCAACTGAAATATATAAACTCCGTATGCAGGTGTTGAAGGTATATTGCTGCATAAGTAAGGGAAGTTGACGATAGAAAAGTTAAAGCCATCACGTTTATTATATAGCTTGGTTGTAAGATTAGCATTAACGTCTTTTTCAAGCAAAATATCCAAGTATGAAACAGACGTGTCAGACTCTGTGGTATGATTTATCTCAAGCTCATCAGGATATATCGTATCGACGTAGGAATGGAAATTACCCTTGTTAATTGACAATACGTCATCGATATATCTAAATGTTGAGTTGAAGGCCACACCAAGTGTTTTCTTCTTTTCACGCACAAGATTTTGCACAAATCTATTGATATATGTATTTACATTTAAAGGCCCTACAAATGTTGATGTGAGTTTTCGGGCTTAAAAATAAATAAATGATGATGAAACTAAAACTTTCCCATAGCTACTAAGATATGCAGCAGGTTTAAATAATTACAAATTTAGCGGGTTAAAATAATTACAAATTAGGAGTAAGAACGAGAATTTTCTTTTGAAGAACAGGTTCACAATTAATTTCAAAACAAAGGTACATTATCAATCTTTAAATTGCTCAAGGTTATATCTTTTATCGTTGAAACTATTTGCACAGTGATTTAAGAGTGTCAAGCATAAACAACTTAAATTATGTAACATCTTACGTTTGGAAGTTTTAATCAGAGTTTTAATTAATGAAACAGAAAATTAAATGAACACATCCAAAGCATCAGAGGATCCCTACCTGCTCAATGGCCCTGAGTGCCGAGTATAGGACAAAATATGCAGCTCTCCACCACCAAGTGGTGGCGTCTCCACATGAGTGAAAAATTCTCGAGAGGGTCTTTAAACAACATACAATCAATCAATTTGAAGCATAAATAGACAATATATTTTTTAAACCATATCATAATTGGTGTTAAATAAGAATCTAAATATATGTGACCCATTTTTCTAAAGATTTTAAATGATACAGGCTAGGGGCAATAACAAAAATTGTATAATTCATTCACAAATGAATTTTACTGTCATTTACCTAGCTATATAATATTATGCCTTTTTTAAAGAATGGGGACAGAGATATCCAAAGATGGAAGAGAAAAAGTCCTGGTGGACGCTAAAAGTGAATATATTGATGAAGTTCTGCAACAGGAAGTCCATGACAGCGATGAAGATCATGAGAGCGATGGATACGATGAATGCGATGGAGGTAACAAACAGGGATATGTTAATGTAACATAATTATGGATTACAATTACAAACCAATTCAATTCATAAATTCAGTGCTTGAATAGCTAGGTGCAATAATTTTTGTACACTGATAAATTGGTATCCTTTTAAGAATTTGGTGAATTGGAAAAGCTTGCACACACCATTGACCCAAAAGATTATGTTGATCAGTACCCTTTTGAAAATCTCATTTTCGAGGGAGGTGGAGCAAAAGGGATTGCGTATCCTGGTGGATTGAGGGTAAGATATCTGTGATTATTATTCGTCTTTTTTAAAAATGTTTTTATACCCCCCCCCCCGATTGAAAAGTGGGAGGGTATACTGTAATCTGTATGTCCGTCTGTCCGTCCGTCCGTCTGACTGTTATGCTTTGGGGTACCCAACTCTTATCCGCAACTCCTCTTATACGACTGAGTGAAATTTAATGAAACTTACACAGAATCTTTATTACATATTGTCATTGTGCACCTCCTATTTTACTTTTTGATCCGACACATATTTTGGGTTTCCCGGCCACTTCAAAACATGGACTTTGCCATTATAACCAGATGGGAGGCGGGGGGTATCATTTAGTGAGCTCATTGCTCACAGTACCTCTAGTTTTGTTAATGCGCATATGTATGGTGATTATAAACTATTATAAACTATGTTTAATAGTAGCATATTTTTGGCAAAAATCAAAAATTAGCACTTGGCAAGTGATTGTTTGGTTTTTCAAGATGTTGATTATTTCTAGTTCATTAAAAACTAAAAATGAATGTTTTAGTACATGTAATTATCTACATACATATTTTATGTTTAAGTTCAATATGTCATACACATTATAGAGAAACGTAATCGTGACATCGTATTTGACATTCCGTAATACTTTATTAAAAGTAACGCACAGTAAACACTTTTTAATCAACTATTTATGTCAAATGCTACATGTACAGATGGTACTTTTTTACCAAAATCTCTTGGATGCATTAATATTTCATTCTCTTTCAGGCGTTAGAGGAAGTTGGTATTATGAAAAAGATAAAAAGATTTGCCGGTACAAGCGTCGGCTCCATAACGGCAACAATGGCTGCGCTTGGCTACAAGAGCACTGAAATTAGAGAAGTCATGTCGACGGATTTTTCGAAGTATTATGGTACTGCTGTTTTATACGTTTTTGATAACTGAAACAAAGGAAATAATACATGCAACATCTTTCAAATCACATGCTTGCTGTAGAACTGAAAACTCAATTTGACATACACAAACTTTTAATCATCTGTTGCAAACCTTTTTTTTTATCTCAAATAAACTCTTATGAAGTTGGGGAGGGGGGTTGTCCAAATAAGTGTCTGTTTGATTGATAGTCCTATGTTTTATTTATTTTGAAAGATGCTAGGTTTGGAAAATTCAGTTTCATTCCAAATCTCCTCTGGTATTTGGGATGGCAACCGCTCCTTACCCTGTATGATTATATAGGAGAGATAGTTGAAAAGAAACTTGGCGACAAAGATGCTACATTTGATCAAGTAATCTTTTTTAACTTCTATATTGTGTTACATTAATTTGAAGATTTAATTTTCTTCCAAAACCAAATGTCATCGACAATACAATTTATATGTGCAACCATAATGAGAAAAACAATAAGAGGTTGTTATATAACTCACACCTCAATTCACTTAAAATTAATTAGCTTGTACTGAGTTTTCACATACATTTGTTTTATCAGCTTTACAAGAAATTAGGAAAGGAATTGTGTATTGTTGCTACAAATCTTAATGATATGGAAGAGACCTATTTTCACCCTAAAACTACACCCAAAATGCCTATCAGAAAGGCGGTCCGTATGTCTATAAGTCTTCCAGGTAAGAATGTTACATTAAGATACGCGGTTTATTCAATTTTATGTGCTGAAAAATCACGTTCGTTAGCGAGAACTTTATTTTCAGGTATAAAGGCGAGACCAAGCGCTTGCGGAAAATTCGTTATATTAGTATTTCTTAAAATTTAATTGAGTATAATTAACACAATTTAATTTTTCTCTTGATAATATAGAGTTATTATTAAAGGATGAATATCTCGCGAAAATAATTTGTCGCAAAAATTAGGTAAACTAAACTAATTTAATTGTAAAGGTAGTTTTCTTGTTTGGCAGGAATAATGCAGCCTATTAAACATACAGACTTTGGAGTGGAAAGTATGTATGTAGATGGTGGTGTACTCATCAATTATCCAATAGAATGTTACGATGGTGAGTTGAACATGGCACCAATTTTTCTGTTAGTTAAAGTAGCAGACCAAGTCTTTTTTTAATTAAGTTAATTAAGAAACAGACGGTCATGAAAATGGTTTACTGAAAGAGACGATGAAATATTCTTTTTATTTTTATTTCCTAATAATTGAGGGAAAAATTACCTGGCCCTAAAAATACATTATGAACCTACTTCAATATTTGAATGTAATTTCATTTGAATGTCTATATATTGTAATTCTTTAATGTAGAATTTTTCTGGTTATTTGATTCGTAAAACATTTAAAATCTTTGTAAAGTGTTGCTTGCGACAACCTTGTCCTTTTCAAAACGCACTGTAGACTCTGTTGTTTTCTCCAAATATTATTAAATACATGTATAGCAGTTTATGGGACTCTTTAAGACACATTGGATTCTCTTACCTTTTTCTAGGGTGGTGGCTTTCAATGAAAAAGGAAGATTCGTTTTTCGAAAGATTACAACCCTTGGAGAAACTCCCATTTATTATGGACAGAAAAAACAGATTTGCTCGTGATGGGACCCAATCGTCTAAATCGCTGGGATTTATACTGGTAATAAAAAGAAGAAAATATGTAATTTGTATTTGTAATACTGAATACTGTTCGTTATCTCCATATCCTTCTTATAACTGTTTTAACTTACAAAGACCTTCTTTTGTTGCATTTGTTGTTTTGGTTTTATTTATATATGTTTTGTAGTATTCTGAGGACGAGATTGAATCGTTCAAGTCAATATTTGAATCAAGAAGGAGAAAAACAGTACAGTTTCCAGATACACCACTGGGGAGGTAAATTTACCAATGTACAATGTACTGTAGGTATTCTATTTTTGATCTGAATCTCTACTGTCCAGTGCTGAGCAATCGTTTTTGTGGCAACGCACTTTGAAAAAATTACGCACTTTGAAATTTTTTTTCAAAGTGCGTTAAAACTGGGACAAAATCAACGCACTTTGAAAAAAATTTTCAAAGTATGTAAAATTTGGGACATACTCAACGCGCTTTGAACAAATTTTTAAAAGTGCGTTAACAGTGTTACAGTACATATTTTTTTTTACCATGTGGACATTTAACGCACTTTGAAAAAAATATGTATAAAACAAAAATTATAGACTTAGATTTAAATAATTGAGAGCATTAATTTGTAATAATTATATTTTTCGAAAAACGTTTTAATTTACATGTATTGATTTACTTTCATTGAGAACAAGGAGAAGATGATTATATCGAAGGTCTCTCAGCCAAACTCTTTTTTTTTCTTGTACATAGCCGTCGGTAGCAAATTTAATCCCCAATTTTTAATGTCTACATTATGTATATCTTGCCAAAACATTTGTGTGTATAAACCCCCCCCCCCCCCCGCTACCGATGCCTATGCTGCACCCAGATAAATGAATTTGTATACGTGGTATGACGATGAAAACTTTCAATAAATTTTAGTTTACATTAAATGCATCCCATGCAAACTGCAAAAAATAAAGTACAGTAAAACATTTACGAGAGAAAGAATTTTCAAAGTATGGAAAAATCAAAATCGCTCACTTTCACATCTGGAAGTGACCTTATTACCGAAAAGTTATCCAACAGGTTCAATTATTTATCACACCTAAGATTTTCAAGAATATTGACCATGACATACACATTTTTTTCAAAGTGCGTTAATATGGTTGATATCAACGCACTTTGAAAAAAAAAATTATTTTTTCAAAGTGAGTTGATTTGGTCCCAAATTTAATGCACTTTGAAAATTTTTTTCAATGTGCGCAATTTTTCAAAGTACGTTGTAACATTTTTTTTAAATATACCTTTTAACTGGAAAATATAATGAAAACTACTAAAATCGAGAATTAGTTTCTGTTTCAATTTCAAGATACTTTTTTGTAAAATAATTCTATGATTTTAATTATTATAGTGTAAGACAAACTCTTAAAAAAACGAAAAAAAAAATTGTTTTTTCAATGTCATTCTCACAGTATTTTTAAAAAGTGTCATTAATTTACAAGATAGAAAATGGTCCCTGTTTGCTATATTTTATTGATAATGTCGAATCGGCTGAATAATTTTTAATTTTTTCAAATATGGCATCGTTATTCATCTTCTTTTTGAAGATTGTTTCAATCTTTTAAACATTTCTGTAATAAAAGGAAGGCAACACAGAAAATGGAAAACGAAAGGAAGCTGAATAAAGAACACAAATGCGTGAGAACTGCAGTTAGCAAGTTTTTAAAGGTGTGTGTATTCAATATCTGTAAAGAGTTGAAATCTTTCACGAGATCAATTTGAATTAGCTATATATTCAAATTATTTAGCCCAGTTACACCGATTTCGTATAAATTATGCATCAAAATCTTATCTTTAAAAAAATGGTATGATTAGACAAAATAAATATTTGTGACAGAGAGATATTGCGTTTTAAGTTCTCCATTTTAGTTTTCATTTTTTGTTATATTATTTTTTGTTCGCTTTTACTTTACCGAGAACAGTCGATCACTTGATAACTTTCTGTCTTTACAAACGTTTCTTCACAGATACTGCAAAAGTATAACCTTGACAAAGATGAATTTATAAGCAGAGACGAACTAGAAAATGCCATTAGAAGTGTATGTAAGCATGTGTATAATTTAAAGGGTATTTAGAATAACAAATCTTTCTATATTAGTAACGTAATTTGTTGTCCTAATTTTATTTTATTCAGGAGGAACTTTCTCATTGTGACAAGAAACGTCTGTTTGGGAAGAATGTTACTGTTGATGAAGTGATGGCGAAACTAGACAAGGATAAAAACGGAAAGGTCCTACTTCCTTAGTATTTGAAACTAATGCAACATTACCTCCTTTCTTTCTTTCAAATATTATGTGTCTTATGAAGTCTAAAATATGTTTTTTTTTTTCCTCTTTTTATGTGTATTAGATCAGTTATGAAGAGCTGGTTTCATTCATTGAAGAAACAGGGATCTCGGTGGTTCACAGAAGATTAGGGTTTGGTAGACAACAAGTGGATACATTTCTTTCTTTGCTTCAGACCCTCTACAATACAATGTCATTGAATATTGTACGGATATCAGTCAGCGTAAGTTTTAGTAAATTGTGAAATCTAATAATTGTGATGTAGGCGTTGATATTATTTTTTTTCTCTTCAATAAGTCAGAGATTATCTAGGTATAATTTTTGTTAAGAACTATGAGACTGTCCATTTACAATTATTATTTATACATGTAATTGTTTATATTTTTAAAAGTATTTTTCCATAAAGAATTCTAGCTTACCTGTAAAAACAATCGATGTAGCGATAGGATCTGTTTTATTATAGGCGGCAGATGTGTCACGTACAGTAGGCTTGAACTCGCATTACATAGGAACCCTCACATTTGATTATACCAAAGAGGATGCAGATTTTGTCGGACAGGTAACATCACCGTGGAATATAGCTCTATGCGTTATCAAAGTACACAATTAAGTTAAGAACTTAAAAAACGTTTCTGAAAAAAGTACGTATTAATTTATAATCAAAAGGGTAAACCATTATTACAAGGGATTTCATTGTATACTAGTTCACAAGTTCATGTACATGCAAGAGAGAGAGAGAGAAAGAGAGAGAGAGAGGTTAACTTTTTTTCCAACATAGGGGGAAAATATGGGTAGGTTTTCATAACAATCTAAATAGATGTTGTGTTTTAGGAGAGTTACAACACCACTTTGGCATTCTTGAAGAATTTCGTGGCAAAACTCAAAATGGAGGAAAAAGCCAGAGCTCCTTTCATAAGCACGAAGAATGAGTTGGATGGTTGAAAAAAATGTGAAACGTTTCATAAGAAACTTTCAGCTGACATAATAATGGTTTGCTTCTAAAGTCAATCATTCAGAATGTGAATAATGACACTTACATGTATAAGGTACAACATATGCGTGCAACATTTTTTAACAATCTATGCGGTGTATACCATTTATGTATATGGTGTTTTTAATTACACTTATAAAGTACAACACATGCATGAAACATTTTAATAATCTATTTAGTACATTACATCTATGTATATGGTTTTTTTTATTATTCCAAGACAAAAAAATCAGTACTCTCAACCTGCTTATAAAAGTGATTTTTATCGGCCGCAACAGCGGCCGATCTATTTGTGGTTGTGTTAGAAAGTGCATATATGGGGAAATGAGATGTTATTTTTTTAATTAGTTCAGTAAAATGATTCTTAAATGATAACATGTATAAAATCAAGAGTAAAATATTTCAAAAACTTGTTTTAATTTGAAATTTAATCGTTGTTATTATGTTTCGATTACATAATCATTTCGCCTCAGATAATTGATAATTTCTGGTAAAATAAAAAGAGTTTACAATAGGTACTCCCCGTCCTGGGAGTGTGTAAGATACGAAAGGAAATCGTCATAATTTTCCGGATAAGGACGACGGGATAAAAGTGCGGCATGGTGAATAAAAATTGAAAAGTTGTTCATCAAGTAAAATTTGTTTTGAATATACTTGAGCTGCAAATGACACAAGGATTATTTTTCTACATTTTGCACCGCACCATGCAGCATAGCCTAAAAACCATAGGCATTATCACGTGACAGGTTCATCTTGAGAGGCCTACATCTTCATTTTGATGACAATAGTTTCTTATCATGAATAATTGACTTTATAACATCGATGAATCCAAATGATGAGCAAATGCAATAAAATTTTGTTTAATTTTTTGAAAATTCATGCATTTATTTATTTTGCTTTGAAGACAGTCTGAAATGATCTCTATTTCAGCTTTGAATATCTTGACAAGTGCTTTCCTTGCAAGGATGCTTTTATAAAATTTTGAAAGTTTTTTTTAATGGTAGAATATGTTAGCGGCCGATTTGATGCTTTGCATCAATTTAACTTGTTATTAGTGTATATGTACACACTATCGATAAACATAATATGTTTCTAAAATTATACAACGTCAACATTCATTGGGTTAAGGGCTACAATATATATTTGACCGAATTTACTTTGAATTATATTTGTCATATAAGAGCCCTTGATTATCATATAGAAAGATGCTTAATATAACAAATTCAATCTTATTCCTAATGTTTTTGGTACTTTAGATGGCAATCGCCTCATACCATGTTTAACAACATTGGAGAAATTGATAGAGGAGATGTACTGACAAAAAAAAAACATTACAATTTGATCAAGTAATATTTTCGTTTATTCCTGTCGATCTTCAAAATTATTGTTTTTTCATATTCAATTTATTTTTAATTGTACAAAACATAAGAAAGGAATATAGAAGATCATGATAATGAAAAGACGTAAATATCATTTTAAAAACTACTAATAATATAACACCCAGAAAGGCGGTTCGTTTGTCTTTAAGGATCTTAGGTTAGTAAATGCAGGTAAATACGGTATGATTATACAATTTTATGTAATTGTTCAGGTACATGTACAGGTATTTTGTATTGAACATGTATTTTGCAACCGATTAAACAAACTGATTTTGGAGTGGATATATATCGATGTGAATGGTGTTGTAATTACCAACTACTTAAAAGCGTGTTTCAATGTTGATTGCTTTATATATTAAACACAACAATATATGCTCTAAATGTGAAAGCAATAAATAATTTCCCGGTGTCTTTCGAATTCGTTTTTATTTGAAGAATACAAGTTTCTAAAATTATTTTGTAATTCTCATATACAGAAAAATACTAGTATGTATTTAGGAATTGTCATTCTTAGTTGCGTTAACAAATTAAAACGTCGGTCGTAAAATTATTTTTCCAAATGCTGATTAAGAGATGGTTACATAATTTATTTGAGTAGTATTTTTTATAGATTAAAAAAAAAAGAAAAATATACTCTGAATTATATGTAGAAGTGACATTTTATAGCTTGCTTACGAATAAATGCATTTAATATATGGAGATAACGAAATGTATTGAAGCTAAAAATCCCATTTAAACAATAAAAACTGAAGAAAATTAAAGCAAACAAGGACCTCGAAAACATCAAAGGTTGGATCAGAATGGAGGAGTGAGCATCCCATGCCAGCTGGTCATACCCGCCGTGTGCTTCTTGTTATGACCGGGAAATAACGGAAAAATCCGTCGGCATTTCAGTGTATATAAACGCCGTACAATAAGTATGAAAAACGCCAATCAGAATTTGACTAAAATTAATATTTTTTTTTTGTTGTTGACAAGGCCATTGTACCGACCAAAGAACTTACGAAATGATGACTTTATCGAGCATTTTAATATTCTTGCTTCAGCAACTTGTTTGTAAATAATTTACCTTGCTTTAGAAATATTTATATCCATGCTCTCGCGCATCGAATCAGCTAAGATTCATAAACTCCGTATGCAGGTGATGAAGGTACATTGCTGCAGAAGTTGAAAAATTAAAGTCATCACGTTTATCATAAAACTTGGTTGTAAGATTACCATTAACGTCTTTTTCAAGTAAAATATTGAACAGATTTAATTTGTCATTCTCTTTGGTATCTTTTATTTCGAGTTCATCGGGTTATATCGTATCAACATATGAATGGAAATTAACCATTGTTAATTGAATACATTTTATGAACTTTTCTCCCTTTGTCAGATAACGAGCCTTCATACACGTAACCATGGAGGGCTTACCAAGCAGACAAAAATGATATTTTCAACTGTAAATTGTTTAGAGTTTTAAACTGTTAGTATATTAGTTCAAGTATCTAACTTTCAAAAACTGAAACTGATTTGGTATATTGAAATTTAATATTTTAGTTCAAAAATCTAAATTTCCAAATAGGTTTTAGAATTTTAATATTTTAGATTTTTACCTTTAACTTTCAAAATTCAAATGACCAAAACGATTAATGGAATTTAAACGTTTGAGTTTTTAGTCCACCGTTTGTTCAGAAGGTTTACATTTAAGGGACTCCGACCCTCAGCTAGGAAGGACAACTCTTTAATTTATAATTTAATTCAAAAAGTCTTTAAATGAAGCTTGAAAATTAAATCTTTTCATGCAACAATTTTCATTATACGCCTCTCAATGTGCTTCAAGGTTCTTTGAACTTCTCAGATAGGTCTAATTAAAAGTAGAAATTTTTATCCCGAAAAAGCATTTTTAGATACCAATGTTTATTAACATAATATGAAATTAGAAGTGATTTATGGAGCTTTGCAAAGCGTTTAAAAGTTGGAAGTTTTAAGTAAATTTAAATAATCAAAAGACGAAAATGTTATCGAATTTTAGATTGTTAAGCGTAAACTTTCTAAACAAACAGTAGATTAAAAACTCAAAAGTTTAATGGAAATTTGAATTTTGAAAATTTAAGGTAAAATTCGAAAAACTTAAAATTCTAAAACCTGTTTGCAATTGGAAATTTGAAAATTTAGATTTTCGAAGAAAAATTTAAATTTCAATATAATAAATCAGTTTGAGTTTTTGAAAGTTAGAAATTTGAACTAATACATTAACATTCTAAAACTCTATATCGTTTTAGAGATTTGAATTGTTAAGTGTTACACGGACCCTCGTTCAATGCGGATTGAAAATTATCATAAGCATTAAGACTTTCTTGAATCAGAATGCTTTTCATTCCAAAACATTGAGAAAAAAAAAAAATAAAAGAATGTGAGGGTGTCGATTACTTAAGACCGCGGATGATTCACTGGCAAGGTTGGAAATATGCACCGTACGTCATTTTTATATGTTACAATCAAAACATTTAATGATAGACAATGAAATGGGCGGGTACAATTCGATGGACGGCCGAGAAAACACACTGGATTGAAATTCTAGTTTGAAATTCATTTTCAATGCACCTCAGCTACGCTAGAAGGCACATTATTACTGATTGACCCAGAAGACAAATAATTTCAATTTCGGTATAGTTTGAAATAATTTATAAGTCAGAAATTTCTGTCCAGCGTTTAAAAAATATTTAAAGGGACAAATATTTGCTTTCTGTTTGTTATAATTTATGTATATGTTCGGGGGGAGGGGGGTTAAGGATCTTGGAAATAAATAAGAAAGTTGTCAAACATTTTTCATTGAAGACAAAACAAAAAAAAAAGCTCTTGTCATCCTCAGAATTAATTGGTACAAAGCATGATTTGACTCCAAGTCGACAATTTTTGACAGCCCCAACCCCCCTTCTAGAATCAAATGGCCGTCTCCTGAAAAAATAAGCTTAATATATGTCTTCTATGACTTTTACCAGTGTCCTTAAGATAATACTCGTATTATAGGCTATTAACTCATATCAATTTAAATTTCAACTAATATGAATTTGGGAATTGAAATTATTTGTCTTTAGGATCACACACTTTGCTTTTAAAAACAGCTCAGGTGGATTAAAAATGAATTTCAAACTAGAATTTCAATCCAGTGTTTTCTCGGCCGTCCGCGTCGAATTGTGCCCGCCCATTTCTTTGTCTATCATTTTAAATGTTTTGATTGTGACACATAGAAATGACGTAAGCTGCATATTTCCAATGTTCCGCAGTCTTAGTGTCCATTTTTATACCCACTATGACTTGTGATTTTAACAACAAGCATGTTATTTGATTAAATCGAGGATAAATATGACTAAAATACAGTGAAGTCTCATTTTAATAGTGATACATGTTTATCTCTATTATAGACGAATTTACTTCCCCCAACCTGTTCTAGATCCGCACCCATTAAACTGAATATTCAAGAACGATAACTCAGTTTGTTTACTTCGAAATAAAGATTTCGTCGTTGTAAATGTTCGCCGTTCACGGTTCAGTTAAAAGTGTGCAGATTTTCCGTATTAAGACAACGTTTTAAAGGACATTTAAGAAACTACTTGAACTTGCAAATGATAACAAAAAGCAATAGCTTTAAAAGCGTCCAAAGCATTTGAAAGCACTTAACTGAACAATGAAATATTGGAAATATTGTTTATCGCTGTGCAGTGTTTTCTATTCCCTTTTCGATTTGGGATCAATGTCCACAGAAACATGTAAGTGAAAAGAAGTTAGAGAAATAATAACTAGTGTACGTGCATATGATAGTTAGTTTTTATAGACCTTAAGTTATATGGTATTAAGAAAAAATAAAAATGAGGAAATTCGAAATTAGGGAGATGAAGAGCACAGTAAGTAACGACAACTCGAAAATTTCATACTTTGTACTAGATTATAAAAAAAACTCTTACATTCAGAATTTCATGTGCATCAACTAATAAGTGTAATACTTATAATATAAATAATGTAGTTCTATTTAGGAGTTAATCTTCTTTGTGTAGAAAATTATTATTTAAATTCATATCATTGTTTATTAGTATGTAAAATATCAGGTCCATTTACTGAAACTTTGAAAAATTACAACGATTTTACAATGCGTTCATAGAATTCACGGAGCAATCACTTGACGTTAGTGACGTGACAACCGGATATCAAACCCGTTAAGATTTTTATTAGTTCTAAATATCTTATATTTCTTTGACTTTTCTTTGTCTTTTTTCTACTTAAAAATTAAATATCAATATCGAGACATGTTACTTTTCTTTTATAATGTCTTAAGTCTTGTTCGGATATTAGCAAGATCTTAAAATGAACGTCTACGCAGTTATGAAAAAAAAGTAGCATGCTCCGGGAAGCATGTTTTATTAAAATAATACAGCTGTATATTTTTTAATTATCACCGGAAAACACCAAATCTTTGTATATTTATTAGAAGAATGGTAAAGTTTTTATCTGGAGAGTTTCACCGGTTTCATGGAAATAGCGCGCTCACAATCGAACTTGTCCGCGAACTTTTCTAACAACCCTCGTACATGTATACAGCCAATATGTGAGAATACTGTTTTTGAAAGAAAAATAATTAACTCACTATATAAGCTTACCATATTTCATATGCATGGTCCCCTATACTTTTTGAATTGCTTTAGACATTGAACATGCACAATTGCAAGTAACCTCAAAATACTTGCATGATAACAAATATTTCAGGATTAATTGGCTAAATTATAATTGTACCTGGCATGTTTTTTATACTAGCTTATCTAAGTGTAGAACTTGGCTTCTGCTTGAAATGTTTATCAGATATGAAACTCAAACGAAATTTAAGATTTTTAGATAACTATAACGAAATTTCTTATCTTTAATATGTTCGACATAGAAGAGTAAAAACGGAACTTTTTCCGTAATTCTTTTAAAAGAAATGTAATTAAGAAATGCTATTTGTGAAAAATAATGTAAAAAATGTACTCTTTAAAATGCTTAAGAAACTTTGTAGAAAAAATTCTTTTTTAACTTTTCAAAATATAAATAAATGTAAAGTTGCATTTTTGCTTCCCCTCCCCCCAAAATAATTTGGCTTGGCGAAGCAATAAGTTGTTTATCTAAACAAAAATCCCTTCTAAAGTGAGAGGGCACCCAATTTCGCAAAGATGAAATATATGAAAATAACGAACAGTATTAAAGCTCAAAAGTCAATTAAATGATACAAAATTTGAGCAGAAAAAGCATGGACCCCAAAAATATAAGAGGTAGATGAAGTGCTGTGAAGGAGTGGGCATCTATTGCCAATCGGTCACACCAGCCGTATGTTCCTTGTCATGAAATAACGGGAAAATTCGTCGACAATTCAGAGTATGCTCTTGCGTATAGAATCTGACACTTTTAAATCGGAGTTTTCATTTAATTATTCTTTTGTTAATTTTCAGTAACGTATGGGGAAGACGCATGTTTTGGGCCTTTCCATCCCTCGCCAAGAGAAAATTTTACGGTGACTCATGAAGGTTTGGACAGTAGTGGTATTTGTCGAGACATGTCGTTCAGTGGTTGGGACTATAAAGACTCTCTTCAGAGGGAATTGTGTATCAAAGTGAACAGTGTCAATTTGTATTGTTCCCAAAAGTTAGTATACAGGATAGACTCCAACAGAGCTAAGCCAGTTAAGGTCAGTGTCAAAAACTTCTCTACTGGAATTGTATGTTGGCCTTTTTATCATTTTTTTCAAACCGCATTGAAAAGTTAGTAAAACTGAATTGAATATTTTTTTCAGAAATTTGATTGTTATGACACTGCAGACAGCATACCGGTATTTTGTACGTTTGAGCTATTGTACATCCGAATACAGACCGAGGAGGCAATGAAGGACACGCAAGTAGTTTACACTGTTTATAGTGGGAGAGAACAACCTTCATATGAGAGGGGTGAGTAGTCCATGTGAGTACATTGTAATGAAGTTAGGTAAGGACGATTATAGTCCTTTATTGAAGAACATTAATGGATGCATGTCCCGACCCTAAATTATGGTAACATCCATTTAAAGCAGATTGACAACTTACTGTTTTCGCTAGGTTATTAGTTTGCCCCTGTCGCATAATATTCGTTCCGGATGTTTCGCGTTCCGGCCGGAACCTTAAAATCATAATATTGGTTCCGGATTTTACTGTAATATAGGTTCCGGCCATGAGTTCAATCTTCGAATCGCGGTATCTGTCCAGATTTCATTCTATCTGTCCAGATTTCATTCTACATTGAGTCATGGAAGTAGTGGGTTTTTTTTCTTGAGGTTTTAGCATGAGGCAGCGACATTCTATTTTCGTGCGTCGCGCAATGTTTTGACTGTACTAACCAATTTTAAAAAATAGATGAATAGATAGCCTGATGATACTCTTTCTGATACATTTGACTTTGGTCGCATTATAAGGCTTTGTTTATCTTATGTATACAAATCGGTTATCTACAACTCAATTCCTTTTGTTTATTTAGTGCATGCCAGGTGTGAATCTCGCGCTTCAATGCACGCAAACCCGTAAAGACAGGTAAAGAGCATAGTTAGAAGATAAACAATTTAAGACCGGGATTACGAAAGACTAACATTTAAAGATACACAATGTCAAAGAATTAATTAATTGATAATTTTTTTAATTCAGAATTCGATAAAAGTAAAGAACAATTATTGATAATTATATATTTACGGAATGAAATTCTCTGTTTAAATGATATTACACGTGTTGACATTTCACCAAGTCGAGGCTCAAAACACGGCTTCCATTCCTCATAATTAAAGATTTTTTTTCATAATTAGATATTATTGATGAAATGGCATGATAATACGGTTTATATTCCATTTGAAATATGTATATGATTCACTGTTGAAGAATGCTACGTATATGGTTTATTTTCTTCTAAATTAATCTCCATACTACATGTAGGTACAGTACATGTATTTCATGATAATGTGATTTATTCTGTAGTGAAATAAACATGAAAACATAAGAATACGAGTATGGTTTATTCCTTTTAATACCAAAAAAGCCAAGCACGTGTAATTAATAAAAATGATAATTTTTTTAATCGTCGGAAGAAAAAAAAATAGTAATTGAGATATGAAAAGTAAAGACAATATATGTTAACTGGCTCGGCTTTTTATTTAATACGATCAAGTTTTAAAAAAAAATCTTTTTTTTTCTTTTACTTTTCTTTCGTCTTTTTTTTCTTTTTTTTTTTTTTTTTTTTTTTTTTTTTTTTTTTTTTTTTTTTTGCTATTTGTTTGTTTTAAAGGAATTATAATGCACGTTAGTGTTACCTCGAGGAATGTCCTAACCACCAACCGCTTAAGATATGTGGTAAAAAAAATTATTTCTGCATGGGTGTTTGAATACATAAAACACGATGAAGTTGGTAAAAATATGATCGTTTTATACCTGCCATTCATAGCCGCCGGAACCGGAAGGGGTGGGGGTAGGGAGGATTAGCCCCCACTTTTTTTTTTGCAAAAGTAGACATAATATAGACATCATACATTGGGGCGTAGGTTTACCCCCCCCCCCCCCCCCCACACACACACTTTTTCAACCGACACGTTGCAATTGCGTTTTAAAAAGGGAAATGGTAGTGTTTGGAAAAAATACTGGCACTGGAAGACGTTCTATCATACCCCCCCCCCCCCAACCCCAACCCCAACCCCCACGAAATAGCTAGAATTTTCGTGTTTAACAATTGACACATTTTCTTTTTTTGCTTGTCAAGAATGTTTTTGTAGGTTTGATTTTTTTCTTTCACTTACCCCCCCCCCCCCCCCCCCCCCCCCGCCTTTCAATTTGCTTCTGACGCCAATGTCATTATGTTGAAATAATCTCAACTGCTTCGGAGAAAAATATTAAATAAATACACGAAGGTTAAAAAAATGCACATTTACACAGGTACATGTAGGTTAAAGGTAAACTGCAATAATGTTCATGTAGCTGTGCTACGTTTTTTTTTTAAAATCTCACCCCTTCTCCAATTTAAAAGAAAATGGAGATTATATCTCAACAGGCCCACAAAATGAAAAGTTGTTTATCAATATTCCAACATTTTGTTATAGGGGAGTTTCAATTATAACAGTTGCAAAAATGTAAAAGTTTTATTTAATTTTTAATTATTAATTTGCAAAACATGGAATAGAGTTCTATTCATTTTTTCTGGAGCATCACTGTTGTAGAAAAGAAGACAATTACGTAGCAGGATCATGGCATATTGTAGATGCTTGTCTGCAAAAATCGTGGCAATTGAAGGTAAGACGGGACCACAATTTATAGGGAATAAAATTATATTTTTTAATTAAAATATTATACATGCAGAACAAAATGGATCCGTAGAACCAACTGGGATAGCGGAAACAAGTGTCTATAAGGGGAGTGATTTTTGGGAAAACAGAAGCTATTAACATGGAAATACAAGTGTAATGAAAGAATGTTTTAAAATGTTCTCATTAATACCCAAGGTCATGCAAACATGATTTATAAAACAAGCTAATTCAGAGAATCTATGTCCCCCGCATTACGGAAAAGAAGAGCATGCACGAACCGAAGGGGGGGGGGGTTAAGATGGGTGTGTGCTAGGGAGTTATGGTATGACATTTCATTGCAAAATCGTTAACGCTTCTTGAGATACCGTCCATGGCCAGAAATGAAAGCTTTACCCCCAGAAAGAATATACAAATACATGTAATATATGAATTAACGATGTTGACCTTTGAAATTTTGACCTCAAAACCAATAGTTTAGAGGCCTTCCTCATAATTAGGACATAGGGAGTTGTGGTATAAAATTCCGCTCAAAGGCTTCTCTCCATAGATATCGCGTGGAAACGAAAATGTTAAAAATAATTTATGAATTCATTACCTTGACCTTTGACCTCAAAATCTTTAGGGCTTTCTTTAGGCCATAGGAGGTTTTTTAAATTTCTTTCCTATAGTTCAAAGGTTTTTTGTGTGTATGTACCTGTATTTCGGGTTGTCTGTCTGTCTTTTCCAATCTTTGACTATGATAACTCAGACTGGAACCCAAATTATGGTCATATTTCTGGGTGACTATTACTGAGAGTTATTTTAAAAATCTTTTGCTATTTTGAAGTTCCTTTTCCACTTTGTGTCGAAGATAAGTTAGCCCTGAACCAAAATTATGATCATATTTAACATTCCGGGTTAGCAGTACTGGGTGCATTTTCAACTATTTTTTTGCTACTTTGATGTTTCTTTTCCACTTAATGACGAAAACAAGTTAGCCCAGAACCAAAAATCATGCTCATAATAAACGTTCCGGGTTGCAGTTAGTGAAAGATATTTCATATATTTTAGCTACTTAGTTGTTTGTTTTCCAGTTTTTGACGAAGCTAAGTTAGACCGGAACCAAAAATTATGTTCATAATAAACGTTCCGGAACGGGTTGCAATAACTGAAAGATATTTATATCTATTTGCTTCTTAGTTCTTTTGACGAAGCTTAGTTAGCCAGGAACCAAAAATTATGCTAATAATAAACGTTCTGAGTTGCAATTACTGAAAGATATTTCATATATTTTAGCTACTTAGTTGTTTGTTTTCCAGTTTTTGACGAAGCTAAGTTAGCCCGGAACCAAAAATTATGTTCATAATAAACGTTCCGGAACGGGTTGCAATAACTAAAAGATATTTATATCTATTTGCTACTTAGTTCTTTTGACGAAGCTTCGTTAGCCAGGAACCAAAAATTATGCTCATAATAAACGTTCCGGGTTGCAGTTAGTGAAAGATATTTCATATATTTTAGCTACTTAGTTGTTTGCTTCTTAGTTCTTTTGACGAAGCTAAGTTAGCCCGGAACCAAAACTTATGTTCATAATAAACGTTCCGGGTTGCAATTACTGAAAGATATTTCATATATTTTAGCTACTTAGTTGTTTTCCAGTTTTTGACAAAGCTAAGTTAGCCCGGAACCAAAAATTATGCTCATAATAAACGTTTCGGAACGGGTTGCAATAACTGAAAGATATTCATATCTATTTGCTACTTAGTTCTTTTGACGAAGCTTAGTTAGCCAGGAACAAAAAATTATGCTCATAATAAACGTTCCGGGTTGCAGTTACTGAAAGATATTTCATATATTTTAGCTACTTAGTTGTTTGTTTTCCAGTTTTTGACGAAGCTAAGTTAGCCCGGAACCAAAAATTATGTTCATAATAAACGTTCTGGGTTGCAATTACTGAAAGATATTTCATATATTTTAGCTACTTACACTGTAGTTGTTTGTTTTCCAGTTTTTGACAAAGCTAAGTTAGCCCGGAACAAAAAATTATGCTCATAATAAACGTTCCGGGTTGCAATTACTGAAAGATATTTCATATCTATTTGCTACTTAGTTCTTTTGACGAAGCTAAGTTAGCCCGGAACCAAAAATTATGCTCATCATAAACGTTCCGGATTGCAGTTACTGAAAGATATTTCATATATTTTAGCTACTTAGTTGTTTGTTTTCCAGTTTTTGACAAAGCTAAGTTAGCCCGGAACCAAAAATTATGCTCATAATAAACGTTCCGGGTTGCAATTACTGAAATATACTTCATATATTTTAGCTACTTAGTTGTTTGTTTTCCAGTTTTTGACAAAGCTAAGTTAGCCCGGAACCAAAAATTATGCTCATAATAAACGTTCCGGGTTGCAATTACTGAAAGATATTTCGTATATTTTAGCTACTTAGTTGTTTGTTTTCCAAATTTTGACGAAGCCAAGTTAGCCCGGAACCAAAAATTATGTTCATAATGAACACTCCGGGTTACAGTAACTGAAAGATATTTCATATCTATTTGCTACTTAGTTCTTTTGACGAAGCTAAGTTAGCCCGGAACCAAAAATTATGCTCATAATAAACGTTCCGGGTTGCAATTACTGAACTACCTTTTTCAAGTTACCATCATGTGTAGATGTAGAAGGGGCGGGGTGTTAGCTCCCCTTAGTTATTGAAAGAATTTAGTTAAAACAATCGAATTAAATTTTGATCCACTCGCATACTCGCTACCTTTAGTGTAGCTACTAGCTAGTATGCGAGCAAATCTAGCATCTAAAACCATATTCGAATACATGTTTTGTATAATCATATATGTGACCCCCCCTCCCCCCCAAAAAATCAGGTTTGGAGACGATTAAAGTTTTTATTTTCCTTATTTATTAAGAACATTTCTGAGTTAGTACTTCTTTATTGGGTGTATCCCTATTCCTTTTTTAGAATCATGTTTGAATTTAAGACTGATATGTTTAAATATTTTTTTTAAAATTCATTTTAATCGATTTCTATTGCATACATATATCTTTAGCAGATTAGTTCATTTTTATCCAAGTTTTGTGTAAAAAAAAAAAAGAGAGATTAATATAATAGTGTTATTTGTGTACAATCTAGTTTACATTTAGCAGAAACAGAAAAACGGAGCTACATGACAATATACAAGTAACTTTTCTTTTCATAGTTGTTTGTATTATTGGATAAGTATTTTAGAAAAGATATAAGGCATTTTCTTGTTCTTTGTCCAAGTTGATCAACAAACTCTCTCTCTTGTATTGATAGGCGGCACATCGAATGTGAGGAATATTTGATATTTTATGAAAAACAATATCAATGTAGTCCAAAAGGAATAATGTAATTGAAGATTTGTTTGAAAATTGCTTATTCAGTAAAATATCCTTGTGTTTCGTGTTTTTGACTTCCCCTATATAAACCATTGAAAGTAGGTCAGAAACAAAGAACTGTAATTTCCAATACAATTTTAACAGGAATATAATTCACACTTAAATAAATCTTGAAATATTTCATCTTTTTGTTAAACAAATAAAATCATTGGGAAAAACACTTTTAATAGAAGTTTTCTGGCAAAATATATAGACGTTTTTATGAAAATTTGCGATGCAAGAGTTATCTCCCGTGGCATCGGTAAATCTGCTAAACACATTTTAGTCTGGTCCCCTTCCCACAATTCCGTTCGCGCACTCTCTACATTGAGGTCAGGCATCGGTTGATTCACTGTTAGACGTTGCGCAATTTCAAAATGGAGGACAAAGTAAGTAACCATCTCGAGAAATAATTGCTCATATCTATTTGTTTTACATCATGACAACTTATTTCATCAATGCTTACTGTTAACCAAAGTTGTTTTCTATTTATTTTTTTATTCATTTGATTTATTTTGCGTAAATTTACACTGTTATCACTGGATTAAAAAATGTTTACATTTTAAGAACGTGGAGGTAGTCAAAATTGACCCCCAATATTTCCTTTGTCGTGGACCGACATCAAAATTTTATTGTCTAGTCTAATGTATATATGAATGATCTATGTTAGGATATACAATGTTTTATATGTCGCTCCTTATTTAATATAGTAAAAGCACCCCAGATTTTTTATCATAATTCTATCAACAATTAGCATGTGCTCTGGCCTACTATTGCATATATTTGACATAAAACAAAGGTTTAATTTTTCTATACTGTTTGTATTTTGCTTGTTACACACATCACAACAATTCTCACTCACAGTCTCAAACTGTTATCCAAAGTATCCAGTCAGAAACTGTCTTCTGAAGGTGTTACACCTAACGAATTTTTTCATGTTATAATCTTGAGTTAGATTTTTAGTCAAGAAAATGTTTTCCAAATATTTTACTAATTATTGACGATTCCCTAATACACATACATTTATATTTGTCTTAGATATTTTTATATCTTTTTTTTTTAAATTGTATAATGCTGTGGAATTATTTTGATGTGACTGTGGAGTCCGTTTTTGTGGACAGACATAAATATATAATTTTGTTTTGTGGACAGGACATAATTTATAAAGGTTAACCAAATAATAATTAAATGAATCTGTGGACTTATAAAATATCCAAATAAGCATTTGTGGAAATAAAAATGTAGCTGATTCACTTGATGTTCAATCCTCCTTCCTCAAACAATGATGATTCCATAGAAGAATTATGAATAGCTGCAGAACTGTAGCTCTCTAAAAAAATATTTTGACAGACCTGAGAGCTACAGTGCCACCCACTGAAAGAACTGTATATTTATTGTGCACAAAATTTGTGCTTGCTTCTGTATTAATTCTTCCTTACTTCTCTTAGTATCAAGTACTCTCGTAGTTTACAACTGCATGAAGCATTGCAAGACCGAAATATTTTGCAAACCAAAGTGGTAGTATAAATAGACGAAATTTTTGATGATCTCAATTTCAGGTCCAGGAGGGCTACTAACATCAATTATAAGGAATGTTTTGTTGTGAAAACAGTGAAAAAATATGTTAGGAACACATGGTTAGTAATATTTTGAGATGACGGTTAAAAAACATGGAGAAATAAATCAGGAAACATTTCTTGTGTGCAATATATATACAGTTTTTTTTTCAATGGGTGGCACTGTAGCTCTCAGGTTTGCCCCCAATATTTTTTTCAGAGAGCTACAGTTCTGCAGCTAATAGAAAAATAGAGCTCTACCTGTCTAAAATAGACAAAGTAAATCCTCATTATTTTTCCATGAATTAAGACTTCTGCTATGCAAAGTAAAATAATACTGTGCTTATTGCTATCATGATTTTATTACAGCTTGTTTCATAACAGATTTCAAATAAGTCTCAGAATCAATTACTTTGAACATAAAACACTTTAACACTACAGGATAACTGATGCTGCATGGTGTCCATGTTATGAAAAAGAAGATATGAAACAAAAGCCCATGAGAAAATGTCAACATCAATCATTTATGAATGAAGATGGAGTCTCTAGCCTAAAATTTCTTGAGATAATCAGTGTTGCCTGGTTCATCCAATCAGAATGATCACTCCATTTGCAGACTATCAGGTATTCTTTGGTTCTGCCAATACTTTGGATCTGAAAAAAAATATTGATTCAACATATTTTAATCCAACATACAGATTTCAGTGTATGAAAATACTTTAAGAAAGTCTGTCAGTATGTAAAGTAAAATTTCAAGGTATAATAAAAATTCAGATCATGCTTATCATATTACAAGTACAAGTAACACGAACTGTTTACCTATTTAAAAAAATGCATTTACATGGTCATTTCTCATTTTCAGGTTCCAATCTGAAGTATACAAGGGAAGAGTAAAATCTTTTTCATTCCTATTTACAAACACTCACTAGATCCAGAAGAATATCCTGATTGTTTTGTGCACCATAAGATGAATTTCAATCTGACACATAATTCTGAAAAATGGAGTAGAACACCATGAACACTGGATGGTCTTCTTCAAGCTGGCATGTCTTTGTCACAATATCTTGACTCTGCATTGCCATCAAAACTTTGCATTCCTTAAAATACAAAGACAATTTTTATAAACTAAAACAACAGACTTGATAAAAAGGCTAATATAAAAAAAAAATAAATGTATCATTAGGCCAAAAAAAAATTAATTTCTTGGTTCTCAGGCCCTCCCTCATCTCTTCCAAGGGTGCCTCATTGACCCTTTTTATTGCTAAATCAATAAAATAAAAACAACAAATCACCTCCCTCATCATTTTTTGAGGTTTTGTACAATGTAAAAAGCTGCCTCATCATGTTTTGGGGGCAATAAAAAGTAAAAAAAAAATGCCTCCCTCCCTCATCATATTTCTTGAAAAAAGGCCTGAGAACCAAGGAATTAATTTTGCATGGCCTTATTTACCCCATTTTTTTTTTTTCCTTTTTAATTATTTTATGAAATTAAAACCCTTGCGAAAATTAGAACCTGCGACTTGCTGTCAAGCAGAGGTGTCTGGAAATAAGATAAACAGCTCCTTTAAGGGTAGGATAACCAGATGATGTAGATCAGTCACCGCAACAACAGAAATAGAACCTCTGTCAGCCGTGAAGTCACCTTCAGGAAGAATGCCGAGAATATCTGAATGCTATGGATTCATGGTGTCATCATACTGTATATATCCACCACTGAAGCCTAAGATATAAATGTTCGAAAGTAATTATAGTGATCATATTTCTGGTACAGTGACAGCAAATTTTAAGTATTTTGTGAATAAAAAAATTGAATCCACAGCTTTTGATTTAATTTGATTGTTTGTTTACATTTGCTTGAAAATTAAATTAAATTAGAAATAGCGGTAAATCTATTTCTGCATTATTTACCAATGGGACAAACCCCTCCTTGGCGGTAGATACAATATTTTCCTGCAGGCCAGCTTGGCAAAATTCTATTTTCTTCCGTTTTCTTCTAAGCACAAAATTTGTAAAATGTAGAGGTGGGCTTTGAAATGATGTCAGCATTAAATGTGGAACTTGTGTGGTCCATCCTGGTGTCTTTAATATGATGTGTAAAACTGCCTTCATAAAACCCTCTGGGACAGCCAGTTACATGTATCCAGGTACTTAATCTGGTAAAGGTGTCAGACGGCCATTTTGTTGAAATCATTCGATCTGAAGAAATAAATATTAGGTACCAAAAGCTTTTCTGAAATTAATTCATCTTATTCTTTAATCTATATAAGATATACATGTATTTGTTACATTTGCCTCCGTTTGGCTAGGTTGAAGTAAGGACTTATTTGACCTTGACCTGAGTTGACCGTGTCTTGGAGAAATAACACAAAAAAGTCATGATGGAGCTAGTCTTTTGGCACTCCAAACTTTTATGCCGAGTATGCAGATTCAATTTGATGTAAAATAATGAAGGAATTTTTGAAAATAAAAGAACATTTTTTAATTTTTTGTACAATTTTCTATCATTACCGGACTTTCAGAAAAGTGTGGCATTCTCGACACTACATGTACGTAGTTAAAGTATCCCAAATCGCAAATAGATTCTCATTTGTTAAGAAATTAATAACATCAGAACTTAAAATTTTTGTTGACGACGATGAAATGACCTAAGTCGTACCTCTTTGCCGTGCGAGATGCTGTTATTGAATATTTGTTACACTCGTTGACATTCTCCCAAATTTTTTCCCATATATATTTCAACAGTGAATGAAAGCTTTGTAAATTTCAGATGCTTAATATGTAACATCTAGAACACCACACCTTATTGAAAGCCAAAGGAAAACAGAGAATTGTATATGTACTAAGTTAAATACCCACCATCAAAATGAGTCGGACATCCGATAGAGAGATCCAGACCCTCGGGATAGCGACAAGTACATGTGTCCTTGACAAAGGCAGGGTTACCAGAGTTAGCACAGGTCAAAGAGAAACTGGTACATTGGTACACTTCAGACCTATAAACAGAATATAGTGAACTGAACATAAAGCGAAGAGCATTACCTAATACAGTAAAACTCGGTTTTACAGAAATTACATCCTATATCCTTTTAAAATTCCTTACATCCATTTTATTCATTATATATAAGGAATTTGCTTAATTTATATTGCTGAGAATACAAGATAACTTCTCTATTCTGTGAATTCACAATATCCATCATGGCATATTTGTATTTAACAAGTTTAACTGTATGAACTTTGACTTGCTTTTTGAGTCCTGATATACACCATATTAATTTGCATATTATTCCTTTTGTAAATTTGTAAAATAATTTATAATTAATTTGACTTACTCTCCTCATAGCTCATATCATTTGAACTGATAAATCTGTTTCACGGTTTTATCATTGTTGTCTGTTCATTGAATTGTACTTAAAATAAGATTGCAACCATGGAATGACTTGGAGAAAAGGACAAACATTTTAAGGTGTGCAAGATTAATTTAAACAAATTACTCTGCAAGTTTAAACTGTATCACCTTATAAATGGGCTGTAGAGGGGTTGTTCCTGTTGGGCTTCCATGCTGTCTTTTGGCTGACCATCATGTCTTTAATACAGAGGATTTGTTTTCGGTATCCTGGTAAATTTTATGAAATTTATGCAATGAACGATGGAAAAGCCTAAAAAAAAAAAACCAACATACAAAATAGAGATATTTATGATTATCTGAAAGCTATAAAGAACCTGTTACAACATAAAAAGGATTGATACATTTTTCAAAATGTATTGCCTTGGCAAGTTGGCATTACAGTTGTATGAAAAATTATTATGTATGCAAGGATATTAATAGATTGTGGTGACCTACCAAAGTAGCACCACCTCTAACTGCTAAACATCTGTATAGTGGTGGGATTCACTTCCACAAGCCTTCATGAAAATTACATGTTAGACTCACGCTATCATGTAAATATTATGCTTGGTAAAGTGGAAGGAAATTAAGGGACCAGCTAGGGGAATCATAATAAAACAAAATAAATACACTGGGGGTTTAATCCCTTCCCCTTTTCAACTTATATGATGATTGCATGGACAGCAAAACACAAACAGTATAGAAACATTAAACCTTTGTTTTATGTCAAATATATGCAATAGTAGGCCAGAGCACATGCTAATTGTTGATAGAATTATGATAAAAAATCTGGGGTGCTTTTACTATATTAAATAAGGAGCGACATATAAAACATTGTATATCCTAACATAGATCATTCATATATACATTAGACTAGACAATAAAATTTTGATGTCGGTCCACGACAAAGGAAATATTGGGGGTCAATTTTGACTACCTCCACGTTCTTAAAATGTAAACATTTTTTAATCCAGTGATAACAGTGTAAATTTACGCAAAATAAATCAAATGAATAAAAAAATAAATAGAAAACAACTTTGGTTAACAGTAAGCATTGATGAAATAAGTTGTCATGATGTAAAACAAATAGATATGAGCAATTATTTCTCGAGATGGTTACTTACTTTGTCCTCCATTTTGAAATTGCGCAACGTCTAACAGTGAATCAACCGATGCCTGACCTCAATGTAGAGAGTGCGCGAACGGAATTGTGGGAAGGGGACCAGACTAAACACATTTTAATCGGAATCTTAGTGAAATATTCAGAATCGATACGCTAAAGAAAATTATTAAACAAAAAATTAATTTACTTTCAAAATATAATTCATTTTCGCCTCTAAACATAATATTTAGATTAAAATTTACTACATGTATAATATTAGGTTAAATCAACGTTTCCATTGATGTATCAGTGACGTCATAATATTGCGTCACAATGAAATAGTTACAAGTTTTCCAGACAAGTTTGCGTAAAGTGTAAAGAAAAATATTTTTTTTAAAATGATTTCTCTTTTTCTGTTAAATACTCTTCAGCGTGCATTATACTAAATGTTAAATAATATTTTAATATCAAAATGTATTTTACACAGTACACGGGCGGCGTCTCAGCAAGATGACGTTTTGATAAGTAATTTTATACATGACCGAGAACTAATTTTTCAAAATTGATTTACCAGGATATGCGTTAAAATAATTAATGAAGTGTTTATAATGATTCAGAACATATCTTATAAGATGAATGTTTTAGTTTTACGCAACATTTAATTCAACGAAGTTGGTAGATGTAAAAACTAAAACTTAAATACATTTATCTATGCAATCAAATCAAAATAAATTATCTACAGTACGATTAAAAAGGGGGAAAAAACTGAAAAATAAGTTATAAAAATATTACTGCTGAACTCCCGACTATAATTTGGCACTATAACGGAAGGTGGTTTAGTGAAACATTTTTTTTTTAATTTTATTTCTTAATTTTTATTCGGCGATTGAAACAATCACACGCTCATATTTAATATGGAGTATAAACCTGTCACTATGTTGACCAATGCTAAAATGTTTTCACGTTCATGAAACCAATTTTTAAAAATAATTATGCCATGACCCCGCACCCCACCCCCCTTCCGCGCTTCTTGCTTGCGATTTATCGGCTCTTGAATAATTATAATTTACATGACAGAACTTATTTTCTTATTTATATAAAATCAAATTTTGTAAAAGATGAAAAGGCTTTACAGATGACAGGTAAGAAAAAACTTGGATAAATTCGAGACTGTACACATAAAAATATTTCTTGCATTTAGGTAATTTTTTAATTTCGCTACTGATAGAATTTACTCTTTAATTCCTGAGACAAATAAAAAAGAAATTTTACTTGGAAATGAGATGAATAATGAAGCTAGAAAGTTGTCTGCTCTGGTTGTTGCATAATGCATGCATGCACAAATAATTTTTTTTAAATCCCTAGTATCTATTAAGAAATCAATCAGATCAATTGTTTTTATGGAAGGGAATTACCGCCAAAAGTCTATGTATCTTGCTTTTATTCTTATTCTGCCTACTTCTTTATGCTTTGTTATTATTGTAATTATATGTCACTTTATTGTTTTCGTATTCGTCTTTATTACATTTCACTTTGACTTTTATCCTTCTTTATTTTGTCCTTACTTCTATGTTGCTTTATTCTTGTGAATACATTCTACTTTCTTTTAAGTTGATACTGTTTCTTAAATAAACTATCTTGATTATCTCGATTACGAACGTAAATTCAATCATGTAAAAAATGCCACCTAGCGTTATAATGCGGCACTAAATTCAATGAAGACGAATGCAAGTTGTCCGAATTTAGTGCCGCATTATAACGCTAGGTGGCAGGGTGTTCGCTATACGAGTGTTGGTAAAAATAGGTAAGCAAACCCGGGCCGGGGTTATTAAAGATTTTTAAATTTTCTGCCTTAATACTTTATCAATCGAACTTAAATTTTCAAATGATGTTTGTTATAAATTCAGGTATGTACCAGATAATGCCATTTCCTCGGAAGATGGTAAGATTTTCCCTGGAAGACTGACTACATTGTGATGCTTCCTTCGGAAGACTATACAGTGAGACTCCCAGTGAGAAGTGCCAATATGTAGCTAGCCTTCCGTGGGAAATCTAGCTGTATATAGCAATTCGTCCCCCTTCATAGCAACCCCTCCCCCGAATATTTTTTTAATCGTAAAACAATGTTTATATGCTAACGTTTTCAGTTTTTGAAGAAAAGTTATCCGTCCCATATGAATAAATGTTTAAATGAAACCATTTTAATAGTGGTTAATAATTAAATTATTTTAACCATTTATTTTGACATAGATAATCTTCACGAGTACAAATGGGTAATGAATCCCCCCCCCCGGTCCCGTGGATGCCCCTCCCCCGGTTGCAATCGCCCGCGTAGCACTGTCGTTACAGCGTCTGCCCCCCCCCCCCCCCCCGGTTCGGACGCCTATGCAATGTAGTCAATTAACATATAAATAAACATGTAATTAGTGGAATATGTACATATGAGTAATATTTGGTACTGAAAACAAGTTGACGACCCCCCCCCCCCCCCCCACCACCAAATACAGAATTTTCAAGTTTTAAGATTTTTTCTAACTCTACTGGCTGATGTAAAATACGTTGCGTTCTAAATATATTTTTTTCTTTATTAAAAAGTGCTATTTCAATGTAAAATATTAATGCATAAAAAAGACTGGGGAGTTTCTAGTATGCCTAAGGTGTTCCCTGGTTCCGACTTTGCCTACCCATAACACTTCTCACTCCTTTGCAAAGACCCGTCCCTAGAATCACACGCATGAGCAATTACTATCTGTCGTGAAATAAAGTTCAGTTCAGTGGAACCAGTGACGTATTTAAGGAGGGGGCGCATCCGGCGCCCCCCCCCCTAAAATTGTCAAAGTAAACATAAATCACAATCTCGTCTATAAAATGTAAATATGCCTACTTGGTAGATCTAATTTTTACTCTACAAAATCTCTAGAACCCAGGAGCTTCCGGGGGTTTCGCCTCTTGAGCCCCCACCAGGGCTTTGCCCTTGACCCACTGGGGGCCTCAAGGCGGCCCCCAGACACCTTGCCTACTCTTGGCGCCCCATCTAACTTCATTTCCTAGATCCACGCCTGGGAACGTCCTGAAAAACAACTCAATTTATAAATTTATAAAGGGGTATCTAGTATCAAAATATTTAACATTATTATGTCAATTAAACTGTTATACCCAGTTAAACAGTTAAACTGTTATCCAACAAATAACTTTAGTAGAGTGATATATTTCAGGCGAGAGAACAGTGACGTAGCATCGATTTTGAAAATTCAAGCTATTCGCTGAAAACAACTTGACAAGCAAAAAAAAAAAAAAAAAAAAAAAAAAAAAAAAAACCAGGAAATTTCTAAACATTTCTAAACTTGAATATTCATAGGCGTCGATCGGAACCGGGGAGAGGGATTAGCCCCCACTTTTTTCCAAAGTTAAACTTAGTATAGACATTGAACATTACTGCGTAGGTTTAGCCCCCCCCCCCACTTTCCATGGACACGATGCAGTAGGCCTATAGGTTTAAAATGTGGAAAGTGGTGGTGTTTTGAAAAAAAAAAATGGCACTGTAATTTGACACCCATCACCACCACACACACACGAAATAGGATTTTTGTGTTTGGACAAAGAACATTTTCTCTCTCTCTCTCTCTCTCTTTATTTTGCTTGTCTTTTTTTTTTTTTGAAGGTCTAAAAAATATTTCTTACGCTTAGCCCCCCCCCCCCGGCCCCAATTTTCACTTTGCTTCCGACGCCAATGAAATCATATTAAGGGGGCAGTGTGGGTTTTGGGTTAAATTCAACTTCATATATAGTATCAAATTTAAATGTACTATACTACATTAACCTTATTTGACCCTTACCCTTACAAAAAGTGGGTCGGACTTTTAATGAACATTACCGGTATGTAAAGTTATGTCTGAAAAAAAGAGGCCGCTATTCCTTTGTGCCCAGAGAATATCATTGTATCGGGTGATCGGATTCGGCCTTCAGATATTCGATTGAATAAGTATTAAGGCAGAAAATTGAAAAATCTTAAATAACCCCGGCCCGGGTTTGCTGACCTAGTTTTACCAACACTCGTAGCGAACACCCCTGCCACCTAGCGTTATAATGCGGCACTAAATTTTGACAACTTGTATTCGTCTTCATTGAATATGCTTCATTCTTTGTGTGATTGAATTCACGTTTGTAATTGAGATAATCATTTAAGAAACTGTATCGATTTAAAAGGAAGTAAAATGAATAAAGCAACATAGAAGTAAGGGCAAAATGAAGAAGGATAAAAGTCAAAGTGACATGTAATAAAGACGAATACGAAAACAATAAAGTGACATATAATTACAATAATAACAAAGCATAAAGAAGTAGGCAGAATAAGAATAAAAGCAAGATACATAGAATTTTGGCGGTAATTCCCTTCCATATGTTTTACATGTAATCTTCATGTAAGTAAAAGACATTGGTAATTTAAATAATACATACATTTGAATCTATGGTTACACTCATTTAAAAACAGTAAACTGACTGAAAAGAAATAACAGACTAGCATTTTTTCTGAGAAATTAACATGAAGAGCCAAATTTAGGACATTTTTCTAAATTTACGGAAAAACCGATCCCGATTGAAATAAAACCGATCCCGATCGAAAATAATGCAAAATTAATAAAATTATCAAACTTAAGGCACCTGTCACCTATATACTATGTTAAAAAAAATAAATCAAGTAATTTCTTAATCATATTACAACAAAAGAGCCAAATTTGACATTACTATTTTAGTATTTTCTTCTTTATACAATTCCGGTCGGGATCGGTTTCATTTGTGAAAACTATAAAAAAAAAAATAAGTAAATTTGACTCCTTTTATTTCTTTCAAAATACCTTTTCCCAATGATTTTATTGAATGACCCAAAAGTCTGTACTTTGTATTCATAAAAACATAAGTAAACAAATATGTCCTTGTATTGTATTGGGTTCTATAACGTAATTAAAATTGGATACTGAATTTAAACATTTACTTGTTAAACTCAAATTTGGACCAGATAATTTTTTCTAAAGAAGTATAAATTGGAATCTTATTCATTCATAAAATAAAAGATAAAAGTCTATTCTATAAATAATATTCATCGGCACATCCACCTCTGGAGTATCTGTTACATATAAAACAAAATAGAAACGTAGTATTTTTTTTTACCCTCATGTTGACCTTTTTGCACTTAAAATTAAGCATTTACCAAAACTAGGACTAGAGGAGCACTATAAAATTTTTTGATGTTGTCATGTGTAAACACTTGCTTTAATAAGTCTACATGCAAAAAATAATTAAAATCCATGACATGCGATGTGCCGCCCATTGCCTGGTTTTTCGGTGGACAGCCTCTTAAACGAAAAACATTCTTAATTGTTTTCCTGACACCAGCGTTTCTTAAAATCACCTAAGATATGACATGTCCGCAGTCATCTTAAAGTAAGGACTAAGATTAGGAGGTCTCCTAAGATAGGATAGCTTCGATGGCCTCACTTAAGACTAAGATATGTCGTAAGTTCGTCTTAAGAGATGCCTTAGTCCTAAGATAGCTTCATAAGCATGCCTGCAGGTTTTCATTTTAAATTAAGATTTTACATTCCCATCGAGTTCTAGAACGGAAATACACGTTTTATCAGAATTAAAGAGAAACGTTTTTTTCTTTTCCAAATAATTATAGTTTTTAAAAGTTCGTAAAAAAATCTAGTATATCTTTAGGAAAAGTGATTCAAAGATGTCTTTTGAAAAATCTGGTAGGCGATAGAACAAACGTTTGCGGTTGCCTTCCCCACTAAGACTCCTTTGTTTGTTGAACACTTTCAACAAATTGTTAATTAAAATGTAGAAAATTTCATACCAAGCAAATCAAGTTTTTTGTCTATTGTTCACTGCAGGGGAAGGGGGGGGGGGTGTGAGCAGACTTCAAAAATAGTAAAATACAGATCTGTGTCTGTAATACATTTCTTCTTCAGTGTTATTTTTACAAATGAATACAAATGTACTTGTACTTACGTGCATAAATAAAAATGAGTTGAATTTTATTCAAAAGTTTTTAGCCGTGTCATTGAAACATTTCCAAGTTGATTATGTGCATGTTTTGTTGACATGTACCATTAAAATTTAAAAAGAAACCAAAAAAAAAAAAACAAAAAAAACTTCACCTGACGAAGAAAAATAATCAACAAACGGGAAACACTTTTCCTTCGTATTAAATGCTTAAATTATAAATTCCCTTTTTAGATCCGGCATGCACTCGTTTCCCATTATGTTCTTGTATTTTAATTTATTAATATATTTGGTTTTAAAAAACGCAACTACATGTATGGGTGTTTAAAAAATTGTAAGGAAATTAAAATATTACCTAATGATTAAAGTATTTTATCGTAAATATTATTAATCTATCACCATTATCATCTGATCAGGGTGGTCATGTGTGCTTGCGGCGATTCGCAAGACTGAGCAATTATTCGTATCGATAGAAGCCAAGTCTATCGTAAAACAGCACGATGGGGGTATATCAATGTAAACAAGTTTCACACCTTCTTTTGTTTACAAAGAATCAAAATAATCAACTGGAATTTCATGGATTAATATAATATTTAAATCAGAGACATCAATAGATATATAATGTCTCTGGTAAAAAGACCGCATATTCTGACTTGAAATGTAAACATATATGTATGTCTTACGATTAAATCCTGCTGTATCATATAAGAAGGTATAAAAGAAAGAAGAAAATTAAAATTAACAGCCAATATTAAATATAAATAGAGAGTTTAATAGGGTGCTTGGTTGCCCGGAACGTTTTTTACGGCCGGAACCAATCTTACGCGGGCCGGAACGTTTATTATGGCCCGGAACCAATATTATGGGTATTTAGCGTTCCGGCCGGCACGCCACGTTACCCGGAACGTATATTATGCGACACCCCCACCTTCAGTACTTTACTCTAATTGGGAATTGGGAAGGTTGTTAGATAAGTACATATTAATTTAATACTGTGTATTTTTATATTTGGTCAGAGAGTGGAGGAGCAGGATGGATCATACCGACTATTGTCACTCTAGGTCTGCTGGGTGTTATCTGTGCTACAGTGTGTTGTGTACGCGCGAAAAAACTCCGTGAGCTTGAGAGTCAAAGACAGATGGCTGTATTCAACAGAAATCAACAGCCTCAAATTCATATCCATCATTATCACCCAGGTATATGTAATTCCATTATTCATATTAATTAACAGATTATATCTCTTCAGAAAAAAAATTATTAATAACGAATTAACAAGAGCTAAATTTAGTAAAGATGTTCGTGTTAAACGTAATAATTGATATTAATTTTTCAAAAATACATGTAATTGTTCCTACATTAAGATATATTCTACATAATGAAAGAAATACGAAATATAATATTATATAATAAATATAAAATGAATGTTCTAGTGCATCAATCACATGGCCAGGAAACAGCCTCCAAGTCTCCGTATGGGAATAAGGAAGCGAGTCCCGGACAGCATTTTCCAAGGGAAGAAAATTTGCCACCAGGCACATCTTCTTTTCAGAGTTATCCCCAACCTCCCGTACCGGCTACTTCTGGGGAACATGATTACTCTCCCAGACAGCAGTTTCTTTCTTCCAACTATTCAGATTCCCATAGATTACAGCAGTATAAAAGTAACACCAACGTACCCCCACCGTATGATGAGGTCACTAAGCAATATGTTTGATATTGTTTTTTTTTTTCAAGATATACTTAATATTTTAATCAGTTTACACATGAACATATTATTATGAAATCATCATGCAATAAGTTTTATTCAGTTGTACTCTAAATACGTATTTATTATATTTTGAAAGATTTTTTTTTTAATCTTAAAGATGTATTTGTAATAAATTACAAAGGTTGTATTTCAGTATCTGTTGGTTGTTTTATGAACAGATACTAATATTCAATTTTGACAATATGACTGTTATATAAGTAACCTTCATTATATATTTGTGAATTATGCCTGTCTGTTAAGATTCTTGTTTTGGATTGTTGTTGTTTGGAAAACAGAGGAGCAGCTAAATCATATCACATTCTATTTTACAAAAAATGGTGAAATTTTAATTATTAATTATTACAAAAATGTAGGAATAAAATAAAATAATTAAATTTTGTTTTTTTTCTAGTCTTGCATTGGTTGAATTCCAAAAAGGAACGCAAATTACTAGTATTTCTGTATAATCTGGTTTGGTATTTGGACACACTCCCTTTACAACCAGCTGGATCATCTGTATCCATTCAAACCCCTAATTTCTAGTCCTCGGGATTCATGGAAAATTACAAATTTATTAAATGGACCTTTCACTTCTAATTATAGGTAGGTCTTACCTCATGCAAACAAGCATCATGGCATCAGGTCTATGTATAAGTCATTACCTCCCCTCGCTTCCCATCACTTCCGTTACTGTAACTCGTATTATTGAAAATTAATTTTGAACTCATAAAAATCAACACAGTTTTACATCCACAGTTGTTTAATTATCTTAAAAATTAAATAATAAGGAATGACTCCAATTCTTGGCCAAATTGTTCGAGTATAACCTGGTTTGGGTCAGTTTACACTTTCTTATAATCCATTCACGATTTATAATCCGCGAAACGGATTATAAAAAAAGCGTCAACTGACCCAAACGGTGAAACAAGCTTATACTCGAGGTTTGTTCCCTTTTCCCGCTACATGTAGGAGAGTATTGGGAAATAAAATTAGAAATTAAAACAATGAAAATTATGATGTGCATTACAAGTTTTCATTTATTTCTTTACCTTTATAACAAAATAGAAAATTATACTAAATAATTAATCATGAAATAAATTATTAAGGGGGCCGACTATAGACTAAGTTTCCATTGCGCAATATTTCGCGCATCATAGTAAAATGAAGCGTATTTACTGTTTTAATGCAACTTTTTTCGCTTAATTATTAAAATGAAACAAAATTATGAAATTATAGGTATAAAACTGTAATTACAATTTGATATAACTGATTTTTAAACCGATTTTGCAATTGATAGGTAGGTTGACGTCGTTGCAGTGTGTTTTTGACGTTATGATAATCTGTAACTCTTAAAGAAAGGGGTAATAAAAATATTATTAAAGAAAAAGTAATGAACATACACTCTTGAAATTTAAAACAAAGAAATTTGAGAATATCTCCAATATTTTTGTTATGTTTTCATGCGAATCCATTGTGTACGTCATATTTTGTAATACTCTATAAAAATAGTAAAATTTGCTAATTTTTTGCATTTTGAGATGCCCCCTCTGGTAACAAGACGGTAGGATTTTGTGTTTCTTACATATATTGTATAATATAGAATTACTCATCAAATATTATAGTTTGATTAAAATGTCTATTGTAGTATTTGTATACTTTGCTTTAAAGTGCTAAAAATTGGCATTTTCCTATATAATCCTATAGTAAATGTACCTGTATTTTGAGACGGTCCCTCAAAAATACCAGATTTCCCCCAAACTTTGCATGTACACTGAAGTTAATGTAACTTATATATGGTTTAAAAATTAAGAGTTTCGCTATTGTAGTTTTCACACAATAAAACTATAGTCGGCCCCCTTAAATTCACTTTTTGCAATAAATATTCTTATACACTAAATTAATATTTTATTTTTCCTGATCATGATTTATAGGTAAAATACAGGTAAACCAAGGTAAATCCTAGCTTCGATGTGTGCTAAACGGGAACACACCATACTCGAATAATTTGCCTACACATTTGTCGCATCGATGGTCTCACACCAGACTTGCGTGACCGCTAAATAACCCCAGGTATATAAAAAGCTCAAGAACGGTAACTCTGTTTGTTTACATCAAGGTCGGAAGCTAAAGTGCGAGGATGCGATGATAAAAATAACTTAGCCCGAATTAATATATATATATATTTTTGATATAATTTTTCTGGATTTTCACTGAAGTACATTTTTCGGTTTGAAAACATTTATGATCATTAGAAAAACAATATATATAATAATCATGAAAATTTACCTGCCAGTGATTTCTGTAATTGTTTTTCTCCCGGATTTGAGATCTTGTGCAACACGTACATGTAAGTAGATGTAAAAGATGAGCTCTGCAATATCTAAAAATATTTTAGCTTAACTTTCACTTATACCTGACGGGGTTTTTAGGTTCACGAAAAGATTGAAGAGGCGAGGAAATTCGCATGAAGAAAAGATCTTGCTCAGTAACGATAACTCTTTAGATATATTTAGGCTAAACAATAAAAATCAAAATGTCACATGTAGTTTTGCCATTAATTAACGTCGCGACTGTTACAGAAAAAAATACACTATAAGCCGCATAAGCTAATAGTATATGCCTATATGGTCATAAGTGAGTCATAATTCCATTTTAAATTTACTCTAAATATTTTATTGAAAAAGCATGCAGGGACCTTTATATAGTTAGCATATCACTCACTCACTCACTCGGTCGTCCTTAGACGACCAACGACATGATCACTCCAGTTAGCATATAGGTCCATGGAATAAATTATAAAATTGTCAAGACAAAACATTTCTAAACTCAAATTACAATGATTTCTCTATATATTAAAGTCTTAACATTTTTATTTTGTATTTGACTTGTGATATCACTGTAATGCAGGGCCTACAGATAAATTAAAATCATTTGGAAAAAAATGCTAAGAAACTGCAAAGAATTTTGTATGTTATGGTCTCTTAGTCATAAAAATAAGTAACAAATAACACTGCAATCGTATTTAAGAAAAATGCTTTCTTCAATTAAAATGTGGCACTATAAAAGTGGAAAAATAAAATTATGACTCACTTATGGCCAGAGACTGTACATCTGTATGAAAAAGCTGTGAAAGGTTCAAGATATTTCTGCAGGTGGCTTGCTTAATATCACTTATGGATCGAGTGATTAACGACAATGGTTTTCATAAGAAGTAAATGAAATAATATGCAGTGGGTGTAAATATTGATAGATCAGGCATCTTGTTTTTATCATCTTCAGTGTTAGATAATGTGATTTGTAATTTTAAGAAAAAATACGTTTTTCTCTCTCTCTCTCTATTTTTTTTTTTTTTTTTTTTGGTTATCATTTTAAATGAATACATGTATTGAATAAAATTACATTAATATTTCTTTGATACATTAATATGGATTATGAAAAACTTCTGCATATCAGAAAATCTGAACTGTAAAAAGTTGAATAGTCTAATTAATAACTTTAAAATGAGATTCATCACCTTGTTCTTTTAAATTTCTTGAATAATTTTTTTAATGTAACACTTACTCTGCAGTGATTGAAAGATAAATAGCACAGGCATTTTTTAAAGTTTCGAAATCGCTTTTCTAAGCACTAATTTAAGAAAACTTACATGAACGTCATTGTACGACACTTTTTATACATGTATTTAAAGGGCAGTTTCAGCTAAAAAGAATTAATTTACTTTTCCATTTTTGTATATTTATAAATACTTAACTAAGGTATTTTTAATGATTATCAAAAATTTGAATGTCAGTTATCGAGACAAGTCAGATTTATAACTCCAGTCCTTTGTTATGTAAACAAGACCCGTGTCTATGTTTGTTAACATTTGTTAAATATTATACAATTATTGCTGTTTTTTGAGGTCAATACAATGATTTAGCCATCTGAGGAGTACAATATTCACCGAGCCCGAAGGGCGAGGTGAATATTGTATTTCGAAGATGGCTAAATATTGTATTGACCAAAAAAACACAGCAATAATCATTTTATTATATGATTCACTGATTCAATGATACAGCTCATTACTTGTTTGCATTTAATTAAGTCCTAGCCAATTCAAATACAAGACAAGAGAGAAGCAGAATTAAAATATCAAATAAACCTTACATGTCGTATCAATTTGAAATGTTTTTTTTTATCAATTTTAGTTGCCATGAAAAAAATAATAATAATGTCAGTCTTTTTTATAGGATAGATTTGAAAGGAAGGAGTATTATCAGGGAAAACTGACAGTCAAAAAGTAAAAATTGTTGTTCAGTTAAAGTGTTGGAGGGGGTCCCTGCATCCCTCTTACCACCCTCACCCAAAAATAAATATTCGCTTATGTTTTGTTCACATGAAAAAAAAAAAGTTATAGTCCTTAAATAGCTTTCCAAAACAATTTGTATCAATTTGGAATTTCCCGATCTATTTTTAGATCAATGTAGAGGAAATAAATCCTTGTATTTACCTGGAACGTCACGTGCAGGTCAACACAACGTAGTATTTTTCTAACATAGTTGTATCTCAGCCAATCAGAGAGATGGAAATTATTCAATCATAGAATAAACTAATATATGTTCGTTCAAAGAAGATTTGTTTTCAATAAAGAAGTTAATCTAAATATGATTAGACAGATTCTAGTGATTTGCCAAATCTCATTTTGTTAAATATTAAATGTATATTTTCAATATACTAGTATAAACAAAAAACAAGACATGAGCCTTGTTATCATTATGAAGAATTTTATGTTCTGTATCTCCTTTATAAATCAACAAATGATGTTTAAATTTTTGCTGATCATTTGAATTGCCTTAATTCATTTGTAATTAGGAATTGTAAACATTAACATGATTAAAATTGGTTTTCAAAAAAGCAGTTGTAACTGTGTCTGTGTCCCTTTAAGGGATTGTTTTTTTTTATGTCATTTCCATTCAAACTCAGTCAAAAAATATAATTATGTAAATCGATAATTTGTTTGTGTTATGTATCTTAACTATAAAAAGAGGCGTTCAACGCATGCATTAATATGTTGAAACCGTTAAGGCGAGCGCAGATACTTATCCAGTTTTCATTTAGACCGGACTCGTCAAACCGCACGTGACATTCGATGCGCATAAGACTCTGACGTCACATGACGTCGTTTGAATTGTTGCTTTACCAAACAGAAGCCTAAACAGGGCTGATTACAATCAGTTATGACTATTTTTCTGCCAAATACAGATAAATTCATGAAATCAAGGCAAGTTTATTTTTCTTATTCTGGCGAGAACGTGGCTTTACCGTTTGTGTACGAAGCGATGCATTAATTGTGGGTCAAAATTACTGCGGAAAAAATTCTATGGAATGAATGTGCAGTAGTTCGAATTTTCTCTTCGCCTAAGCGTTGTCGTTAGAGCTCGCAGTTACGCGATGCTCGCTGCGCTCGCTAAATTACAAAGCGTTTTATCCTGAAATTTCCTTCTTAACTTACCATTGTTAATTTTCCTCTTTTGCCTAAATTCATTAAAACGTCCAAATATAAAAACAAATGTGGTAGAATCTGTACTGTCTCTCTTTTATTTCAAGTTCACAGGTATATCAAGCATACAACTAAATCAAAATAACTTGAAAATTGAAAAAAAAATATCGTCGATATAATTATCTGAATTTCAAATTGAATGCAACAGCGTTTTCCTCATTTTAAAACAAAATCTGGTTCATTTATTTACAAAATCAGTGGCCAGTATTACAAAACAACTTACGACTTAGATATTTAAAAAAAAAAACCCAGCTTAATGTTAAGCAGAACTAACTTCTCAGTCGTTTTCTTTTGTAAAACGGGCCCCCTGGTCAGCTAATCAAGGAACAAAATTAATACCCATTATATATACAGTTTATGTATACTTCTTTTATTTGCAACAACTATAGCTATGTTTAAGCTAGTATGAAACATACGGAGATTACAAACAGTATATATTCAAGCTAAAACAGTCTTCAAACAATAGTAAATATAAATTTTGATTAGAGCAATCACGGACCTCCAAAACATCAGAGGTTGGATCAGGTGCTATGGAGGAGTGATCATCCTCTGCTGATCCATTACAACCACCGTGTGCTCCTTGTCGTGATAGGGAAATAACTGGAAAATCCTTCGACAATTCAGTGTGTAAATAATATGGCCAAACAGTATGAAAAACTTTACTTTCAGAGTGAGCTGACTTTAGTATCTATCAGCCTCAGTACGAATTATTCACGTTTAGTTATGATTTTCATTTAAATCATATTCAAACTTTAATATAATTGTGATATTAAGCGGTAAATTATGTTTCAAGTGTGTTGTTATATTGTCTATTTAGACGATTTTTCACTCAGCAAATACAGTCTATCTTTACGTCGAATGCAAACTGACTTTCTTTCAAATTGTTGGGCCACTATTAACACAAGAATTGTTTGCAATTCTTTCCGTATCCTCGATCATGATAGGAATCCTCGACGATGTAACCGGACAACAGGAGATGCTCGGTCCTCAGTGGCTCCTGATTCCAACTCTAGTGATTTTAGTAGCCCATGTTTGCTCCTCTCCCGACATATATCGTTCCAACAGACTTATAAGCTTAATCATTGTATGTTATTTAATCTTTTGCTTTATATTTTATAGTGACTTTTGAGGATGATAGATGTTTTGGGCCGTTTAATCCTACAGTAAGAGAGAGTTTTAAGGTCATTCATACTGGCGAGGAAAGTAGCACCATTTGCCGTGACATGTCATTTAGTGGTTGGGACAATGTGGATAAAGTGAGCAGAGAGTCGTGTGTCAGAGTAGAAAAATTCAATCTTAAATGTTCTCAAAAATTTGTATACAGGGCAGGCAGCAACAGAGGAACCCCAGCTAGAGTAAGCACTACTCTTATTTTAGGGGACTAGGGCTGGTGCATGTATGAATATATAGTTTATAATTTTTATTTCTTAAAACTGTTGATATTTGCTTTATCTGTCCGAATTTCTCGAGTAAAGATCCACAGTATAAAGTGTGAATTTCCCCTTGTTTTTGTTCTTTCTCGCTTGCAAACATTTTTTTCATCTGACAGTTTAAGCTAATTTGCCCATTCACAATTCTTTTCAATAGTTTTATACTGTGTTCTGTGAATTTGCTCTACTAGTATTTTAAAGTTGCTCAGCGGTGAGTAGGGTGAAAATAAAACAGATGGGTCGGATTTCCTTGTATACAGTAGATAATTTTATTTTAAGTTATGTGTATTTTTTCCAGACTTATGATTGTTGGGATTCGCCAGACAAAATACCAGTATTCTGTACATATGAGTTACTATACATTCGGATAGAAGCGGATGAAACCCAGAAAAACACAGAAGTTGTATACACTGTATATAGCGGGAGTGAAAAACCGGCCGACGTCTCTGGAAAGTTTTGCAAACTCTTACCTATATCTAAAGTGTATTTAATACAAATGAATTATAACTCGTATACATCTTTTTCTTGTTCCTCATGTATGAAATAAAGTTTAAAAATATATATAATCTCCAACCGATATTTAGTTTTACTGTTATGTTGTCAAATGATACAAATCTGACATACTTTTATAAATTGTCATGTTTTCTTTTTTTTAAACAGAATTTTCGGCGACTTATATGATAGCCCCTGTCCTTATTATAGGCCTGATAGCTTTCATTACGACTTTAGTATGCTGTATACGTATGAGACAAGCACGTGAGCTGCAAAATCGAAGAGGGGCAGCGGCTATTTTCAACGGAAATCAACAACCCGGAGTAACCTTATACCAACCAGGTGATATACTTATTATTCAATGCTGTAAACCAACTTTCATTCGCGTGCGATAAATTTTTGCGAAGTTCGCGAGAGCCTCGTCATCGCGAATATTTCTCGCCGCGTACCGGTGCTTCAAGTGTATGTGTCTATTAACAACAGATCCAAAAAGGCTTGATCGCGAAAATAAATCGTCGCAAACTAGTTTATCGCTGGTAAATCGCGAAATAAAGTCGTGAATAAAAGTTGGTTTACAGTATTAAGAATAGATGCACAAAATGCCCTATGGCCAGTCGGCGCACGAACAAAATCCGGAATAATTCACTTTTTAGCTCTACTGGTTAGATACCAGAAGAACTTATGCAATGTTAAGGTGTCCGCTTCCGTCCATCCGTCCGTCTGTCTGTCTGTAATTTTTTTTTAAAACGCAACTCCTCCTACAGTTTTGGTCTGATTTCAATATAAATTGATTTTTGATTTTGATGAACGGTGTTGTCATGGTTGCTTAAAATAGAAATTTCTGTGAAAATTCCCTTAAAATGCTACTCCTCTTACAGTTTTGGTCTGATTTCAAAATAACTCGGCACACAAATAGACTACACTAAGATACATAAATTAGTTTATCAATTTTTCATTTCGATGAACGATGTTGCCGAGTTACAAGAAAAGAAATTCGAAATTATCTTTTAAAATGCTTCTCCTCCGACAGTTTTGGTCTGATTTCAATATTACTTTGGTCACAAGTAGACTACACTTAGATTCATAATCTAGTGCATCCAATTTTTATTCGATGAACATAGTTGCCATTGTAACTCTAATTAGAATTCTCTGAGATTCACAAGTCCTCCTACAGTTTTGGTCTGATTTCAGTATAATTTGTTACACAAGTAGATTACGCTACGAAACAAAATTGCGTCGATTTTTGATTTTGATGAACGATGTTGCCATGGTTAGTATAAATAGGAATTTCTGTGTAATTCAATAAAAAACGCAACTCTTCCAGTTTTGGTCTGATTTCAATATTACTTGGCACACAAGTAGACTGCACTAAGATACATAGTTTAGTGCATCTGTTTTTGATTTCGATAAATGATGTTGCCATTACTAAAAAATGATCTTGCCATTACTAAAAATTGGAAAATTCTCAGAAATTCCCGTAAAGGTGCATGGACACAGATTTAAAATTAACATTTTCTGTAAAATATCACGACTTACATTTCACATAAGAGCATTTCACACAAAAATATATTCAAAAATTTTATTTCATCTTAAAGTTATTGAAAGTTCATATCTTTGGATGGGTTTGATTGACACATCCATGCACTCTCACAAATTTTAATTTTATTCTTAATACTTAGGAAAAGTGGCAATCTTGTTGTTTATTAATAAAAAATATCAAAAATTTAATCCAGAAAAATAATTATATTCCAAGTAGAAATGTTAGAAAGCAAAACGTCTTCACTAGTATCGTCATTCCGCGCTAAGTGTTGTGTACAGAGTTTAACAAACTGATCACACCCGTGAAACGTATATACAGTTTTTGTAAACAGGGCACGAGCTCTGTTATTGTTGATGTTTACGATTCACCAGGAGCGTTCAATTGTCAAAGCCTGCTCACCACAACTGCACGTACTGGTAATATACTGTGTGTATGTTTTGCTTTCGAACATTTCTACTCTGAATTTTCTGGATTATAGTTTTTAGCTCACCTGAGCCGAAGGCTCAAGTGAGCTTTTCTGATCACATTTTGTCCGTCGTCCGTCCGTCTGTCTGTCTGTCTGTCCGTCTGTCTGTCCGTCTGTAAACTTTTCACATTTTCGACTTCTTCTCAAGAACCACTGGGCCAATTTTGACCAAACTTGGTACAAAGCATCCTTGGGTGAAGGGGAATTTAAATTATTAAAATGAAGGGACATATCCCCTCGCAAGGGGAGATAATCAAGAAAAGACAAAAATAGGGTTGGGTCATTAAAAAATTTTCTTCTCAAGAACCACTGGTCCAGAAAAAGTTTAGAGTATGTTGAAGGTTTTTGTGTTTTTTTAAATTCTTAATTGTTGTAACCATGACCCCCGGGGGAAGGGCGGGGCCACAATGGGGAATCAAATTTTTATATAGAAATATATAGGAAAAATCTTTGAAAATCTTCTTCTCAAGAACCACTGGGCCAGAAAAGCTGAAACTTATGTGGAAGCATCCTGGTAAAGTGTAGATTCTAAATTGTTCACATCATGACCCCCGGGGGAAGGGCGGGGCCACAATGGGGAATCAAAGTTTTATATAGAAATATATAGGAAAAATCTTTGAAAATCTTCTTCTCAAGAACCACTGGGCCAGAAAAGCTGAAACTTATGTGGAAGCATCCTGGTATAATGTAGATTCTAAATTGTTTAAATAATGACCCCCGGGAGAAGGGCGGGGCCACAATGGGGAATCAAATTTTCATATAGAAATATATAGGAAAAATCTTTGAAAATCTTCTTCTTAAGAACCATGGGGCCAGAAAAAGTGAAGCTTATATGGAAGCATTCTGGGGTAGAGTAAATTCTAAATTGTAGGAATCATGACCCCCGGGGGAAGGGCGGGGCCATTATAGGGAATCAAAGTTTTACATAGAAATATATAGGAAAAATCTTTGAAAATCTTCTTCTCAGGAACCACTGGGCCAAAAAGCTGAAATATATGTGCCCATGGAAGGATCATGGGGTAGTGTAGATTTCAAAATGTCTAAATTATGATCAGTGGGGTAGGGTGGGGATGCATTATGTATAACAAGGGGGAAATCTGGTAAAGAACAGAATGGTCAAAGCTTCTCAGGTGAGCGATGTGGCCCATGGGCCTCTTGTATTAATATTTTTCATTTATACACAACAAGACTGCCACTTTTCCTAAGTATTAAAAATAAAGTTAAAATTTGTGAAAGCAAGGATGTGTCAATGAAACCCGTCTAAAAAATTAAAGTTTTAATACCTTTCAAATGAAAAATGATTTTTAATATATTTTTGTGAGAAATGCTATTAAAATATATAAGTCCTAATATTATACAGAAAATATTAACTTCAAATCTATGTCCATGTAGCTGCAATAATGTAGCCCTCTCCTTTTTTTGTGGAGGGGGGGGGGGGGGCTTCAACTCCTAAGGATCTCCGTAATGGCGCAGCAGCGGGAGCGATTCGCTCCCGCACGGATTTCGGCTGAAAATTGTCAGTAAATCGCTATTTTATTAACATTTCTTACCTTGACCCCAAAAACAGTAGTCATCGAAGACGTAAATCAATCCAAAAATATACAGAACGATCCATATTTCGGTTATATTTCGTATATGTCAACATCACAACTCGAATTTATCCGCCATGTTTACTGACCTTGATAGATTGTATTTTGGGACAGCCAATGAGAATTTAGGTTCTATAGGAGCGGATCTTGTAGGAATCCCTTTATTTTAAGCATAAATATCGCTGCTTGCGTAAAAATAACATTTAAAATGTTTTATTTATCGATGTTTGTGTGATACAATTCAGCACAATCATTTATAAACACCGACATTTGCTTTATTAAGTTGTTCTAAATTTAAAGCGAAAGCCTTTTTACGTCATGCGTTAACTGTCATGGCTGCTGAGTAGAACCACTGCGAAACACGCAGAGTTATTTTACAAGTTTTTCGCATTTTAAGGGACATGGACACAGTTTCAACTGATTTTTTAGGTATTGCCTAATGATCAGCAAAAAAATGAACATCATTTGTTTAATAACATATGAGATAGAGAACTTAGAGTTCTTTATAATGTAAACAAGGCTCGTGCATTGCTTTTGTTTACATATTGAAAATATCATACAGGTGACTCTCGATCTCTCGAAGTTCAAGGGACCGCAAGAAAAGTTCGAGAGATCGAGGGGTTCGAGAGATAGAAAGTAAATAAAATCCGAAATTTTCAGTTCCGATCATCGAGGTTCTACTTTTACAGATACCAGAAGTATATGTAAATAAAGTAATTGCACATTTTCTATCGTATTTTACAGGTAATATTTACTTGATATCAACAATAATGATCGTATTTCGACTAAATAAAACGAATTCCTATAGTTTCAATATTTATTTGTTTTTTTTTTCACGATTACATGATACTCGAACAGCAATTGTCGGTTTGGATATTCCGCGGCTTGATCGGGTCCTTCACCTGTTCACCAGTGTTCACAAGACTTTTCTTAATCGGTATTTAGTCCTTGAGGAAGGAATTCCTTGTGCAATATTTGCCATACTGGAATTATGAAGACCCTAATAAACGTTCATACCCTATAGGAACTTATAGATTCGACTATAAATGCCTGCAGTTACCCCTATTTAAAAAAAAATATTTGCACCATTACGGAGATGCTTTGGAATTGTGGCACTCTCCAGAAAACATCAGATTAAAAAAACCGGAGAGGGCTACATTATTGCAGCTAGTGTCCTTGAACCTTTAAAAATGCTTCACCTCCAACAATCTTGGTTTGATTTCATTATAACTTGGTGTACAAGTAGACAACACTTATGTACATCATTTAGTGCATCCGTTGTTTATTTCAATGAAGAACAGTATTACAGTGGTTACTATAAATAGAAATTTCTTAGAAATACTTTTAAATCCCTACTCCTCCTACAGTTTTGAATTGATTTCAGTTTTAAATTGGCACACGAGTAGACTACACTAAGGTTCATAATTCTATTTATTGCTGCGTTCTGCAAAGTTTTAAATCCAAGTGCTATTTTTCTTATATTATACGTACAGACTAAAAGAGCTACAGTCTCATCAGAGACCTCTGGTTACTTTCACATTTGCATTTATTTCTTTGGTACTGTAAAAAACATCAAACTCTATCTTAAATCAATAAAATCATAATTAAGATTTTAATAACATGTCAAATTTTCATTCTTGATTTCGTGCCCCAAAGTACACTTACATGCTTTCTTTATTATTAGGGCCCCGCAAGGATTTGCGGGTGCCCTATAGTAATCACTCTGTCTGTCCGTCTGTCTGTCTGTCTGTCTGTCTGTCCGTCTGTCACTCTTCCGTCCACAAATTTTCTGTTTTTTGCTAATAACTTTTTTTATGGTTGTCCAATCAAGTTCAAATTTGGTATGGTAGTTCAGTAGGCAGAAATACATATTTTGATGCTACGTTTGTCTCTCTACATCTTCTGGTTTGGAGCTGGGGTGGTGGGGTAGATTCCTTAACTTTGCATAATGAATGGGCAAAGAGAGATAACTGCTAAAGATGTTCCTATTGTAAAGTGAATGCTGCTATGAGTCCCTTGGGATTAATTAGCTTTCCTCCTGAATAAAATCCAAAGCATTATCTTTATCTGTCACATTCAGATTAATTACTGTACCAGTAGCCTCTGTCTGCAAATGAACTTTGTTTTTAAGTTAAGGTCAATTTTGGATGATGTGCACATTCTCTGAAATATGAATTTAAAATAATATTCATACTTTATTTTGGTTAAATACTGTACACAATGAAATATGATAATTTTATTGAATTCTAAAATCAAGATATATGTTAAGATATTCTTTCTTATTAACAATATTTCATTTTTTTTTTTTTTTTTGGCTGCCTTTATGCTCTTAATTTTAATAGGTAATCACATAGTAACCCTATTCTGTCAGAGCTGAAAAAAGTTCTTATTGTAAATTTAGAAGAAAAGGATGAGAGGGCAGTACAATTAATCCCCTGGGATTAATTATCGTGCTTGCTGCAGAAAATTTAGAGGCTTATCTTTATCTGTCACATGAAGATTAATGAACACTTTTGTCTGTAACTGATGTTTGTTTTGAAGTTGAGGTCAACCCTGGGTGATATTTGCATTCACTGAAAGCTTGCATTTTATAAAACGCCTGCTTAAATCTTTTAAAATTCACATTTAATTAAGTTTTTTTTATAAGACATGAGGTTTTCCCTGTTTATGTAAATACAAGGTTACTTTTTACAGGTTTTGGGACATTCAGGAATTATCTTGAAATTTTGAAAATATTGTAACAGTTGTAACTTATAATCTTCATATATTTTTAAAAGTAATCAAGTAAAAGTCTCATTCAATGAGCTGCACCCTTATATTTCTACCCCACAGCGGGGCCCTTGCTGACTGGTCAGTTTTCTAGTATTTTACATCATTTTCTTACAAAATGTGATATTATCATGAAATTTGAAATGCATGATCATAAAATGTTGCTTTTTACTTTGACAAAATCAGAAAAATTAAGCCAAAAAAAAAAAAAAAAAAAAAAAAAACTAAACTGTAATCCTGTCTTCGACTTTTCGAAACAACCCTCGTATATTAGGTTTCGCTATTCGTTTTATTAGCTGAAATTAAAGACATGCTAAAATTTCCTCCCCCAAAAAATATAATGTGCTTTATGATTTTAGTTTTTCAGCCATGGGGTCAGGGTCAAGGTCAACAAGGATACAGTCAGCCTCCTCAGACATCCCCTCCGGTTCAGAGCTACCCGCAACCAAGCGCACCTGTTATCGCAGGAACTTATGGATATCCATCAGGGCAACAATTTCTTCCTCCTGGTGCACCCAATTCATCTGGCATGAACGAGCCTCCATCTTATGATGATGTCACAACTAAAAAGCATTAGGAATCACAAGATTAAACCCTGTCATCTGACTGGTTGCCTAAAGTCTACCTAAAGGTGACAGAATGGAATAGTTCTGTCATATATTGACCTTTCTAGACCCTCCAGGCACCATTCAGTTGACTCCATTGTAAAGATTCATCCTATGAATGCTCTAATCAGTATATAATAATCTAAACGGTAAATAATAATTCAATTTTGGTTAAAACGCATCATTTGATTGATTCTTTGGTCGATAAAATAACCTTTTCATCAAAACAATTTATCATTAAGTCAAATGCTGATTGACCTTTCATACTGATTATTAGGATAGGCTATTATTTACACCGAGTTGTACATGGATTTTTCCCGTTATTTTCCGATCACGAAAAGGAGTAAACGGCGGGAATATACATGTCCGGTCGACTGGGGATGCTCACTCCTCCATGGCACCTGATCCGTCCTCTGATGATTTTGAGTTCCATGTTTGCAATTCTCCGTTTTAGTAATGTTTAATGGAATTTGATCATGAGCTCGAATACTGTTCAGGACTCGTGGGTAAAGAGAGTGCAATTGGTAATCAAAGTTTTAGATAAACTTATTTAAAAAAAGAATAATCTGATGAAGAACAAGCATGGTTAATATTGTTACTCAGGTCGGAGCTTTAGCCCATAGGACTCTTTTATATGATGATGAAATTTTTCTAGACTCTATTTAGTATTTTGTCTAGACTCAGTATACATATCATTGATAATTATAAATGACAACAGTCTATTTAAAATAATATTTATGCATGTTTTGTTTTTGATTTACATTTAAGCATATTTAATAAACTTACTACATGTATACTATACATATATAAAGCATTTTTGTAAAAGAATTTGAGTTGTTAATGTCTATTTAGTAATTTAATTAACAATGGTTATTTCCCTTCTTATGCCCATATGATATACATGTATATCGGTGAGCTTGAAATCCAAAATATGTGTCAGAGCAAAAAGTAAAATAAAAGGTGCACAATGACACCATGTAACTTTGTCAGAATGGAATAATTGTATCAGATGTAACTTTGTCAGAATGAAATAATTGTATCAGATGTATGTTAAAATATCTCATTAAACGATTGAGGGAAAATATAAGAACCATCTATCCTTCTGTGTACAATAATTCATAAGTGAATGAAATACATAGTTATCACGACCACTGTGTTTAGTCCCAACTGACAAAACAGGCAAATGAAGGTAAGCAGACTTTGTTCAAGAGCATATACGTGAAAAGATGAAACCACTTACTGTGGCCTTCAACTCGATATTTCCATATATCGATGAGGTATTGTCAATTAACAATGGTTATTTCCCTTCTTATGCCCATATGATATATATCGGTGAGCTTGAAACCCAAAATATGTGTAGGAGCAAAAAGTAAAATAAAAGGTGCACAGTGGCACCATGTAACCAAGATTCTGCGAAAGTCTAAATTTCATTCAGAGGTATAAGAGAAGTTGTAGATAACAGGTAGGTGCCCTAAAGTGTAACAGACGAAAACCCCCATCACTTAGATCTATGTTCATTTCTTCTTTTTTTCAAATGATTAAATTGATAAAGATCAATGCAATATCGTTCAATATATTGATAAAAATAATAATTATCGTTCAATATATATCAAATACCGGTACTAGTATTATATCTTCTCTTCTTATATGTCCTTTTTCCAAGCAAATACATTAGTTATATAATGCTATTAAGTTGGAAATTTATAACTGACCTCGTTTAAACTTATTTTATCTTTAATCTACGATTTAAAGTAGGCTACACATGCATTTCTTGGAATATTCTAGTTTTCTATATGTGTCGCAAATATTCTCATTAAGCCCTATCTACGATTAAAAAAAACACTTTACTTGTGATCTAAAGAAATGTTATGAACTGAATTAAACCAATGATAACTCAGCAATACGTAAGACATTCAAAACAACAACATATAATGAAGTTGCGAAATAGCTTCATATCTATCATCTTGTCAGTATTAATTCATCTTAAATTTTGTATCCTTGGGCGACGTTTGATTTGTACATGTAAAAGAATTCTACCTTGGTCTGAGGTCTGATATATAGTTATTCAAATTCAGTGTTTTGAATAGAAGGAGTGTATTTAAGTAATAAAATGCTTTCTTTGTTTGTTATGACTGGAATTAACGGAAGCAGCTGTAAGCGGGTTATGTAAATTTTTTCTGCAATAGCTGCGACCGTTAACTCCACTTATAACAAATAAAGAAAGACATTTTATTGTATATTTATATCTGTTTAAATAATCATTTAAAGTAGAATATTAAAAAGATTAATTTTTGTAATAATGATGCGAACGTCTTCATTGATGGAACAGCTACTGATCAAGAAATCTGTGCAGGCGACATGCCGACTGTAGTTCATGCAGTGATTAACGCAATGGGTTTTCTTAAGAAATAAAGGAGAAAATATTCAGCGGGTGTAAATATTTCTTTATTTATGCCCAGCTATGATTTGACAAAATTGTTAATGATAAATGAGGTAGAGGTAATGTCAATCATACTCAATCAAATTGTATGAAGTATGTAAACACTTCATTTTGCAATCTTTGAATATTAGATCAAAAGAAATATTCACTTTTCCAGAGCAATCTTCTTATCCATTCCATAGTGCCCTCTTATAAATTAACTGAAAGTAAGAAGGAAATTATAAACACTTTTGTCAAATTCAGTGTCCCTAGCGTTTGGAAATTTGAGAATATCTCATTTCATTTACATAGAAATTTATATTGTTGAAAATAAGGAAAAACACTTTATGTATATGTTCTAAAACATTCTAATATTTCTTAAATCTATATTAATACCAAAGAAAGTAAATTCAGGAAAGAGCATTATTCAAAGAAGTTTCACAAACATATTTAGAATTATGCTATTTCACTATATAATAGTGTAAAATCACATATTTTTGTGGGGTCAAATTTTCGAGGTTTGAAGAAAAAAATCTAGTTTGGTGGGGATTTGATTTCGTGTTGGACAATGTTTAGTAGCAATGCATATGAAATTTTCCATTTCTTGGTGGTCATAAATTCGTATGTCTCTCCATATCTCGAAAAGAATGAAAATTAAATCCACACGAATATTAGTGATTTTACAGTAAGTGAAAGGAGAATTTACCCCCGGTACTTTTTTTTTTAAAAACAAACACATCTTGAATTCATTTATTTACCTTATGTACAAAAATAGACATTATCAAAGATGCATGATTAGGTATATTTCTTAGAATTTCTATTGATTAAGTTTTCATATCGTTAAATACATGAAATATGATTGTTGCTGTCATTTTTCCCGGAAGGTGCTTATTTTTTTATACCCACAAGACACTATTTCTTTAAGGAGGCTGGGGGGTCAACAAATAAACCAAAAATTAACCATCAGAATTAACTTATTTTTTTAGATATGGTATATTAAGCTGTCATCTATTATTTGGCAAAGAAAAAATTCCTACATTTAGTTTTGAAATTTTATCATTTTTTATATCTTTATATATATCGAAATAGTCTGAAAATATATATCACATCAACAATTTTGCAAATACAATATATCATTATATATCAAACTAAACAAAGTATTGCTAAAACATTAAAAATAATGCTATTTTTTCTGTCCTTCTTTCAAATATAATTAAGAAATTTAAAAAAAGACAAGTTTCAGATAAGCATTCCTTCAGATGTATAGTAATGAAATTTTGGAAATATTGGAATAGATGCATTTGGTGTGCATAAAAAATATACATGATCTCCAGTATAATTCAGGCTGTGTTTCAGGTTTTTCACCCTCCTCTGTGTACTGAGGAACTCGACCCTGCAGTGTGTTTGTAAGTGAGACAAGGGTGCCCAAACAGTTTCTGGCAGTGGCTCATAGGAAGAGCAATGTACACAATCAATATGGTTAGATTTTTTATCCTCAGGAGAATGCTGCTAGGATGCAGTAAAAGTCATCGTATGCTGTGGAACCTTATGCACATGTTGTTTTCCCCTCTTTGTTATTGATCGGCGAATGCTACTCATGCTTGAACAGCGAAAACTTTTATGAGGACAATTTTTGACGAATCACTTTACAACTACAAATAAATTTAAACATGTGTGGGAAACAGTACTAAAAGTCTAAACATTAATTGAAATCCTCTCAATGAAAAATGAAAGTATTGTGTATTTACTATAAAAAATATGGATGCAATAAAATAAAAATATCTTTAAAAAAATACAAAATCATATTTTCTTCATATATTTTAAAACTTGTGTTGCTAGAAATTAATTTCAATTCATTAGAAAAATTTGAGTTTTTGATTGTTTAAGAGTTTAATACAATTTGCTGTTCTGTAGTACTTAATAAACGCAGGAAAAGAAATATATTCAAAGGCCGCAGTTCCGCCAAGAGAATATAGCATTTACTGGATTTACCTATAAAACTTCCGGGCAGCTGTGTTATATGCCCTATTTACGGATTCGTAGTCGCCCGCGTGGCGCAGTGGTTAGAAAAAGATCTCTCCCTGCTCAATAGCCCTAAGTGCCGAGTAAAGGACAAAATTTGTAGCTCTCCACCGGCAAATCAGATTTTGATACCAAAAAAATTCCAAGAAGTTTTTGGACAATTTGAAATCACTAGCTTTTTACCAAATAGCCTAAAAATTTATGACTTTTCAACTTTATACACAACAACTCCGCACGATAAATTAAAGTCAAGGCTTTTTGATAGCATTGACAGCTGCTTTAAAAAAACATCGAACTCGTAAATATACTTACCCTGTCATTGGTCATTTGCAAAAACATTCTGATTGTACACACAAGTACTCTGAAGTTGACATCAAACAGATGCTTGAGTTTCTGATTGAGATTCTGATCGACAAAATAGGAGGAGAGCAACACCAGCCTCTAAAACATCAGAAGTGGGATCAGGTGCCATGGAGAAGTGAACATCCCCTGGCGACCGGTCACATCCGCCGAGTTCTCATTTCGGTGATCAGGAAATAATGGAAAAATCAATCGTCAATTTATTGTGTAAATAACGGACTAACAATTGGTATGAAAAATGTCAAAAAGCGTTAGACTCAATGTTATATTCTATTTCCTGACATTGTCATTATATCGACCATATAACATACAAAGTGATTACTTTAAACGGGACTGCTGACATCCTTGTTTCGTCAACCTTTTTGTCAATAATTTACCGTTTTGGCGCAGTGGTTAGAGCGTCTAGGAGTTGCTCTTTACGTTCGAATTTGAATCTCACTGTGGGACGTGGAGAGCAGCCCTTTGGATGAGACCGTATAAACCGAAGCCCCGGGTTACAGTAGATGCTGGCACGAAAAAGATTCCTCCCTGCTCAATGGCCCTGAATACCATGTAAAGGACAAAATACTGTGGAATCATTTTTATTCGTGGAGGTCAATGTTCGTGGGTAGCCAAAAATGTCCTGGTTCGTTGGGACGTAATTTCGTTGACAACAAGTTGTATTTCGGTTTTTTTTCTAGTTAAAACAAAAAAAGGATAACTCCGTCATTTAAAATTATAAGGATTTATCTCTCTTGTGAATACAAGACGTATCACTGTACCGACGGCTTGCACCGACAAATTTCTGCCCTTAGATGTCACGGTAAATTACGATTACAAATAACAACTTAAATTGTATTTTCACCATGCAGTGATTCGCGGAACGGATTTTGAAATCTCTGGATGAGAACGATGACGACAATGCCAATTGAAAGTTAACTTCAAAGCGTCTAACCGGAAACCAGTTATGCTAATTGGTTTATTAGCACCCACTCCGAAATCGCTCTGAAAATGACCTAATTAAAGGGGCGCTTGAGCATGTTGGACCGTAATGTAAACACTAGTTAACAGTTTAAGACTTCTCAAATATTTATCACTTTATTACTTATTGTAGTACATAGTCAATGTCTTTGAAACTTAATGAAATATTTTTTTGTTCTCTCTTTTTTTTTATTTTGTTTTGAACATAAACAGAATATCTCCTTTATGCGTGATCATGCGGACATAAACGTAAAGGTTATTTTACGATATTATCTAGACTGTGTAATCGTAACCTTTAATAAATAATAAAACAAATGTTTGTATATACGTTCGTTGGGATGTAAATTCGTGGGTCATGGTTACCCACGAAAGCCACGAACATTGGTTCCCCACGAACAATGATGATTCCGCAGTATGCAGCTATCCACCGGCAAGTGGTGGCGTCTCCATATGACTGAAACATTCTCGAGAGGGACGTTAAACAATATACAATTCAATCAATCAATCAATCTTTTGCATTTCGAATCAACTGAGATATATAAACTCCGTATGTAGATGATGAAGATGCTGCATAGGTAAGGGAAGATTACGATAGAAAAGTTAAAGTCATCACGTTTATCATTGAGCTTGATTGTTAGATTGCCATTAACGTCTTTTTCAAGTAAAATACCTAAATATGAAACAGATGTGTCAGACTCTGTAATATCTTTTATCTCAAGCTCACCAGGATATATAGAATCGACATAAGAATGGAAATAACCATTGCTAATTGACAATACGTGGTCAATATAGCGAAATGTCAAGATGAAGACCACAACAAGTGTTTTTCTTCTTTTCACGTATAAGATTTATTTATGGTTTATTCATGATTTCTAGATTATTGAAAACAGAGGGATAGATTGTTTTCATATTGCCCCTCAATTTTGTTAAACGCTATTGTTACATAGATATGATTTAATCCATTCTGTTAAAGTATCAACCGCCTGGCGTTTTTTCTTCTACAGAATCCACAATATTTATTAGATTTAATGATATTAAATAAACAACAGTATGAAAAGCATCCATCTACATTTGACTAAATGATAGTTTGTCTATGCTGACAAGGTCATTGTTTCGCCCAATTTTTGAAATGTTGACTTTAAACAAGGCTGTTTATATTCATGTTTAAAAAACTTGTTTCACTATAATTTACATCGTTATGGAAATTGTTCGTAGGTAGAGTATTCTTTTACGTATCGAATCAACTGAGAGAGATATAAACCTCATAGTAGGGTTTAGGGTATAATGCTACACAAGTAATGAATATGATAAGTGAAGTTAATGATTGAAAAGTAAGGGTTATCACGTTTATCTTAATACATTGTTATAAGGCTATCATTAACCATTTTTCTCGTAAAATATCCAATCCTCTGGTATCTTTTATTTGAAATTATTTTCGGCAACTAAAAGGCAGCAACTATTGTTCATTGATAATATGTAGTAGATATATCTTAATGTCCAGTTAAAGACCACAGGCTTTTTTTCAACTCTCCTGCAAACAATTTATATTGATAAGAAGTTAGTCATTATTCACTATTTCAGTATTTTTTTTATAATATAATTCCTTTGAAAAATAAAAAAAATGAAGCATTGTTTTACATATGTAATCTCATGATAAAATTATATCAGAATTATCAAGTCAACAAATAAAAAATTACTTTTCTGTCACAAATCTGATTTTTTTCGGGAGGAGGGGGAGTGTGTGTGTGGTTAAGAAATCGATTGTTTATAATCAAAAGGTTTCGAATGACCAAGCTCAAGCTGAGGACACTTAATTTCACAAATTGGTAAAAGCTGCAATACAACTTAACATTAACTTCAAACGAATTCTATAGATAAAATGAATTCTGTTAATTCTAGTTTGTGTATTAATTTGTTGGTCTCTAAAGAAGCTCTAGCAATGTATCAATATATATTTACTTGAATTTAAACTTCCTATCGGATGGGAAGAAATAAAGTAGTTAAAAGCAAGACAGTCTGTTAGCATGAATATAGGATTGTTCATAAAAATAAACAAGAGTAAAAGTATTAAATTAGTCATGTTGTTACTAGTATTAACATTAACCCTTATAATAATTATTCTTCAGTTAATTTATACAATTCAGAAGTCAAAAAACTACAAAACATGCAAACGATTCTCGTAAAATTTACCTGCTTTATGCTTCAGAACATTTTGCTTTGATTTACCTAAATGCCTTATTATTTAGACTAAAAAAACTAGTAGAGAAATGTCTGGAAGTTTAAAACGTTAGTCATTAGATAAAGTCGTTGTTTCTTAAACAAATCTTGTCAATCTTAATGTGTCTTAATCAGAGATGATATTAACTCTAAGAAGAATATCTGACACACAATTTGTGTGTTAAATTGTACTTTCATTTCTGTGTACTTCCTTACAACACTATGATAAAATATAGCATTTACCATTCATTTTTTAAGAAATAGAACCACATTTCATTGCCTTTACAGACAATTATCCTTTTGATAAAAAAGACAACAGAGTTGGTCCAAAACAGTGTACCGTTTAATAATTGATCTTTTGATTTAGTGTTTAGTGTTTGTCATAGTGCAGATAAAAAAAAATTGAGTAAAAAGAAACGTTATTTGTTAAAAAAAAAAAATTCAAGTATATAGTATTTAAATCATTAAATCATGAAATTGGTAGAAATAGTTTTACTTTGAGTAATTTATACTTCACTTATAGACTTTTTTTTTTAAATTTTCTATATCATAATTCCAAATTAAAATGTGTACGATACAATTACTGACAATCGTTACTATACTAAATTTTCATCTGACTTCGTGAAATATTTTGATTATCAAAGTTTAAGGTAGATTCGTAATTATTATTTGCTAATTGATATATGTGGTGCATTTTGTAAAAACCCTTCTCGGAGCCTCATAAAAATGGTGAATTCTGGGAAGCTATGTCAAACAATCATCCAATCCACATCAAGAGTTACAGTATTGAAATATTTCGGCAAGCTTCCGCTCATCTTATATCTAATAAACCCAGGGAGGAGACAATGGCGATTTCAGGGAGATTTTACATCGATGCATTGGCCTTTATGGTCATAGTGATCATAGCTTATAACGGTAAGACATTCGTTATATTTCTACCAGCTTTAATGGGACCTCCTTAATATGTAAATGGTAAAAGTTTAGAAAATTAATTCAAAGATTTTTATAATAAGAAGATTTATAGTTTATATCTCAGTCGTTATAATTTTCATGATCAAGTGTTTTTGTCTTCCTTTGTCAGGGTAATGCAAATACGTCTAACTATTTTGATTTAAAGAGATGCTTGTCCAAACATACGTATACTCACACCTACTGCAAAGTAACCAAATCTAAGAATAGATATTAAAAAAGAATAATCTGAATTTATTATAAAATATCATATGATGACATATATGAATGAAAATGTGAGCTATCAATCTTATTGAAATCTTTATTCAGATCGTACACCACAAAAATTTACTTAGCATCCCCAAATTGTTCTGCATCACCCAGCTACAAAATACATCAGACGTTGTTGTATGCCATCGGAGCTGGATTGCGAAATGCATCCCTCCATGAGTGTTGATTGAACGGAATCTCACATGCAGCAAATAGAGAATTAACACACAAAGAAGGAATATGGGAATCATCACTATTGTTTTTCTCTCATCATAAAATATATCTCTGCACAGATCTCCAAACTCTAGCTATTTTTTTATTATTTAAAAGCAAATACATATAAAATTGTGCTGTACTTCATATTGAATTATATTTTTTAAAAGCCCTAGAGGGGCTTGAGCCTCATAAAACGATGCTAGGTCATCGATTTACTTAGTTTAAAAACACAAAAATATATTATTTTAATAGATAAAAATATTTCTAGAAACAAAAATGAAGCTTATCTTGAAAACGTCTGTATATTCAAAGATTTAAGTGTTAAATATGCATTGGCCTTTATGGCGAATGAACATAGCTTAAAGCTCCGCAGCCGCAACAGTTTCTATACAGAAATTTCGCGCTTTCCTTCGCGTAGGAATCTCAGGTAACTTTAGAAAATCGCCGACAAAGATTTTTTTTATGCAGACTCTGAAAGGTGACACAGTTTATATCGTTAACAACGCATGGTTAGAAAATTTTCCATGATCAAGTAAAATTGCTTTTCACAGGCCTGCAAATGATGTATACTTTGAGTGACAGTAAAATAATAGCACAAAATCAATGTTAAATTCTCGTATTATTTCACACCTTCTGCAAAGTAACCTATTTCATAATAATTTAAAAGATTAATCTGAATTTATGTATTCGATATCATATGATGAACATATATGAATCAAAATGTGAGCTATCAATCTTATTGAAATGGTTTAATTGCAGCGATGGATGACACCACAAAAATTTACGTAGATTTTTCTGCATGACCCAGCTGCAAAATACATCAGCCCTTTCCACTTTGCCACGGGCTTGTAGCAAGCTATTTCCATGATGTATATATTGAATGTGATGTACGTCATTATGCAGCAAATAGAGAATTAACACACAAAAAACGTATATAAATATCCATATAAAAAAAATATTTCATTAAATTCAAAAAATATATCTCTATAAAATATTCTATTGAAATTGTGTAAAAGCAAATACATATAAAATTGTGCTGTACTTCATATTGAATTATATTTTTTCATATTTCATTTAATTTGACACAAGGGGCTATATTTCTTCATAATTAAAAGCATGTCAATATATTAAATTTTGTTTCATGTACATGTAATAGTTTGTGTCAAATTAAAAGATTGAACTCAATACTTGTTCTATTCTGTGCTACAAGATGCATGGAACTGACCAATGAAAAGAAAGGTCAGAGTTGAGATTGAATCATCTTCCATGTAGTTGCAAAAATAGCTTCCCGAGAAATACACAAAAACAGAAATTACTGATTAAAACTACAATTAGAAAAACTTATTTGATTATTATAATAATGAGGAGTTTTTGTTTTTGAATAAATATAAATTATATCTTCTAAGAATTATCAAAAAGAAAATTAAGAATGATTTGTTCAGCTTAAATAAATCTGGAAATGAAATTTGAAGGTACTGTTATTTTTTTAAGTAGATAAATTTCATCTTTACAAAGTATTCTTAAGATGCATGCATCAAGACACATAGTGTAAATAAGAAGATGTGAGGCAAAATAGAAGCATGAGTTTAGATGCATGTGTCAAGATGCATAGTGTAAACCGGCCACTAGTCAAATAATAAACAAGTATATACTGACAAAACGTCAGAAGTACTCAAGCTGTAGAGAGTCAATTAGGAAGTGTCATTAATATCCTGAAATGGTATAAGAGGAGGGCTACTGAGTTCAATTTTCTGTTAAATAAACTACATGTGCATGAAAACAAAATTCATATATTGAATTTAATTAGAAGAAACATAATTAATGTTCTACTTTTTAAGATGAATTTACGTGACACACTTTCAGGAATATTTTATAGAGCATATATAAAGTAACGTTGCCGTTTCTTAATTTAATGAAATAATTTTTTTTAATGTAGACATTTAGTATACTTCAAACTATATACGTTTTTGTATTTTTGCTTAATGACGTACATCACATTCAATATATACATCAATCTAAATAGCTTGCTTCAAGTCTGATTAAAAGTTTTTCTCCAAAAACTCCACGTGATTTGATCCATCATTGCAAACCATGGCCAAAATGAGGATCCTTTTCCGGACCATGGCTTGAGAGGATGGGGTTAAATATAGCGGCATTATACATATTCTACGAATCCAGAATAAATTATTATAATATAGAAAATTAAGAATACGAGAATTTAACATTGATTTTGCCCTATTATTTTACTGTCACTCAAAGTACACATCATTTGAAGGCCCGTGATAAGCAATTTCAGTTGGGGGTACTGTTATTTTTTGCAAAGTAGAATTTGTTAAAACCTTTCCGAGTCTGCAGTGGACTCGTCCAAGGCTTTGTCGGCGACTGTAAAAAGTTACCTGAGATTCCTACGCCGCAAGGAAAGCGCGAAATCTCTGTATAGAAACTGTTGCGGCTGCGGAGCTTCACTCATTGTTCATTCGCCATATAAGAAGATATTTAACACTCAATATCTTTGAATATACAGACGTTTTCAAGATAAGCCTCATTTTTGTTTCTAGAAATATATTTATCTACAAAAATAATATATTTTTGTGTTTTTAAACCGAGTAAATCGATGACCTAGCATCGTTTTAGATAACTCAAGCCCCTCTAGGGCTTGAGTAAAAAATGCTGATTATTAGGGAAAACGCGTTCGCCGGGATGGGTTCGTTTGCCGGTCATTGTAAGATTGATTACAGCTTGGTCGCAGTCGTGCATTACTTGTGGGCACATGAGAGTGGTGATATAAAGGGTGATTCAAAATGTATCTTCCAACGTCAGTTACAGCTTTATGATCACAGGCCAAAATATCTTCCAATTAATTCAATATGTTGCTCAAATTATATGGATTATTACATGTACATAGTTTTTCAGCGATATGGAGATAGGATACATTTTAATAAACGTTAAAGTTACACATTGAAAGTGTTTTCCTTTCCAGAAACTTTTAAGAATAAAAAAATACAGAAACAAAGGTCAAGCTAGGCAAATTCATATAAATTCAGTAAAAAAATATAAATTTACAATACTGAATAATAGGTGTAGAACGATACCATTTCTATCGACTCTATCAACTTTCAAAAGCATCTGATACAAGTACATGAAGACTGACATGCTAATTTCAAAATGATAAATCTGTTTCTGATTCAATAATTTTTTTTTTAAATTTGGTTAATTCTGCTTTCCTTGTTTTTATTTCTTTTTAGATCTGTATAAAGTCTTTCTGCTTAACACAAAAAAATAAGGCATGCCATTAAACAGACGTAAACAGAATGGAATATGCCTTGAAGCAGTTTTATGTAGTGTTATCCCGGTCTGTTTATCAAACTTGCACTATAACACATCATGTACAGCAATGTATTTTCGATGACGTTACCTTAGAAAAATATCATTATTATTAACTATAAGGATTATTCAGTGGTGAAAGGACATGGTATGGTTTTGCCAACTTTGTCCTCTTATTTGATGTAAAATTTAACTTGAAATTAAGAACATTAAATGTTGATTGTTTTAAAACAAGTAATAAATTTGAACAGAGAGAATAGGGCGGCCACAAGAGGTTGCCAAACATTTTACCGAATTTCTTAAATGTTAAATTTAAGATACGTTGCCTAAATTATGATAACTGAGATTTTTATAAACAAGAAGCATCAGATACTAGTGCACGAAGTATATAAATTTGGTAGATAGGCAAACTTGTGCTCTTTGTTTTCCTTTATTTATGAATTAACTAATCATTATTACATACATATGGAGTTTAATGTCTCTTAAAGGCTGTTTAAAAATGCCAATCGTTATTTTCTGAAACAATTTCATGTGTACAGTCCATTTTTCCTACTTATTAGGTTTTGATTTGATTTAAGGGATGACATCGTGTTGATTATAGTCAACGGAATTTTAAAATTGAATTTCTTTGTATTTAGGTGTTGCTGGGCAAGCTAAAGATGCTCAATGTTTTTTATCCAAAAGTTCCAAATGCAGACCTGCGACTGGTGGCGGTGGCGACAAAGAAAAGATGTGCAGGTATCATATTTAATTAAAATTTAAAAATAAAAATTAAAAAAATAGATTTAAAATCAGTTATTTTCAAGGAATATATAAAGAAAACTTTTTTATTACATTGATAACACTTTTGTAAAATACTATAATTATGTAAAAATAGCCATATTAAATTTACTTTTACAGTGGATTAAATAACTATATAAATTGCATTCAAAATGTAATGAAGGAATGCAACGTGAGCACTGGGAAGGACATGCTGGATCAAGCCAAGAAACAACTCAAAGATCATGGCTGTGAGCACAATCATTTTTTATCATATTAATTCTAAGTTATGCATAAAAACTATCCATCTGTTTATGAGCTTTAAAAATTTCAAGGGGTAATACTCAGCAAGACTATAAAGTTGATAAAACAAAGTTTCACGCTCTGTGTACTGTATCCATGTTCAAGTTCCTATTGCATTTCGCAGTTTTAAAGCATATATTACTGCATTTTCAATTTGTGAATACATACGAGTTTTTACGTACGTTTTTTCTTGAAGAAGAAAATTGAGAATTCCGTGTATCAACTACATGTACTTTAGCATGTTAAAACTAGAAGCAAGCCTTCCCAATTTATTTACATTATGCCTATAGCTCGAGTTTTGGATAGGGACACGGATGGTCATACTAATTTTAAAAAAAACCTCTTTACTCATAAACAATGTAATACATTATTAATAAAATTAATGCATTTATTTCATTATGAAGAGTCATGTGTACCATTCTAAATTATAGCATTCGTCTAACAATTAGAGTCAAAGCCACTGGTGGAGCTTAGCTTCCATATGTAGAAAACATATTCAAGGCTAAAGAGCCTATGTGAATTATAAACCTCAAGTGACTCTGTGTAATTTGTTTCCCAGACTTCGAAATCGACATCAGACAGAGAGTTTCAATCATCGTAATGTCACTGTGAGCTTAGTCACTATGCATCTCTGGCCTCGCCACACTCGTCTTCAAATCCATGTGGATTAAACGAACCACTATGACGCATCTCCCAAAATTTATTTTTTTTTTTTTTTTTTTTTTTTTTTTTTTTTTTTTTTAACAAATCTCTTAATAGCCTTAATATTAACCCGAACTAAAATAATTTCATAAGAATGTTATGTTGAAAAAGATAAAGCTATTGATAAAATAAAGTAACAATAGCATTCACAGATATCTATTCTATGAGAATTCTAGCATTGATATTATTAGACACACAGATGCTAAATATTAGACAATAATTTTAACCAATAAAAAGAAGATCACGAACATTGCAATTTGTGAATGTATGGAATCGGGGAAAACTCTTACCCTTCAATGTACATAAAATATAAACTATTTACAGTTCTACAGTGTAGTTACAGTGAAATATTTGGAGATAACGAAGAGTATTCAAGCTCAAAGGTCAATTAAACAATACAAAATAGGAGTAGAGCAAACACGGACCTCCAAAACATCAGAGGTGGAATCAGGTGCTATGAAGGAGTGAGCATCCCCTGCTGACCGGTCACACACGCCATGTGCTCTTTGTCATGATAGGGAAATAACGGGAAAATCCGTTGTCAATTCAGTGTGTAAATAATGGACTAACAATTAGTTTTAAAAGATAGAGCTGTTTATTTTTATTCATGTAAATGCTCTTTACCTTTATAGGTTCCGGGGCTGGACTTCCCGTTGTCAGCGTCTTGTGTCTTCTTGTGGCTGCAGTCTTCCATCTAATGTAAAGAAGAATTCATTTAGTTTAGTAAAATAACTTCAATTTATTTTATTTGGCATCAAGGGATGAATACTCTTAACTAAATAAAACTTCCGAAGAATCACAACTCTTTATTAGTCTGTGGCTTGTAGAAAGTTTTCCATTACTTTCGTATTATTGTACGAAGAAAACTGTCCTTGCCATATCACTTATTATATACTACTAGTAATGTATTTGTAGGGAGAAAAAATTGTGTATACGTATAATGTTGTTTATGTCAAATAAAATGGACGTTAATCAGCGTTTAAAATGCGACAGATTGATGTTTAAAAAACAAAATATTTGGTATGATATAGCATTATACTTATACTTGTCTTATAATACTATGTATGCATTTTTGTATTTTTGCCCGTTTTTATACTTCTAGATCTAAAAGAAATATTGTCATGTTTTGAAAATATGTTTTAATTTAAAATAAACAAATAAAGGGGTGAAAATTGCTTTGTTTGTAATATACTGGACTTGTTATTTTCATAAATTGAATTCCACAATGGCAGCTGTGAAGAAATCATTATGTCTGTCTGTCTCTCTGTACGTCTGTCGTTTTTCCGTCCACACATTTTTGTGGGTTTTTTTCTAATAACCTTTTGTATGGTTTATCAATTACGTCACGTTGGTATGTTGTTTGAATGGGCAAAAAGTCAGTTTGGATCTATACTGCATCTGGTTTGGAGCTGGGGTTCCTTAACTTTATATAAGTATGCAATGGCAATGATAACTGCAAATAGATTGTTCCCTATGTAAACTATGTATGAAAGCTGCAATGATTCCCGTTGGGATTAATTATTTTTCCTCCTGAAGAAAAGCCACAGCATTATCTTTATCCGTCACATTTAATTTAATGAGCACCTCTGTCTACAATTGAAGTTTGTTTTGAAGGTAAGGTCAATTCTGGATTATGTTTCTACATTCTCTTAAATGCGGATGAAGTTGAATGTTCATACTTTATTATGGGTGAAATACACATTGCTTTTTCTTCTTCATATATTCGTATTTTTTTTGTAATTAAGTAGAATTTTCATTCCTTAAGTTGTTTCCTTTTATTTTAATAAAGAATACCGGTATATATTAATTGCAATATTATGAAGGTGTATTAAATAAATTTCTTTTATTGAACTTTACAAGACAAAAATTTTTCACAAGTTCTTATTGTCTAAAAATAAAGTTTTATGATCAGAAATACTAGGAATAATCAAATGATATCACTTTCTAACAGATAGTAGATAAACTTCTAGTATTTCTCATCCATTCAACAATTCTACTAACAAACTAACAAATATCCAGGGCCTGCTTTCACTAAATATATAAAACAAGCAAATTATGATCAATGTATCTGACCAGTACAACACCAAAATATTCACCCGTTTTAGAAAGTACATGTATCTCGGACGACGGGCAAATATTGAGATGAAAACAAAATCATTCTCAACAATGTTGGTTTTAAAAACACACAGTTTCCAATCTGGCTTGGCTTTAGCGAGGTACAGTTGTAGATTTTGGCAAGATTACATCATTATTAATGCAGATGCAAGATATGTTATTTTTATTGGACGCATTATTTCATTATGAAAAGAGAGATAACTATAGTTAGCAAGCCAGAGTTTCTAGATCATGAACTCAGATCAGACCATAGTCGAATTTTGAGTCTGAATAGCTTTTTATTTGAAAGGCATACGCATTCAAAAATGTGTAGGCTTATATAATGCCCCAATTAAAACATATTTTGTTAATTTAAAACCTGTTTTGCTGTCAAAATTATTTTTAAGTTATATTGGTTTGAAATTTTGACTCAGTTTTCACTTTATGGTTTTGCATTATGTCGAGAGAAAACTGTGCATTATTAAAGATGATATTATATTTATATTTATACAAAATAATTTGTTTTAGAATAAAGTTATGGTAATTTATTTTTTAGAAATACCTGGTTTTTCTGCGCATTATAATTGTTATGTATTTTTTTTTTCATTTTGTAATTCCGATGTAGAAGCCAGTTATTTTTCTTTTTGGATAAAGGATATTATATTTCTTTAAAATTTTTACTTGTAAGATATCTGGTTCACATTTTTGAAAAGACGTTTAAGATAATAATAACACCCAAGCTTTATGATAAATGTGATGGGTTTTTTTTACTTTTAAACTGTCAACTCCCCTTACTCCCCTTACTTATGCAGCAATATAGTTATACACCTTCATCACCTGCATACGGGTTTTATACATTCTATGGTCGAAACAATGACCTTGTCAGCGAATACAATTCAGCGTCAAGTCAAATGCTGACTGATGTTTTTCATACTAACACTCATTTTCTTACTCATACACACTGAATTCTCGGCGGATTTTTCTGTTATTTTCCGATTATATACGCCAAGGAGCACATGGCGCGTGTGACCGGTCAGCAAGGGATGCGCACTCCTCAATGGTACCTGTTCCCACTTCTGATGTTTGCTCTGCTCCATTTTGAAGTGTTTAATTGACTTTTGAACTTGACTATGTTCGTCATCTCCATATATTTCACCAGAAACATTTTCAAAATATAGTTACTATTTTCTATTTATACATTATTTGAAATTTTGTGATAGGAATAATAAAATTTCATTTTTCATTCAAAGTACTAGATTTAAAAACAATCGTTCTCTCTCTGTTTGAGAGCTATGTTTCTTACCCCCAAAACATTGTTTTTTTAAAAGATTAATTTCGAGTGAAATAGTTTTCATGTCATTCCTCAATCCTGAACCTAACATTAAATTATTTCCAAGAACATTCATTCATGACATTTCTGAAAAAAAAATAAATCACCTTTATTCACCAGAAAGTGAAATAGGAAAGACTTTAACTAAATATTTTTATGAAGATTCACTCCTGAATAAAAATTCATATAAAAAAAGTAAAGTAGTGGGTTCCAGTAAATGTTCTACCAATCCTCTTTATACGAGGGCCGTTCAAAAATTACGCGGACTGTGCTATTATTTACTCTTATAGACGTCATATAGTTATGAAATTTCACAGAAATATGCATCTTAAAGATTCCAATAATTTTTGGGCAAAATTCTGCATTTAAAAAAAATTCTACTAAAATTATCGGTATGTTGATATCGCTGATGGAGAGATACGGAGCACGACCAAAAATTTGAAGCAAAAGCATGGGGAATCAAAAATTTAACTCATTAATTTTCTAAAATTTGCGGTATTTTTCGAAAATTTTCTCAAATATATCTTTAAATTGTTCTATTATCATGTATTTAGATTTCTGACGTGATATTTGAAGTACTAACAGAAATATAGTGATTTTTCTCTGATGCGATTCCCGCGAAAACGAATGTGAAAATGACGTCTCCTGAATTGACAGCGCACACTCTTGTTAAATTATGTGTAATACTCGAGATATCGCCAACATAGATACAAAATATGCATAATGAAACATGTAGTAAACTAGGGTATTCGTGACATTCGTCCACAAATAGCAAATTGAAATTTTAGACCGTTAGACCCTGTAAAAAGCTATACGGAAGGACGGGAAGAAGATTATCGAAGAAAACTTTATCCGAACTGTAAAGAACATGATTGAGAGTCACCAATGTCACACTATATCTCATAAATACCTGTTGTTTTTGGTTTTAAAACAAAAAAGGATATTCTTTACATGTTTACTAGATTTTAATCTTGTCAAGAAATGATGTTTGGATGTTGAGTAGATAAGGTAACTCAAACTATACAGGTACTCTTGGGAAAATGTTGAGAAAATGAAATCTCAATCACATATATTTTTTTATAATGCCTGTGACGTCAAAGATTCTGCTGCTGCATGACTTGATGATATGCCCTGAAAAATCACTCAAAATTGATACAAATTTACAACATTTTGATATGAAATTTTGAAGACCATATAAGTAAAGATTCTTTTATATTATGTGTGACATTTTGCCCGATTATGTCGTCAAATATTTTTTCTGTGCAACAAGTCCGCGTAATTTTTGAACGACCCTCGCACTTCACTTAAATATTTGCATCAGTGAAAAAGAAACTTTTCGATGAATTTGAAATCACAAAATTTTACTAAAACCAATATAAATATCATTAAAACGTACGACAATTCAATACTATAAAATTAAAGAGTTGCTTGATTGACTCCGTTTAGAGATTGACTATCTCTATGAAGTTTTTGCAGACTAAGTCCTCCAACAATCTGCTGAAATTCATATGGTACATATTGTGCCCCTTTTATAGCACTTATTTTTGTATTCATAGAACTTTTTTTGCATTTTAGCATCATATTAGACGAAGAGTGAGTAAATGAGTTCAGTTTTTCCATTTATTTTCCCTATGTAAGTAAACAATGGTGATTTCTGCTCACGAATAGTCTATTGCCTTTGGACATTTTTCCTCCGGAAATAATACAGGTACATGTATCCTATGTTGAAAATTAAATAAATAGTCCCAATGTGCACAAATCTATATAATATATTGTTCTTTAAGTCCAAAAAGCGCATATTTTATTCGTGTTTAAAGATTTCTTAAGGATCAGAAAACAACATTTGTAAATCAAAAACATAAGGTATTGTGGTCACTGACCTCACAAAATAATACACCCTGTCTCCCAAATGATTATAATTGGAAAGTCCGTGTATTTGCTCTGAGAGACCTGAATGTGTTGTCAGATCAAATAATTAATTAAACTAGAGGTACTGTGAGCGATGAGCTCACTAAATGATACCCCCCGCCTCCCGTATGGTTATAACTGGTGAAAAAGTCCATGTATTCCTGTGGCCCGGAAACCCAAAATATGTGTCGGATCAAAAAGTAAAATAGGAGGTGCACAATGGCAATATGTAATAAAGAGAAAGTTTCATCAAATTTCATTCAGTGGTGTGAGAATGTGTTGTCAGATCAAATAATTAATTAAATAATGCACAATAGCATTATATAATAAAGAATCTTTCCAAGTATCATTAATACTTATTCAGTGATATATATATAGGAATTGTGGATAATAGATAGATACCCTTCAATATTATAGAAAGAATGGTAGTGCCAATTGAATGTTTTGCTATGGGAAACTTGACATTGTGTCCAATCAAAAAGTAAAATAGGATGTGCCTAATGGCATTATGTTACAATGATTTTTTGAAATTTCCTTCAGTGGTATGAGAGGAGTTGCAGATAAGAGATGTGTAACCAAAAGTGAAAAGATGGACGGAAACCCCCATTACTATATTATAAAAAGCATACCTTTCTCGCTTTTCACACATGGATTTTTAAATAACATCGACACATATATGCAGCTCCTCCCATTTCTTAATTTCTGAACAGTGCACATAGTTAGTATTTTTCCTGTTTATACAATCAACACCAGCGCACCCATGACTTATTAAAGAGTACTAGAGAGCATGTCTTTGTACATGATGACCTTAAAAAAACAACTACTAGTGTTTTATTGACTATCCTCTAATAACCTGTTATCCTGAATGTTTTCCTCTCTATCCATCACCACCAGGTATTTAGCATTGTACATCAAATAAGATCTTGTAAATTTTAGTAAAAAGAAGCAAGAAAGGCTTTTTCGTTTTCTGTATCATTATTTAATTTGTTCCACATGTTTAAAAGATCAAATATATTGACAAAAGACATCAAGCAGATATGATTTCAGGAACAAATCGAGCGATTTTCTTCACATCGTTTTTATTTATAGGTAAGTAGCTTATCTGCACTATTGAGGTTAGTAACTTGAACATTTAAATAAACACTTATAATTGTTTGTTTTAAATAAAGCACTACCACGATAATTAATTGAATAATGTTACTAAAGCTATTGCTCATATAAAACATTGAACTTAATTTATATATATCTCTCGAACCTTGAAAAGCAGATACTAGTTTATTGAGCAAACAGAGGATGCTTGTGTCAAAAATTAACGTGTGCATTTTCACTTATAATTTAATATCAATCTTCATTACCTTTAATTCAAACAAAGCACTCAAGCTCAATAATAACTCCAGTAATAAAATATGTTTTGATTTTTGTTTTCTTTAATTTTCTTTTACCATTTTATGATTCGTATTCTTCATTGTATTTTTGAGATCCTTACTCAAATCTTTTCATTGTAATATTCATTTTAACTTTAATCTTGACTTTTTTTTTTTGCTTCTTGTGTTTATCAGAATGTGCCCTTTCCGCCATCACAACACAAGGAGGTGAGAGTTACTTTATTCATTGATGAATTTAGATCAAACATCTATAATAGTAGGACTACTAGTATTTTAGAAGCATTAAGGCTCATTCACTCTTAGAAAAGAGTACGTAAATAAATTCTTCTGCTATATATCCTATTAACCCTTTTAAAGGTACTTGGACACAGATTTGAAGTTCATATTTTCTGTATAATATCATGAATTATATATTTTAATAGCATTTCACACAAAAATTAATTAAAAATCTTATTTCATTTAAAAGTTATTAAAACTTTTAATTTTTTGGCGGGTTTGATTGACACATCCTTGCACTTTCACAAATTTTAACTTTATTCTTAATCCTTAAGAAAGGTGGCAATCTTGTTGTGTATTAATGAGAAATATTAAAACTTAAATCCAGAAAAATAATTTTATTCAGAGTAGAAATGTTAGAAAGCAAACCTCCTTCACAAGTATCTCCATTCCGTTGTGTACAGAGTTTTGCAAATCGAGCACACCCGTGTTATGTACACAGTTTTGTAAACAAGGCAAGAGCCTGTTATTGTTTGGTGTTTACGATTCACCGGGTGCGTTTAATCGTCACAGTCTGCTTACCACAACTGCACGGACTGAAAATATATTGTGTGTTTGTTTTGCTTTCGAACATGTCTACTCTGAATTTTCTGGATTATAGTATTAATATTTTTCATTAATACACAACAGGATTGCCACTTTTTCTAAGGATTAAGAATAAAGTTAAAATTTGTGAATGTGCAAGGATGTGTCAATCAAACCCGTCAAAAGATTAAAAGTTTTAATAACTATTAATTGAAATAAGATTTTTGATTAATTTTTGTGTGAAATGCTATTAAAATATATAAGTAGTAATATTATAGAGGAAAAAATGAACTTCAAATCTGTGTCCAAGTACCTTTAAACGGTTATGATCACGGTTTCTGCCAAAAATTATCAATTTTTTTTCTATTTTACAAATATATAATGAAAGGTTTTTCTAATGATCATCAAAAATTTGAACTTCCGTTGTCGGAATACAAGAAAGACAGATTTAGAGTTCCAAACCTTATTATGTAAACATGGCCTGCGTCATGTTTTTGTTTACAAAGGTTAACATACTAATATATGTTCGTTCAACGAAGATAATGTCAAAAAAGAAGTTAATTCTTAATACTCTTAATACCTTTAATACAGTTTATTTGTGACTTTCTGAATTTGTGTTTTGTTATAAATATGATATGTTCTATATCACCCCTACTAATGTTATTGTGATTTAAATTCAAGACACGTGGTTTAGGTTTACCTATTCAAAGGTTATAGGGTAGAACCGGTTTTATAAATAAAATTGGCAGTAAATAGGAAATTGCTATAGTTTGTTTCTTCTGACAACATGTCCTGTGGAAAATGTTTTTCCACGCCTTTCTAAAAGACTTCCATGATTTTCAACAGAAACGGGTGGCATAACAAAAATAACAATTAATACATCTTATCATAGTTTACTGCATAAATTACAGCTCACTAGCGACCGATACGCTGGTTAAAAAAATGTGTAATATCTTCTACACTGACAAACCTTTGTTTGCCTTATATGGCTATTGCTATTATGAGATTCGCACAGAGGATTTTACCACGAGCAACTGACCAATTGTTGATTGAATACGTTTACGCCAAATACATGTTTACATTTTACTTTGAACACGTGGTTCAGGTCAATCTATGATCATGTCAGTTGAGTGCAAAAGAAAAAAAATGTTCTTTTGAAGAAAATGCAACCATTAGAAAGATATTACGGGCGTTTTTAATTTGTTGTTAACTAGAAAAAAATATGTTTTATGAATTGTGAACATAGTTAGTGTCAAGTTCAGAACACCAGCACTTCAAGGGTAAGGAAAACAAGCAGCATCTCGTATGCATTTAAATCACCCCTACTAATGTGTTCGGAACCTTTTATTTTTCGGTGTTCTGCAAATTATAAAACCCGATGAGTTCAGAGTAGCTCTGACAGTGGCTCTGGCGAGAGTTAGCGAGACTTCAGCGAGATAGGGTAAATTATTAACGGAAATATGGCTAGGAAGTGACTAGCACGTGGAGACATGGTAAACAGAAAAGTTATGTTGCGTTTTAGTTTTTACCATCCTATAATATCATTCTGTAGAAATGTATTTCAATTGATCTTTCTGGAAAGCAAGTTTAAATTATAAGTATTCTTATCATACAATTTTCTGCTGTCATGAATTAAAATTTCTTTTTGGACAAATATTTTGCAAGGGAACCGGGACTATATTTTTTGGCGTCAGATTAGCAAATGAGGCACCAATGTGACTTTAAATGACGAATCAGATGAATGAGCGTTGCATTATGGGTTACCATAAGAATACTACAGGAATTTTACGCTTGATAGATTCCTTTATTGTACTATCGGTGAATACAATTGTCAGGTGGATTCCCTGGCCAACACACGTGATCACGAGTATAGTTATGTAAAAAATGTTTTGTCCATTTAAATGCATACGAGATGCTGCTTGTTTTCCTTACCCTTGAAGTGCTGGTGTTCTGAACTTGACACTAACTATGTTCACAATTCATAAAACATATTTTTTTCTAGTTAACAACAAATTAAAAACGCCCGTAATATCTTTCTAATGGTTGCATTTTCTTCAAAAGAACATTTTTTTTCTTTTGCACTCAACTGACATGATCATAGATTGACTCTGAACCACTGTTCAAAGTAAAATGTAAACATGTATTTGGCGTAAACGGATTCAATCAACAATTGGTCAGTTGCTCGTGGTAAAATCCTCTGTGCGAATCTCATAATAGCAATAGCCATATAAGGCAAACAAAGGTTTGTGAGTGTAGAAGATATTACACATTTTTTAACCAGCGTATCGGTCGCTAGAGAGCTGTAATTTTTGCAGTAAACTATGATAAGATGTATTAATTGTTATTTAATCCCCCCCCCTCCCTTATGCCACCCATTTCTGTTGAAAACCATGAAAGTCTTTTAGAAAGGCGTGGAAACACATTTTTCACAGGACATGTTGTCAGAAGAAACAAACTATAGCAATTTCCTGTTTACTGCCAATTTTATTTATAAAACCGGTTCTACCCTATAACCTTTGAATAGGTTAACCTAAACCACGTGTCTTGAATTTAAATCACAATAACAGTAGTAGGGGTGTAAATGGACAAAACATTTTTTACATAACTATACTCGTGATCACGTGTGTTGGCCAGGGAATCCACCTGACAATTGTATTCACCGATAGTACAATAAAGGAATCTATCAAGCGTAAAATTCCTGTAGTATTCTTATGGTAACCCATAATGCAACGCTCATTCATCTGATTCGTCAGTTAAAGTCACATTGGTGCCTCATTTGCTAATCTGACGCCAAAAAATATAGTCCCGGTTCCCTTGCAAAATATTTGTCCAAAAAGAAATTTTAATTCATGACAGCAGAAAATTGTATGATAGAGAATACTTATAATTTAAACTTGCATGAATTCCAGAAAGATCAATTGAAATACATTTCTACAGAATGATATTATAGGATGGTAAAAACTAAAACGCAACATAACTTTTCTGTTTACCATGTCTCCACGTGCTAGTCACTTCCTAGCCACATTTCCGTTAATAATTTTATCTCGCTGAAGTCTCGCTAACTCTCGCCAGAGCCACTGTCAGAGCTACTCTGAACTCATCGGGCTTTATAATTTGCAGAACACCGAAAAATAAAAGGTTCCGAACACATTAGTAGGGGTGTATATGTAAACAGAAACAAGGCACGAGCTTTGTTACATTATGAAGAACTTTAAGTTCTGTATCTCGTTTCTTAATAATCTTTGCTGATTAGAAGATGAAGCCTTAATTAGGAATTGTAAAAATTAAAATTGGTTTCAAACAAATTTAAGCTGAAACTGTGTTCATGTCCCTTTAAAAGTTCTGTCAAATTTTGTCCCACAAAATTTATACAATATATCGAATTAAAATCAGAATCTTTAATATTTCCAAATTTCATTTCAGAGTTATTATGAACTTTAAATCTATAAGCAATATGAATATATTAAATTCGTTTAAATCGTCCCTCGGGCATTCTATAAAAAATATTTGGTTGTCCCCTTCCGATCGACTGGCTAAAAACATCCCGACTCAAAACTTTATAACCCCAAGAAAGCAAAATTTTATATACAAAGTGAAAAAACATTTTGAAAATTTAGCATTCATGCTAAAATGTTATTGAGAAAAAAATGTCTCCAAATTTCCGACCAATTTTTGTCCATTAGTATCTGAGTCGGGAGTGGGAACGTAAACAAACATTATTTTTACTGTAGATCACTAAATTTTCGCGACACCTTATTTTCGCGAGATAGTCATTGACTCATGATTAGAGATACAAAAACTGTTCTATAAAAGGAAAATTATACGCGAGAATCAAATTTTCGCGAGCACACTGTCTCGCGTAATTACGCGAAAAAAAGTTCTCACGAATAAAAAGTGATTTACAGTATGTTAGCCTCACATTAATAGTGCCTTGTTGAAAACTGTAAAAGAAAATTGTTTAAGCTCTAGATGATTTTATTGACATTTTAAATGATTCCTATTACTTACTCTCTAAGAACCTTTGATATAAAACATCTTTTAAATATACACTACAGCTCAGGTACATGTACTTTATTACAACTTTCCAAGCAAAATAGATGTTCATTTTCTATTGCATGTACAAGTTAATATTGTGTAAAATACCCTGACATATTTCCCTATATACATGTACTGTCCTTCAAATCTTAATAGAAACTTCAATTTGGTTTGAATGTACATGTTGTGAAATTGAAGTGCAAATGAATCGGAAAAAAAGTTTAGCATAGTCATACTAGATAAAAATTATATTTGGAATTTACCAAAATTAGCTTTAAATTCTTTTTCAATACCAAAAAACAATGTTGCCGGGTTTTTCCTTACAGGTATATGTTCATGTGAATATTTTTGGTTCAAGAATAATTACAATTCTAATTTTGTAAATTTTGTCACTTTTATTCAGTAACAACCATTCAGTTATTGACAGACATTGTCAATCCTACCACTCAGTCACCAGGTACAGAAAATTTCTTCTTTTCTTTTTATGAGCTCGGATTAATAGATTCGAGGCTTATATTGTTTTTGTCCTGTCTGTTTGTCTGTTTGTCTGGAAACTTTAACCTTCGCCATAACTTTTAAACCATGAAAGATAAAGACTTCATATTTGGTATGCATACTCCACTAGTTGAGCTTTTTCAAATGACAACAAGGTCAATGACCTTGTGACCTCGACTGAGACATGTATGCTAAAAATACCTTTTGCAAACTTTAACCTTCGCCATAACTCTTGAACCATAAGAGATAGAGACTTCAAATTTGGTGTGCATACTCCACTTATCAAGCTCTTTTATATGACACCAAGTTCAATGACCTTTAACCTTGACTGTGATATATATGCTAAAAATAGCTTTTTTGTCGACAAACTTTAACCTTCACCATAACTTTTCAACCATGACAATAGAAACTTCATAGTTGGTATGCATACTCCACTATTCAAGTTCTTTCAAATGACACCAAGGTCAATGACCTTGTGACATTGACTGTGACATATGTGCTAAAAATAGCTTTTTTCTGCAAACTTTAACCTTCACCATAACTTTTGAACCATGATAGAGACTATCATATGATGCTCTGGCATACTATACTAACTAGACAGTGATTCCTTAAATATACACAAGTTTTACGAGAGTTCTTTTTCCCATTTGAATACACCATCTCAGACATCGCTTACCTGCCATTTCTTTTAATTAATTAAATTACCTTACATCTTATTAAAATCAGAGATGTAAAGTAAGCAAGCTTTTACACAGTGTATTCTAGAAATAAACATTCAAAATCACTTCAGATATTTCTGAGATATAATGTATATTGATTTAAAAACGTACTACATAGAGAAGTTTTGACAGAAAGAGTATCTGTGAAATTCTTTTGAAAGGAGGGAATTGCTCAAATTGTTTTGAGACGTTTACTTTGAGAGTCATCGCTGATCCAAGTAACAAGATTTTTGTTTGCAGGTAGGCATGTTAATTTAGTCATGCAAAGTTGTTTAAAAAGTGTGATCATTTCACAACAACGGGAAATTGAGCAATAAAAATAACATTTTTAACATTATAACAGGAAATTCAAAGTCTTTTCACTTTTCTCCTTAAATTTTATCTATGCCTACTTGAAATTCAATATTTATTGAAATATTCATTATGTTAAATATATACAGTTTCGTGTATAAAAAATTGATGATTTTGCACAGTGATGGAAGGCTTGCTTTTCTACTTAAACATTCTTTTGTGTTTATTTCCTACAACCCAGGAAAATATAGAAATAGTCAGTCTCCCTTTTTTTCTCCTTCATTTATAAGTACTTTAAGTAACATTTAAATCTTTGAAGCATATTTATTGATTGTATATAGTTTAAAGTCCCTCTCGAGAATACTTCACTCATACGGAGACGCCACCACTTGCCAGTGGAGAGCTGCAAATTTTGTTTTATACTCGGCACTCAGGGCCATTGAACAGGGAGGGGTCTTTTCATGCCAGCACCTACGGCGACACGGGATCTCGGTTTATACAGTCTCATCCGAAAACCGGTCTCCACGTCCCACAGTGGGATTCGAACCCGCGATCAACTCCTTACTTTGCGACTCTAGATCAGACGCTCTAACCACTACGCTACGCAGGTTAAAGCATATTGAATGAAACAGATGGATATAAGGAACAGTATTCAAGATCAAAAGTCCATTAAACAATACAAAATAGCAGCAGAGCATATACTGACCTCCAAAGCATCAGAGGTAGGATCAGGTGCCATGGAGGAGTGAGCATTTCCTGCTGAACCGGTCACACCCGCAGTGTGCTCCTTGTCATAATCGGGAAACAACGGAAAACTCCGTCGTTCATTCAGTGTTTAAATAATGGAATAACAATTAATTTGAAAAGCGACAGTCAGCATTTGACTCAATGTTAAACTGTGTTTGGTGACAAGGTCATTGTATCGATCACAGAACTTACGAAATGACGACTTTAAACAAGACTGCTGATATTCTTGTTTCATTAACTTGTTTGTAAATAATTTACCTGTTTTTAGAAATTGTTCATACATTTAGAGCATGATCTTGCGTATCGAATCAATTGAGATATATAAACCGGGGTGATGAAGGTATATTGCTGCATAAGTAAGGAAAGTTGACTATAGAAAAGTTAAAGTCATCACGTTTATGATAGAGTTTGGTTGTTAGATCTTTTAGATTTAATGTCTTTTTCAAGTGAAATATCCAAATATGAAACAGTTGTGTCAGACTCTTTGGTATCTTTTATCTCAAGCTCGCCAGGATATCGACTTTAGAATAGAAATTACAATTGTTAATTGACAATTCGTCGTCGATATATCTAAATATGGAGTTGAAGGCCACAGCAAGTATTTTCTTCTTTAAACGCATAAGAGTTTGCACAAATTCTGCTTCATATGAATACAGAAATAGGTCTGCTAATAAAATGCGCAGTTGGTACCCATGGGAATTCCAATAGATTGTTGGAATACCTGATCTCCGAAAAAAAAACATAGATATTATCGATCAGAAACTGAATCATCTTTTTGATGTCAACTTCTGAGTACTTGTGTAAATAATCAGAATGTTTTTAACAATATAATTTTGCAAATAACCAATCACAAGGTAAGTAAATTTACGAGTTTCATTTTTATTGAAAAAGCAGCTGTTAATGATGTTAAAAAGCCTGGACTTTAATTTATCGTGGGGAATGGTTGTGTATAAAGTTGAAAAGTGGTAAGTTTTTAAAGAAGGATATGGAGATAACTAACAGTATTCAATATCAAAGTCCATAAAACAATACAAATTAGAAGCAGAGCAAACTAGTACCTCTGAAACATCAGAGGTGGGATCAAGTGCCATGGAGGAGTGAGCATTCCCTGCTGATCGGTAACAACCGCCGTGTGCTCCTTGTCATGATCGGGAAATAAAGGAAAAATCCGTCGTCAACTCAATGTATAAATAATGGACGATTAGTATGAAAAATGTCAGTCAGTATTTGACTTAATGATAAATTGTATTTGCTGACAAGGTCATTGTATTGACCATAGAACTTACGAAATAAGAGACAAAACAGAGACAGCTTGCTCCTGCATTAAAAAATATTGGTTATAAGCTTATGCTGCAGGCATAGGCTCGTCAAATGCTCATAGAAAAATAGGTTTATAAACACAGAAAAACATGCCTTACCCATCAATTGTTAAAAAAAAAATACAGCACCATAAAGTCATTGAAATATGGAGATAACGAACAATATTCAAGTTCTTAGTCCATTCAAACGAGACAAATCATAAGCAAAGCAAATATAGGCCTCTTAAAACATCCAGGTGAAATCAGATCTCATGGAGGAGTGAGTATCCCCTGCTGAACGGTCACACCCAATGTGTGCTTCTTATCATGATCGAGTGATAGAAAAATTCTTTTCTCGCATGTTCCATATATTATCCTATCTTTGTGCAGGTATTAGATCCTATAAAGCGCCATTCAAAGATTCACAAAACTAAATCTGGTAACAAAGACATCTTTTTTGAAACCCGTTTAATATCTCTAAAACATTTTCATATTAAACTTAAAAATATTGATTACAGTTTGAATTATTTTTATATTTTGTTGGTTTGTTGTTTTATTTAAGTGAATTGCGAACTCTGGTGACCTGCCTCAAAGGAGATTCTGTGTATTGTATCGATGATGATCCCATCAAAGGTTCAGAGAAGTTTCTTATTTTTAAAGCTCTTGCAGACTCTTGCCAGTGTGCTTCAGGATCATCTGGTAAAATTGCGTCATAAAACTGATTGTAACTATTTTTAATCGAAACATTAAAATAACAATATTGATGAAAACTATCATCACAGTAATCTTTCTGTATGATTTTTGTAAGCTAAACTGTAGGTACTGAAACCCTTCCTTTAACTGACTGTAGCAAAATATGTAGCCAACAAGCTATCATGGTTGATTTTAACATTTGATGTTGTTAGTAAATGACCATAAGATTAAGAATTATTAATTTGAAAAATAAATTGATCAGCTTATCTAATGATTAGGTACATTTGAATTTTAACCAATCATTTTAGAAAAACATCTTTAGGGAGGAGGCTAAAACTTGTGGCGTAAATAGTCACTAAAGATAAACACCCATATAAGAGTATATGCTAATGTTAATGTCTTAACTCTCCTTTTCCTTCATAAAAAAATTCTGAATGCTTTCAATCATAATACATGTAATTTATATTTATTTATATTTCAGGAAGCATTTCAAAAAGTCGCCTTTTGAATGCAATGCATCTCCTGCTGGGCCTAATTGTCTTGGGACTCCAGATAAAACTACAGACGACGTGACTTAATTAACTATATTCAAATATAGATATAAAAAAATGCAAAGTTATAAATTAAACATAATGCAAATCTGGATTTATGAAATTTCCTTTGTTCTTTCTTAATAAAAAAATAAATTTCTGCAAGTGTGACCTAGTTCCTATCAAATAAGATTTAAAATTTTTATTGATAGTTTACTTATATCAATGAAAGCCTTCCTTTTCTTTAAAGACTTTACACTAGTTTAGAGACAAGATCCCCTTTTTAGTGGGCGCAAATAGCTTTATGTTAAGGTTTGATATAAATAGGAAATTCGCCATCCATTTCTGTTGGGTTATTAATAAAAAAATGTTTAAATTAATATTTGTTTTCAATATGAACCACTGTATTACAAAAAACAAACAAGTATCACAAATTTCAATTCTTTTGCTCACATTAATGATATGTACACTTGAGGGTAAGAATGCAGTTTGATGATTGCAATCGTTCTTTGGTTGTACTAGTACTTTTATATTTTTCACTTACAAGTAGGAGGGAAACGCCATTTATTTCCTTAAAGAAAAATAAAGAAAAAGAAGCATCCCTTTATACATGTTAAGGTAAATCCCTACAAATTGGATGTGTCTGACCTTTAAGCAGAAGTGATTGAAAACTTTATTAAGAAGTCATTTGCTTCGCTTCATCTTGTATTCTTCTAATTCGATTCTAGAAATCTGCGTGTCCAAACGACTAAATTTGTCATAGTTCATCTTTCATATTGGACTCTTTTTGAACGTAAATTTGTTGTACCATCTTGCAGGGCATAATTATTGTCAGGAAATACATGGAAATAACAAACAGTATTCAAGTTCAAAGTTTATTTAAAAATATAAATCAAGAGCAGAGCGAACTCGGACCTCTTATACATCAGATGATCATAAGTATCGAATCAACTGAAAGATGAAAACCTTGTAGGTAGGTAATAAAGGTTTATTGCTGCATAAGTAAGTTGAGGATTGAAAAGTTAACGTCATCCGTTTATCACATAGCTTGGTTGTTAGATTAGTTCCGTCATTTTCTAGTAGAATATATGAAAGAGATGTTTCAGACTCGGTGGTAGTATCTTTTATTTCAAGCTCACCAGGATATATCTTATTTACCTAAGAATGAAAATAACCATTATTACATTGACAATATGTCGTTGAAATACTTTATTAAATAATTTTTTTTGAAGAAAGAGTTCTGTTCTCAAAAATTTATATACGTGTTGCAGAAAAATAGAGCTTCTGCTCAAAATCGCAAATATAAAAATTTAAAATTGGTTGAACAATGAAGGAAGTGGGATGTGGACCTCCAGTATGAGACCGTATAAACATAGGTCCCGTGTCGAGGTAGGTGCTGGCACGAAAAAAGAACCCTCGCTGCCCAATGGCCCTGAGTGCCGAGTATAGGAAAAAGTTTGTAGCTCCACAGGCAAGTGGTGGCGTCTCCATATGAGTGAAAAATTCTCGAGAGGTACGTTAAACAAAATACAATCAACTGATCTTTTCATGTGTAAGCTTTTGAACTAATTTTGCTTCATATGAATGCAAATATGGTCTGCTAATAACGGGGCGCAATTGATACTCATGGAAATTCCAAAAGATTGTTGCAAGACCAAAAAACCACATAGATATTGTCAATTAGAAACTCTTTCTAATATCACCTTCAGAGTACTTGTATGTACATTCAGAATGCTTTTAACAAAATGATTTAGCAAATGGCCAAATTACGATAGGTATGTAAATTTACTGCATAATGATTCAATTTTTATTGAAAAAGCAGCAGATGTTGATGTCAAAAGCCTTAATTTTAGTTTTGCAATGGGAATAATTTTAAATATAGTTGAAAAATCGTTTTTAATTGTCCAAAAGTTCCATGGAATTTTTAAGTATTCACATTTAATTTACACCATTTCTTGGTTTTATTGTGCGCAGTTACCCAGAAAAAATACACCTGATACAATCTCTAAATGTTCAATGATATCGGCTTATACGCAGAAATTTAAATTCCTTTTCATGCAGGAAAAAATTAAATTGACCTTGTATTTTCTTCTAGAAGATATAGTAACATGTAACATCAGCACACCCATAAACAAATAAGAGCTCTTTATTGTACATGATAACCTTCACAAAACAACTATGTGTATTATACCGACTATCCTTACCTCCCATCCTCAAAGTTTCCTGCCAGTCCTTTCCACATTTGACCTTATGTAGGTATATCACAAAAGATTTTATAAATATTTGCAAAAAAAAAAATTTCGGTTACAGATACACTTAATTTACAAACATTTTGGTGGGCTAAGATCTCATCTTCAAAATAACAAAGTCACAAAGCAGTTATGAATTCAGGAAATGGTGGATTGATGTTCTTCACAATTTTATTTTTGAAAGGTTTGAACTGTTTATTTTATCATTGCGAAAAAAATGTGGTTTCGGCATTTCTTTAATAATAAGTTGAATAACTTTACTAAAGATATCATAATCTTTTTTTTTTTTTAAATTATCACAATATTTCCAGCTGTCAAACAAAAAAAAAATTTAAGCTTGTATCGTATATTCAAGTAAATAAATGAGGATTATACCCATGCACACAGAATAAAGTAGACCTTTTGTTTTCATGACTTTGATTCCGAGACAGAGAAGTACAAAATTACATAAATCATCACTATTACTTTTCATCAATTATTTTAAAATCATTTAATTATATATTGACTTTTACTTATTTATTTTTTAATGTGTTTGTTCATTTATATTATATATAATACTTGTATTATTCTGTTTATCAGAATACATTCCTTGCTCAAGCAATACACAAGAAAATGAAAGTAAGTATGACTTTTTTGTAGGATAAACATATGGATTTTATAACATAACAATAAGATTTCATTTTTATTTATGGTAAATTTGATCTCGTAACATCCCTTATTGATTTGAAAATGATACCTTATTAAATATATTTACCTTATTGACTTATTTATATTTTATATTTTCCTGATAATAATTTTAATGGGTGAAATATTTAACTATTCAAGAGGTTGAGATCTTAAATTTGTACGTGTATGTGTACTTGTGTCTTTACTTTGACGTACACATATATGTTTTTGTAATTTGTTTGTTGTATTTTTAACTTGTACATATATATGTTTTGATCTCTCAGTAATATGCTTCTTTATCTACGTTAAATAATGATCTGTTCATAGCTACCTAGTAACGAATGTCTTCAATATAATTCAGCAACAACGGCTTGGTTTGTGACAGACGTTGTAAACCCGACCATAGAACCACCAGGTATTTTTAAATGTACATACATCTATAGGTGTTAACACTATTTTTGTATTTATTAATTTCAATTTTCATGGATAAAAATTTCTTAATGGAAATATGATAAACAATATATCAAATTTTCTTTAATTATTATGCTCATTATTCCTTAAATGATGATAAAGTATTATACTTAAAGATATCTTGTGTTTTCATTTGATATAACGGCGAAATTAACCCTTAAAATATCATACTATGGAGAGTCACATTGCTATCATTATTTTCCTACTAGGTTAAATTAAATAATTATTGAGCACCTCACCAAAAAGAAAATCTTACCTTTTACAACATTGTTATTTACCTGCAAGATGAATCTGCTAGTAATGAATATTCTATCCCATCTAATACAGGGGTGTGACCTGTTCCTATTTTGTATTCCTATTCCTGTTCCTACTTTGATATTGAATACTGTTCGTTATCTCCATATCCTTTTTAATTAACATTTAAGTTTTCCGAAAACTGTATCATAATTTAAATCATGACATCGATTAATATTCCATTATTTAATATTTGCATAAATGATGACCTCATTAATTTAGTAAATCAACTTATATACAATTTTTTTTATGTAATTAGATTTCTTTAAAATCTCTTTGAAGAAGGTGAATGCCCTGCCTTTGACAGATGCAGTGCGACGTTTCGTGCAAACATTGCTGCTGATCCAAGTAATGCTGCTTTGGTTTGCAGGTTGGCATGTTTAATCATTAAATGTGCTAGAAATTGCATGTTATTCAATGAATTGACTTACTTATTTCACAAAACAATACTAAAATAATCTAAAGGTTATTTCTATCATTTATGTACAGTTCAAGATATGCATTGTTATACCATGATGCAGCTCTGCATGGGAAATAAATAGATTCTAAAACCGTTCAAATCAGTTACAAGCCGATATGATGAATTTAAAAGAGACTGTTGATATTCTTGTATTATCAACTTCTTTAACAATAACATTAATTACCCCCAAATACAGGTGATGAGTATTTATTGCGACATAATAAGGGAAGCTAATGAATGGAAAAATTGAACTGATTTTGATTTTTGTTTCTTAAGCAACTTTAAAATAATGACGTCATGTATGTACGAAGCTGGCCTAAGTTGTGGTAATAAGGACATCCTCAATTCATACAAAATTACAAAAGCAATTGCCGACGCTTGTGGGTGCACTTCGGGATCTTCTGGTAATATTGGTTTGATTATACATGCAATTCATTTGAAATTCGTTTGAAATTAAACTTTAATACAAAGAAAACAACTACTAGTATAGGCTTGTAACATGTATTAGGTTCATATTTTTAAAAATTAATCCAGAAAAAAATATACGATAAACCACAGGTGTTCGTGAACAGGAACAACCTCCCCCAAATATACACCCCGAATCCAAAAATATTTTTATTCATCTTTTCTCATAAATTAATTTATCTTCTAGTACACATTTACATTGTATTTCAACTGAATAATCAAGAAAATAACGTAAAATTAACTATTTAAAAAAAACCATACCCGCAGTATTATAATAACAAAATATCTTTGGACCCACTGGCCAGGGTGTATACTCGGGAGGGGGTCCTGTCCACAAGCACCTGTACCATAAACATGATAAAGAGTCGCCTTTGGATGATTATTTTTCTGTTATTTTCTTTGTAGTGTTGGAAAACCGAAAAAAAAACCACAATAATATATCTTCGGGTTCGATCGAGTGATCATGATTGTCTTTATCTATCACTTCACATGTTTATCACATGACTAGCTCGATTATTACTGTATGTAGTTCTAAAATGTCATCTTTGTAAGAATTCCAAATTTCTATATTTTGACATCATTACAGGTTGTAGGATGTATGGTGGCATCTCAAGACTAAACATTATCCTCCTCCTACTGTTTCTTGGATGCGTACATGTAATGGATGTCTAAATATATTTCAATTTTATCTAGCCAAACACTTAATTGTGTTATTTTCGGGATTTGTTCACATAAATTGAAAAAATAGGTTATTTTTTAAACTCTAAGGAACTTGGATAATCTTTGATTTTTATTTACTTTTTAATGATATTATGCATATATTATTTTTCATGTATGTATCTTGTTAAGTTCAAGAAAGAAATGTATTAAATCAAAAATAAACCAAACAGTAATCAATGATATATGGAGATGACGAAAGTATTCAAGCTCAGACGTCTATTCAGACAATACAAACAAGAGTTACTCTGAGCACTGAGCTCACTAAATGATACCCCCACCCCGTCTCCCAAATTATTATAGTGGCAAAATCAATGTTTTGTTCTGGGAGACCCGGAATAAGTGTCAGATCAAAAAGTTAAATAGAAGGTACACAATGGCATTATGTAACTAGTGCTAATTGTAACGGGAACCGTTACAGATGTTCCCCAAACGCTCCCCAACTCCCTTCTCGTGCCATATTCCCTGTAAGTTTCATTAAAGAAGGCAAAATCTATGCATTTAAGACGTAAAACAACGTTTTGCCAAAAGTATACGTTTAGTATTTTTAAAAATTTAAAAAATATAGGCGTGCGATAAATGTGATTGCATGAGCGTAATGACGATATCATCTTGTCTACACTATTTTACTTATTTGCACGTGCACGCACATGCATGATAACCATATATTCTTGAAAAAGTCAAAAAATCTGTTAATGTTTTATAAAAAAAAATCATCCTGTTTGGTTGAAAAACAAGGGAGTTATCATTTAAAGTTTAAGCCAATCAGATTGCAGCGCACCTGCGCGTATTTTCATGACAATTATTATATATCATTTGTAATAATTATTTTTATGCTTATGTTTTAAATTTCAAAGCAGAAAAAAAAAAAACACAAAATATATTGAGATTTTTGTTTCAGAGATTCTGAGCAAAGCGCACGTGCGCGCACATGCATGCATGTGAATGGTGACCATACCATCCTGTAGGAGTCCTTTATGTCTATCTATGTTGTAAATCCCATGCTGTTTGGTTGAAAACCAAGGGAGTTTTTCTCATTTAAAGTTTCAGCCAATCAGATTGCAGTGCACGCGCATGCGCGTGATTTCATGAAAAATTTTATATATCATATTGTAGTACATCCTAATGCATGTCTATGTTAGAAATTTCAAAGCATTTCATCATAAAACAAAAAAGATATTGAGATTTCTGTTTCATAAATCAGAGCAAAGCGCACGTGCATGCGCGGATTTCATGCAAATTTGACCATGTGATTTTTATTTACACAACTTATATATCTTTATATAATGAGTTTCAAAACATTTTATCAAAAAATATAAAAGTTACAACCATATTAAATATATCAGTCAGTTTACTGATTGCACGCGCCCGCACGTGCATGCGAATGCGCGCAAAATGACCTTCGTTCGGCACATCTACACAACATGCCTACTAACCCTAAAAAGGTTTTAACTTGAGTTTGGTGAACAGTTTCTGAACCCTCCCCGTCTCCCAAATTAAAGTGAGAAGAAATAAGAAGAAAAAAGAATAATAATAATAATAATAATAATAATAATAAGAAACAGGTCACAGTGGCATTATGTAATAAAGAATAAGAGATCTTCAATATTATAGAAAGGTGGCAGTGTCCATGTTTTGCTATGGAAAACCCAAAATATATGTCCGATAAAAAAGTAAAATAGGAGGTGCAAAATGGCAATATGTAACAAAGATTATTTTAAAGTTTCTCGTATTTCATTCATTGGTATAAGAGGAGTAGTGCAGGATAAGAGAAAGTTTTCAAGCAGTGGTATTAAAAAGAGCAGCGCAAACACAGACCTCATTAGAGGTGGGATGTCCAATAAGGAGTGAGCATCTTCCAGCCGAGCAGTAACATCTTCTGTGTGCAGCTCCGTGTCATGGTAGGGAAAACGATAAAAACGTAGACAATTCAGTGTGTAAATAATTATCTATTGTGTAACACTAGGTATGAAAATCAGCATTTTTCTAAATGATAGAATGTATTTGTTGACAAGGTCATCCTGTTGACCATGGAACTTGCGATGATGACTTTAAACGTGACGGCTGATATTCTTATATAATCAACTTGTTTGTCAATAGTTTGCATCGTTTTAAAAATTGTTTAGGTATTGCTACTTAAGTAAGGGAAGTTGAAGTCATCAAGTTTATCATAAAGCTTTGTTTTTAGGACATCACTACACCCTTGATCTAGTTAACATTCAAATATAAAGCTATATGCCACACTCTGTCGTATCTTTTACTTCAATCTCACTTTAATCTATTGAGTCGACATAGATGTATGGAAGGAAGTAACTGTATAAGGTGTTAAGGGATAATACATCGTCGATATATCTAAATGTCGAGGTGAAGGTTGAAGCAAGTGTTTTCTTCGAACAAACTCTGCTTAATATGAATACAAAAATAGGTCTGCTAATAACGACACACCATTATTCATTGGAATTTGAGAGATTATTGGAAGATCTGGTCTCTCCAAAACCTACAAAGGTATTGTCAATCAGAAACTCATCATTTTTTTTTTTACAATCAACGTTATAGTACTTATATGTATGATCAGAATATTTTTTACAAAGTAATGATGCAAATGACCAAAACCAATGTTAGTAAATTTATAAACTTCATTTTTTTTATAGAAAGAGCATTACAAATTGGGAGTAAAGAAAACAAAGCCCCTAACAATAATCCAAGTTTAAAACAGGCACCACGAAACAGTAAGCCCAAGTCTTGATTGAGTAACGGAGTAATCAGTAGAAATTTCAAGTATAGAATGAATTGAAACGCAAGTAAACATTCGATGTCTTAACTTTTTTTTGCAAATAAGGTCATTGAATAAACATAATCCAAAGAATTTATGAAATGCCATGGGTACCAATTGCGCCCCGTTATTAGCAGACCTATTTTTGAATTCATATGAAGCAGAATTTGTGCAAAATCTTAAGCGTGAAAAGAAGAAAACACTTGCTGTGACCTTCAACTCGACATTTAGATATATCGACGACGTATTGTCAATTAACAATTGTAATTGTCATTCTTTTGTCGATACGATATATCCTGGTGAGCTTGAGATAAAAGAGTCTGACACCTCTGTTTCATATTTGGATATTTTACTTGAAAAAGACGTTAATGGTGATCTAACAACCAAGCTCTATGATAAACGTGATGACTTTAACTTTTCTATCGTCAACTTCTCTTATGCAGCAATATACCCTCATCACCTGCATATGGAGTTAATGCATCTCAATTGATTCGATACGCAAGAGCATGTTCTACGTATGAACACTTTCTTAAAAGAGGTAAATTATTGACAAACAAATTGATGAAACAAGAATATCAGCAGTCTCGCTTAAAGTCATCATTTCGTAAGTTCTATGATCGATACAATGACCTTGTCAGCAAATATAATTTATCATTGAGTCAAATGCTGACTGACGTTTTTCATACTAATTGTTGGTCCATTATTTATACAATGAATTGACAACGGATTTTCCCGTTATTTCCCGATCATGACAAGGAGCACACGACGGGTGTGACCGGTCGGCAGGGGGTGCTCACTCCTCAATGGCACCTGATCCCATCTCTGATGTTTTGCAGGTCTGTGTTTGCTCTGCTCCTAATTTGTTTTGTTTTATGGATTTTGATCTTGAATACTGTTCCTTATCTCTAAATGTTTCATAATTTCTGTATCAGTTCATATACTCAGTATTAGATTG